AGCCCTTTTTTGCTTTCTTCTGCCTGATGGGCTTTTTTGTGCAATTGAGTAAGTGGGAAAATTGGGATGAAACGAGACAGAGATGAGATGAGATGAGATGAGATGAGATGAGACGTGGCAGGCAGGCAAGCAGGCAGGCTACTGTGATGTCACAGAATGTACGATTGTGGAGTCAAGCAAGAGAATGTGACAAGAAGCATGACATGTGTGTGCGTCGAAACAGACTAGCTCCTCTGCCCAGACCGATGTCCATTCCTCAACGCACCAGCTGATCCACAGAGAGACGTCGCTCGTCTCGTCTCGCCTTCTGGTCATCGCCTGCAAAGGCTGCTCCGCTTCCACCTAGCCGCAATATCCTCTCCCGCCTTCTATCTGCTGAGTTCCCTACGAGAGCAGCGAGAGCCTGCCAGCGACCTCGGCTTGTGCCCTAACGATATTCGAGAGGTAGCTAACCATGAGTACATCCTGCAGACAGCTGTTCCACACTTCACCCACATCCTTGCCTTCTGCACCTGCAGGGGCTCCACTACTGCTGCTAGCTCCAACGGGAATGCGGGCAATAGTGTCTAGGAGGTACCTGCCTACCACTTCGTCCCCCTGCACTTTTCCGTCCAGCACGTCTCGCACGTAGACGAGGACGCGACGCAGCTGAGATTGGATCTGCTGCAGAGCAGAAGTGAGAGCGGTCAAGTCTGGCAGGACCTGACCGGCAGCGGTGAGGGAGTTGCCTGCTTGAGGGCTGGAGGAAGTCTGCGAGGCCAGCAGAGAGAGGGCAGGACGCTCTGTTGGGTTCGAGAGTAGAGTCACGGGCAGAGGCAAGAAGACGGAATTCTCCGTCTTGGGAGTCAGGCCGAGAGGAGAGGAGACGTAGGCCTTTACGCCTAGGGGCTCGGTAGAGGACGAAGCAGAGGGGGTACGCAGGTCGGTATCGATTGTGAGGTGGACTGCTTGGTGAGGGGCGGACTCTTTTGTGAAGAAGTCTTGCAACAGAGCAGAGTAGGCATTGAGGTTGGGAGAGGTTGCATACCTGTGATTTGCGAAGAGGAACCGGTGCGTCAGTCTTCTTGTTGGGCTAGAAGCGACTGCCTCTGCTTCGAGACAGTGAACCAGTGATGCTCGAGGCCGAGGATGATCATAGATTTGCGCATTGCCTGCAGAACGCTCCACTTGGCTCCACTTGTACTCACCATCCGACGATGACCTCCTCTGGGTTGACCTTCTGGTGCAGGTCGATCATTCCCTTGTGGTAATCAATGTCCAGCTGCACCTGCTCCTCGCTCTCATTGTGAGGGACGGCAAAGCAGCTTCGAATCTCTACCTCGTTCTCATTGTGAACACCCAGCAAAGTTCCAATGACTCGAGAAGGCTGAACATTGCTAGGAGAGGAAGAAGCGTCCTTCTTCTCATCGGAGGAAGAGGAAGAAGGGTCTTCGGTCGATGTGGGTTCAGGGTCGTTCCTGCGCAGGTAGTGGTCCAAGATGGAGAAGAGGGCAGCTGGATGCACAGAGACCTTTGCGATGGACCGCGAAGAGACGGAACCGTACGTCGTCGAAGGGTAGTTGAGGTGGAGCGACGAAAGAGATGACGAGCTCAAGTCTGGCAGCGTCGCCGTTGTGGTTGTGGAAGTCGTCATTGTGGACGCGATGTGCAGAGGAGGGGAACACGACGAAGAAGCGGTACGAGGTGTGCGAAGCTTGGTAGGAAGGAAGATTTGGCTGCTTTCCCCCTCGGCGGACTTTCACAAATCAGCCCTTTGACGCGGGCGAATACAAAACCAAGGCAGGCGCTAATCATCGCGTGCCTGCGGGTCCGAACTTCTAATCACGATCAGGGTCAGGCCATCATAGGTGGTACCGCGGACACGACATATGATATCAAGAGCTCAGAGTACGCTTTTGAAAGAGGCTCAGGACAGTCAAAGCAGAATCTTCTACCACTCTTTACGCTTTTCGTCAGGAAGATTCCAGGGGGTCACCGACCGAGCCTTGAGTCATCTGCTGGGGTACCGACAGGAAACAATGTGATCAGCCGGCCCGAGACTGGAGCGCAGTCTCGGTCAAAGATGTAGCGATGCTTCAGTGCGTGATATGCGATTGCTGGCAGAGGCTCCGTCGCCGGTGTGGAGACATCAAACGTGGTTGTTATAGTACAGAGAGTGGTGAAGCCTCGGCCCGCACTTGGGTGCAGACTCTAGGCGACTAGCGAATCTGCGCCATCTTTTGCTCTCGAGACGCGGGGGCGAGTGCGTAGGAAGAATTGCAGAAAGGTCTTTTGGTAACGTGTAGAGAGTCTGGAGGACGGTGTCCCTTCCAAGAGCCTAGGCCAAGGGAGAGATCAGCCTAGAAGAGTGGTGTGGAGAATGCAAGAGGATGTCAGTTGATCACTCTCCATAGCAGATGGAGCTTTGCTGATGACTGGGCCGTACGTCTGTCGGCCATTCCAATGCGTGACTTAGGTGAACAGCTCGGTGTGCCCTGTCCCATCGCAGAGGACATCCCTCCAGCTGACACAACAAGTGCGAGTGAGTACTGAGGGCGATGGCGCCTGCAAACACCTCAGGTTTGTAACTCGTCGACTCCATCCACATGATTCGCATCACCTAACACCCCAACACTACGCTCTTCGTCCTTGATAATGATGCCCTCCACTCACTTGATCAAGCTAGGTCGAGGTGTGCTCCTTGAGTATCCGACGAAGAGGACGAAGGGCACCCAGCCGTAGTGCACAACGTTGTGGACGACGGCGACGGTGCGAATAATACGCTCCTTTGTGTCTTCTGAAAAGGGGAAGAGAGGCATATTGGGCGATGTAGACTTCGAAAAGGGTTATCGAAGACGGGATTGTAGGCGTTTGCAAGGTGCTGAGACTCTTCCTCGGGAGCAGAGCGGAAGGGAAGGAGTCGGTCGGTCAGCCGAGTCTCGCGCGCGGACCCGAAGGCAAAGCGTCAGCTGTCGGAGGCAACTTGAGTCGTCGGTGATGCGCCTGCACACATCTCATCCTTCTTTCCATCAGACCATTACGACCACATTGACACTACCTCCCATACGCTTTCCCTCTTTCCCCTTCCTCGTAGCCATTGCCGAATATTGTTTGCTGTGCCTCGTTCAATCGAAGCAGAGAATATTGAGGGACTGTGTGTTCTACTGCCTCCGCAGGTTTCGCATCTGAATTTCCTCTTTCTGTAGACCCAGGAGTAAGGCGGACGTAGAGTCGAGTAGCGCAGACATCAGCACACGCTGCAAAGTGAAGACGTGGGCGAACTGTGGTGGAACAGCATAGCTACAGTTGCGTGCTTGGTACTGTGGGAACTCAATCGCAGTTGCCTGATCGCCTGCGACTTGTCCACATCAGAGGGTACCCGAAGGTCCGGGACGTGACTTTTCTCACATTGTCCAGCAAGACCTCTCCCCTTCCCTCTTCTTTACCCTCTTGTGCTCGACGTTCACTTCATACGAAAGTCTCACTTCTGACTGCTGAAGCTCACCCCGCTCTACATACGCATCAAGCATCATGTACTCAGGTTATCCTTCACAACCATCGTACGCCGGTCCTCCGCCGAATACTTTCAATCCGCACGCGGCTGGCGGCTCTTCAGCATGGCAACAATACCCTCAAGCAGGTTATCCGAACCAAGGTCAGGGCTACGCCAATGACCCCTCTTCATCGGCATCGGCAATGTCGATTGCGACGGATCCCGATGCCTTTGCTCGCATGTACAACTCTCACCTCGCATCCCTCACATTCAACTCTAAGCCTATCATTACCAACCTCACAGTAATGGCACATGAGCATGTTCAGCAGATGTCGAACGTGGTAGCGAGATGTCTCGACGAGCACATTGTCCAGGTTAGTATCTGATGGCATGCCGTAGAGCAGCCTTTTGACCTCTTGCGTAGCAAGAAGAACTATTCACAAAGACCTTCTTCCAGTCCTCTCAAGCTGCAGTGTACTGACTATCACTTTCCTCCCATTGCAGGCACAGCCACCGTATCGGCTTCCGGCTCTCTACGTCTTGGACTCCATCAGCAAGAACATCGGCGCTCCCTACACTGCATTGTGGGCTCAGCGCATTGCACACCTCTTTCTTGATACATACAGGGTAGTCGATCAGCAAACAAAGATGAGAATGGAGGAGCTGTTGGCAACATGGCGTACCGGTGGTCAGGGTGGCAGTCCTCTCTTTGGTGGCGATGCTCAATGGGCGATTGAGAGGAATATCTATGGCTCCTCTGGCGTACCAGGTGGCCCCGCTCCGATGCGGCCACCGCCTGCTATGCGACTCAACACTCCCACCGCCCACTCTCCGCGTGCAATGCTTTCTCCTGTCCCGCCGAGTCGCTCGCCCGAAGCCACTCGTGCAATCGAACAAATCGATCGCCTTCTCGCACTCATGTCGGCAGATCAGCAGCGAAACCTCCCCTCTTTCAATCCTCAGCGAATGGCGGCGTTGAAACAGTTGAGAAACGTCGTCGCCACTGCCAATCTCTCTCCTCAAGAGATGACCCAGATTCAGACGCAATTGAATGCATTGGCGGTGGAATTCAAGAGGGATCGTGGCGGAAGCAGTACGCCTACGTTGCCTTCAGCCTCTCTAGCGCCCGCGCCGCAAGGTGCACAGGCGACCTCATACGGAGCGCCGGGCGGTGGCGACCGATCGACACTCGTGGGTGGTGCTCCCCCGATTCCAGCCAACTTGTCGGCTGCTTTGGCAAGTCTTACTCGCCAGGGTCTAATCGGCGGACAGCAGTCGGGAGTCAAAAATTCTCCCGTCCCAATTCACCCACCGCCCGCTCCAGCAGCTGCGGCTCCCAGTGACGATTTGGTGAAAAGCTTGATCGCTGCAGGCCTATTGCCCGCCAGCAGCAGCGCCACCGGCAATGCTAAGCCAGCTAAACAGGACGATGCTTACACGTCTGCCATTATGTCGCTGGACATCAAGCTCACCTCGATCGATCTGCAAACAGAGCTGACGCTGGACTTGGTGGACCTGGTAGGTCACAAGTATCTGCCCCTACAATGTCGCCAATGTGCCAATCGCTATCCAGCAGGACCGGCTGGGCAGAAGAGTCTCGATGCGCACCTCGACTGGCACTTCCGTCAAGGTCGAAGGGCGAAAGATTCGGCCGCAAGGGGCCTGAGCCGATCATGGCTTGATACGGCCTCTGAATGGTTGCGTGGTGGTCAAGATGATCCCTCTACATCCCTATCTTCGACGAGTGGTGCAGATGGCAAAAAGGGCCTCTCCGCTCAACAAGAGGCGGAGCTCAAAGAAGCTACAGACATGTGGATCGTGGCTCCGACTGATTCGGAGAAGACGAATGAGCCGTGCCCGATCTGCAAGGAGAAGTTTGTTTCAGAATGGTCGGAAGATGAAGAGGAGTGGATCTGGAAGAATGCGCGAAAGGTCGACGAGGAGATCTACCATGGAAGCTGTTACTATTCTGCGAGGGTCCTCTCTACGAATGTTGCCAATCGGGGCACTACGGGTACTCCTGGAGCGAGGGCATCTACAGAGGGCCGGAGGTCAAGGACGGCTACACCCGATGTGGATCTGAATAGGTCCGCTGCACCTTCGGCGAATCCCCTGGACCGTTTGAAAGGCGAGGAAGGGGCCCTTGGGGGTCATGCGGCGAGCAAGAAGCGCAAGGAGGGACCATCTGCGGGTGATGATGATGCAGCAGCAGCAGGTCAGGGCGGGGTTGAAGGTGGTGAGCCAGAGGGGAAGCGGGTCGCCCTCGAGAGCGAGGCATAGAGGGCAGAGCAGGGTATGGCAGGGCGCATGTGCTGCAGCAAACATGCATGCATACCAATTGATTCGTTGCGCGTTTTCTTGGTTTCCTCGGTAGTAGCAGAGGCGTTCTTCATTCGCCTGATTCTCCTGGCTGGGGTGAGTGTCATGGAGAACTTTGTCATGTATTGCATCTCAGCACTTTCAATCTGCATCAATCAATCGGTTCTTTCTTAGACCTGGACGTGTGTGTGATGTGCGTGGCCATGGCTTGGCTTTGCCTCCTCGCTTAGAAGAGGAGATTGTCTGGTCTTGATTTGGGCATGTGGCGTGGGAAAGGGGCCGGGTGGGAGGAGGAGGAGCCTGGCGGTCAAGTGGTGTGCGCGTGGCCGCCCGCCCAAGGTGATGGTCGCTTCTCCGACGCGCTGCTTGCAGACGACACGCACACACCCACACACCCACACCCGCTTGGCTACACTACACTGGCGGGGATACCCGCACCTGCCATCCCTTGCACCGACCAACATCTCCCATACGACGTCCCCATCCTTTGCATTCTTCCCCCTCCCCCTCCTCCCCCCTTCCACCCACCTCTGTACTCTGAACTCCTCGACGCAGGTCGTCTGCCATATCTCTTTTGCTCTCTCCATACTCCGGGGGAGCATATAGAGAAGAGAATCCTCAAATTCACTCGCTGGCTTTCCCCCGACCGTCGCGGAGCTGGGTGCTGGCGGCCCACCGAGACGTATACTGTTACGTACCTCTTCACCACCAGTGAAGCCGTGAATCAGGCACGACAGCATCAGCGCAAATATACCTGTTCAGCCAGCTAGCCACCTCTCCTATTTGCTGGACCTGCTTTCCCTTGAGCTTTGCTGGAGCCCCGAACCGTCGTACCTTTGCACGCACCACGCAGACTCCCGTCAGGGCGCACCGTCCCACCCCTTTCGCACGGTTCTCGCAATCGTCCCTGCCAACGTCGCTTACCCCAAAGGGGGAACATAGGTAGGGCCTCAATAGTATATAGGCTCTATACTCAGGGTCTCGCGCCAAGCAGACGTCGTTGAATCTCTAGACCTGGCCCAGCCCTCAACTCGAGCTAGGGAGACACTTCATTCTCCCGCTGGGGTGCAGACAGGACCGGCTGAGGTCCTCTTCTCCATCACCAACATGTCCTCCTCTGGCGACGAGGACGACCAGGCAGTCCAGACTTTCTTCGTCCGCGCCCTCTATGACTACGAGGCACAAGACGCTTCGTCCCTATCCTTTGTCGAGGGCGATGTCATCGAGGTCCTCACTCAGCTACCATCGGGTTGGTGGGATGGGCTCCTCGGTGAGGACCGCGGATGGTTCCCTTCCAACTACGTTGAGATGATAGACGAGGAAGAGGTCTTTGGGTCTGGCATGCTTGACCTCGATCGAGCCGGAGACGATGACGAGCACGACGCCGCCCTCAATGGCAACGATGGACAGATTCACACTGGTCTCGAACCTGCTCTCTCCCTCTCCACGACTACCTACCCAACCGATGGCGACTTCTCAGCCCCTATGGGCCTCACCCAAGATTTTGAGAGACTGAGAGAACTCATGACCCATGATCATGTAGGAGGAGACGCATTTGAGCAGCTGGCGGAAGCTGCCATGCTAGACTCGCATCACGGGGAGAGCAACGGAGAGGGGGCTTACCGCAACGGAGCTCCAGCAGGAACAGGGAGGTCCTTTGACCAGACCCATGTCAAGAGAAGCTCCGACATCGATCTCGGATCACTACACTCGGCTGGCGGCGCTAGCGGCGCAAGCTCGATCAAGTCACCACACGCCTGGGCACATCCCAGCAGGCCTGGTCCATCCTCTTCGACCGCTGCTCAGGCTGTACAATCCAGGCCAAGAGCTGCGACTGGATTGAACGCTCGAAGGGTGCCAGAGGCGGAGCCCCACTTCAGGGATAGGGCTGCAAGTGATGGGAAGATCGCAAATGCAGCACAGGCGACCAAGGAGAGTGATTATTGGGTGCCGAAGGTCACAGATACAGGAGAGATCGTGTACTACAACACGCGCACAGGTAAAGAGACGACTGAGCTGCCAGATGGGGTGGACCTGTCGGATAGCGACGACGATGAGGATGCCCGTATGTCGCCAATAGGTCGGACTGTCCCAGCGACAGAAGGATCCTACTTCGCAAATCTCCAACGAGACGGCAAACCGGGACTGCTGAGCACCAACATGAGCGACAGTGGTGGGGCTCTATCACTGTTCTCTAGGCCACCAGGTCTGATAGACGACGAAAGCGAGACCGCCGAGCTGCAGAGCATGCTGCAGCCTTCCGAACAGCTGCCCCTCGGTGCAACGCTTCATCGGGCGTTAGAGCGCATGGTTCAATTCATCGACATCTGCGAAGAGTCCGTCGACTCTTCCGGCTTCTCAGAAGCGGATCGGCACTTTGCTGAAGACCAACCTGCCCTATTAGAGAAGAACGGGATCCGCTTGAGTGTGGCCAGGGACCGGGTGATCTCATCTGTCCGTAATGTGCTATACTGCGCAGGCTCTCTCAACGTCTCGAGGACGGATCTGTTGGCAGTAGCTGAGCTGGCATCTCTGGCGTCAGGCGGATCCGACCGAAACGGCAAAGACTCTGTGTCACCTGCAGACTCGAATCAAGGGGCAGTGGCTGCCTTTGCGGGAGCCGTCGTGGCAGTGCACTCCAAGGCTAATGATGCACATTTGCATTTCACTCCACCCACGAGCGTACGAGGCGTTGCTGAAAAGATCATAACCACACTCGCGAAGCTGTGTCTGTCCTCTAGGGCGGTCACTGAGCAGCCTCCGTACATTCCGCCATCTGCGGGTACAGAGAATGGTGGATCGCCCATCCAAGAGGACACGGGCGCTGCTCAAAGGCACACACTCAAGCTGAACCAGTACCGACAGCGGGTGTTGGACGATGCTCAGGAGCTGGCACTTCTGCTTGAAGCCTTTGGAAACGAGCTGGAAAAGCACCGGGCTCTCCACTCGCAACCCACCTGGGCTCGCCGACCCTTTGGAGCGCTAAAGAGTGCGGAAGGCACAGCAGGAGTAAGCAGCCGTTCCTTGAGCGGCGGTTCTGGGGCCGGCTGGAGGGGCAATGGCTTCGTTCTGCCAACGCCAGATGAAACCGCTGTGATGAGGCTGCAGTCCATGGGTCACTTCAAGAATCCCTTCGACACGAACAAGGATGCACAGCGTCTCCTTATCAGTGGCAAGGCACATCTGAAGAGGAGGCCCGGTCAGGTACTCAGAGAGGAATTCCTGAGAGATATAATTAACCCGCAACTCAATGACGTGCTATCCATCTTGACGAGACTGACAGAGTCGGTCAAGCCTCATCTGGACAGTACAGGAACAGCAGCTTTGACGTCGAGTCTTGGGGCTCTCGCATTCGAAGAAGCGTCGAAGGCCGAAGAAGATGACGACGATGGCCTGGGCTTGCCACCATTTACGGCTCGCAAAATCGTCCAGGGCGTGATGCAGTTTGAACACCGCTTCGGTGCATTCATGGCCCTGTGTGAGGACATCGACTTTGCATCGGCTCTGGATGTCGATGGACCACCTCTGGGATCTACCAAGGACACAGAAGCTTCTCTTGCTCGCTCGGCGAAAGACTCTCTGCAAGGTTTCATCGGTTTGAAGCAGAGCTGCTATGATTCGGCCACCTCGCTCGTGATGGACGCACAGGAGGTCGCTCGAGTCACTTCCGGCTTTCCGATTGACTCTCGGGCAATTCGGCGATTGTATGATACTCTGGAGACACTGAAGCAAGTGTCGAGCGGAATGGTGGAAAGTGCTGTCGGACTTGCCAAGATTGCAAAGCTGCAAGAGCGCGAGACGGCCGCGAGTGCTACGCCTGCCAAGACGAATGTGGGCGCTCGAGCTCGAGTGTATGGCGTCGAGGGAGCAATGAACAGGGCCAGTCGGTTCTTCTCCGGTCAGCCGGGTGTGGCGCCACGCATTGCCACCAGGGACGCCCTCGACAGAGGCAAAGCAGTAGGTCTGCCCGAGGAAGGTGAAGACGTTATGTATCTCGGTCCCGGTGTCGCGGTGCCCAATGGGCCCACTGCTGGCCAGAATGGACTACGAGATCGGGCTGGTTCGACTGCTACGGCTGTATCATCTGCTGCAGGGAGCGCAAAGAAGGCAGGCAGTAGGCGAGCAACTCAAGACGAATTTGGCATTGCAAGCAACGAAGATTCACCGGTCCGCGGCGGCAAGCTCAAGAAATTCTTCGGCGAAGACGAAGCTCAGATGCTGCAGCAGCAACCTCTGTCGGCTCAGAATGAATCTCTGCCGCCCGTAGCCAAGAAAGCCGTTGATGAGTCTCCTTGGTACCTTGGACCAGACTACCTTCCAGAGGATATCGTCATTTCTGCCGAGGGTCAGGTGAAGGGTGCCACCCTGCACGCTCTCGTTGCTCGACTGACGATGCACAACACCTTCGATGCGCCCTTCAACAACACTTTCCTGCTGACCTATCGATCTTTCGCCACTACGGACGAGCTCATGAATCTACTCTTTGCACGCTTCAGGATCAATTCTCCAGAGGGACTGACCGCAGAGCAACACTCGGAATGGGTGAGCAAGAAGCAGATGCCAGTGCGCCTGCGAGTGTTCAATGTACTCAAGTCGTGGCTGGAGAGCTACATCTACGAAGGAGAAGATGACCGTCATTTGCACACCATTCGGAGATTTACCGACGAAATGGCTCATCATGGCATGGAGAATCCGGCGAAACAGCTGGGAAAGCTCTTGGACAAGAGGGAGGGTGGTGAGGGTCTGACGGTGCGCAAGTTGATTCTCCCGGAGTCGGCACCTCCGCCTGTGCTGCCCAAGACGCGCAATATCAAGTTCCTGGACATCGATGCCCTCGAAATGGGTCGACAGCTTTCTCTCATGGACCATGGGTTGTATTGCAAGATCAAGCCAGCAGAGTGTCTAGGCAAGGCCTGGTCGAATGCCGACTCGGCGGACCGTATGGCTGCTGGAATTAAGGAGACGATCAGTACCTCGAATCAAATTACCGGTTGGGTAGCCGAGTCGATCCTGGTGCAGCAAGATCTCAAGAAGCGGGCAGCTTGGTTGAAGCATTTCATCGCCATTGCCGACGCCTGTCGCTCTCTCAACAACTTCTCCACAATGACGGCCATTGTCTCTGGCCTGAACTCGGCACCAGTGTTCCGGCTAAAGAGGACTTGGGACGCTCTCAACCAGCGCTTCATTGTCATGCTCGAAGGAATGAACAAGATCATGCAGTCCTCGAAGAACTTTGCAGACTATCGAGAAATGGTGCACCGACTCAACCCTCCCTGTGTCCCCTTTTTGGGAGTCTACCTCACCGACCTCACCTTCATCGAGGACGGCAACCCGGACCGACTCAAGTCAGACGAACGCCTCATCAACTTTGGCAAGAGGCAGAAGACGGCCGAGGTGATTCGGGAGATTATGATCTACCAGGCTACACCCTATAACCTCTCTGTAGTCCCCGGAGTACAGAGGTTTATCATGGCCAATTTGATCAGTGCGAGGAATGATAACGAACTCTATCAACAGAGTCTCAAGTTGGAACCGAGGGAGAGGGAGGATGAGAAGATCAGCCGACTCTTGGCCGAGAGTGGATTCCTCTGAGGGGGAGGGAATGAGGTGGAACGAGAAGAGGAGAGGGAAGCGCAGCAGGTGGAATTTGCGCAGGAGGGGGCGCGGACTGTTGGCAGAGCATCTCTATTCTTCTTTTACGACGATCAGTCCCGCTTTCTTGGTTTTCGTGGCACCTCTCATGCCGTTCTTCAATCACATTCTGATTATACCCAGATCAGGCACGGCGCATTTTTTCTTTCTGCAATCCCTTTCCCCTTCGCAACGTGTGGTCGATTCGCACAGAGGAGACACACAATTCCGCTGAGCTGGCGATGGAGGTGCTGACATTAAAGTTCTCGATGACGATGCAGAGCCTGTGAACCCTGCCAAGCACAGGGTAGGACCCATGATAAGAGAGAGGGAAGCAGGCAAAGACTGGTCTAGTAATCTGTTCGCAGTCAATTGAAGAGGAGAACCTGTCAGCGTCAACCGTCCTACTAAAGCGCTCATACCACCCTCTGCCGCCAAGCTAATGAGGTCGTACTCACTCCTCCTCTTTCTAGGTCTCACACCTCCCACCTTGAGCTTAGTTGCATCGCTCATACTCCTCACCATATTCCTCGTCTCCTCCCCTTCCGCCGCCAACAATGCTCTATAAACTGCATCTCTCCCCGCTCCAAACCCTTTCCAAATTACTTCCAAACGACTGAAAGCCCGTCCCTGGGAGCGAGCCCAGACTGATTTACGAGAGGAGATGGCAGAAAACATGCTGAGGGCAGCTTGGTACCCTGCTTCATACCCTGAGCGAGCAGATTTTTTGAAACCAGCAGTTCCTCCAGAAGTACTATGAACAGGATTTCCATCGGGATCGGTCAGAGTGAGCATGGTATTGTTACTTGTGGCTTGCACGTGAAGACGGTAGTTCTTGGCAGAGCGTAGTTGCCCTGTACTAGCACCTACGCCTGTGGATGTGCCTGTGCCCACGCCTGCGCCGAGGGATCGGACAGGGGAGGGTTGGGAACCGGGAAGGATCGACGAAGCAGTCGAGCTTGGTGAAGAGGCGGAATTGTGGCTGGGTGATGGAGGTGGGGGAGGAGTAGTAGCGGCGGCAGCGGCAGCGGCTGAGGTTGAGGATGAGGATGCGGCACTAGAAGGACCGGCGGCACTGCTCTCGTCTAGCGCTCTGTGGGCAGACGACGTTGTAAAGTGGTAGGCCAAGCGGGGAGCTACTGGAGCTGCTCGTACGGAAGCTACGTCGCCTAGAATTCTGAACGCTCTGCGAAGCATGACTGGCAAATGTGTGTGTGGTCGAAGCGAGTGGTGGTGTAGGCGTAGCGCACAGGAAAAAGGCAAGACGGCCATGAGCTTCGCTTCCGTTCCGATTCCATCACACGGAACAGGAGTGGAGCAAGAAGATCTGAGACGCACTACGTTACGGAAGCACCAGCGCTGCCACTGCGTTTCTGCAATACCCACAACGGTCTACTAAGTGATGGCATCAAAGGTACCTTCAACGTCGGCATCTGCCATACGAGCAGTGCCTATCCACAGACGAGCTGCTGGCTCTGTACGATGGTACGCGTCTGCTGCCTCACCCGCCGGCAAGTCTACCCCAGCTTCCAGCAAAAAGAAGGAGGACAAGTACGCCGATTCACCATGGAAAAAGCCCCTCGCCTCGACACAGACGCTGTCCCTCTTTAGTACATCTCCTAAAGCGCTCCTCTTTGCCCTTGAACAGTCCTTGCGTGGAGCTCTGGGCGCTCTGCTCCGCTCAGATCCACAAGGCGGCCACAGCACCGATCCGCGGGACTACCTCCTCATCTTTGCTGTGGATAAGAGTCTTCCCAAAGACGTCCTCGCAGAGACCATCAGGCTCATGAGAGATGTCCCGATTGCTCACGTGGGCGTACTGAGCCACCCTGTTCCTGGTACACTGCTACCCGCCTCCGCCGTGTCGGATCAACCACAAGCCTCCTCTTCTTCTTCACTCTCGCCGCCGGAAAGCTACCATTCCGTCTCCCTCTCCCTCTTGCCCAGCACCCTCGTCAGACCCTTCTACTCTCAAATCAAGGGAATTGCACCCGTACAAGCAGGAAGGTGGGCCACGGGCAAGGCCAGCTTCGATGAGACTCAAAGCCGCATGGAGAGCCTCGATGCAGATCTCGACGGAAGGCAGGGCGGAGACTGGAAGAATGTCTGGGGGAGGGAGAATGCAGAGGGGAAGCTACCGGAGGAGTTTGATGATCTCAAGTCTTCTTCCCACTTGCTTACACTAATACTGGGAAGCGATGTCTCCCCGCAGGGACTTCTCGAGGGTCTTGACTCCCGGTTCCCCGCTTCGCCCCTCCTTGGTTCTTTTGCTTCGAACACCTTCTTCGAGACTGGCGGCAGGGAAGCGACTCTCTTCCATCGCGGTCCCTCGAGCGTACCTCGAGAAGCGGAAGCGTCGACTGGTCAGGTCAAGGCAGAGGAGGGCAAGATTCACGAGAAGGGCGCCGTCGGACTCTTCTTCCGGACGCCAGGCGGACAAGATGTGCCAGTGCAGGATGGACAGGCTCGACCTAGGGTGGACGTTGAAGTGCCATGGAGGTCTTTCAAGCCGCTGGGAGCTCGTCGGCGCGTGACGAGGGCGAAAGGCAACATCGTCTCGGAGCTGGCAGGCGCCAATGCCTGTCAACAATTCTTGAGGGATGTGGCGGCAAGAGACAAGAAGCCTCTGCCTGTCAAGGAAGAAGACTTGAGTATGGAAGCAAAGGCCCGTGGGATGGACAAGGATGAGCAGAGGTTGCTGAGCAAGGGTGTGGGCAAAGAGGAGGACTTCTGGGCTGTTTTGTGGGAACAGCAGGATCAGCCTGCGGGTGATATCAGCCAAGAGCACCCTCTGCTGGTGTCTCGCATCCTCTCTGGCCACCCATCGAGAGGGACGATCTCCCTCGGAACAGACTTGGAGCTGTCCGTGGAAGGAGTTTCAACAGACCCGCTCGACGTACTCGGTGCTGCTACCACTGAGTCTTTGCCTTCCGCATCGTCCTCCCCCTCGGGCGGAGACAAGGAGTTCTACCTTCAGTTCTTCCAGAAGATGCCTGACGAGCCAAAACTCACTCCACAAAAATGGGAAGAAACGGCTCTCACCATTCCGGGTAAGGACCTAGCGGCATGGCGTCTGCCGCGCTTCCTCTTCCTGAATGCTCCTGCCAATAGCACCGGCAGTAGTCAGGCAACTGGCGCTGCTTCGCAAGCCTCTGCATCGCCTTCGACAGCGAGCAGCGGCGCTGGTGGCGCGACGAACAAGACGCAGGTGCACGCTCTGCCCAATTTGTTCGTCCTGGCATCCGAAGGCGGAATCATCTCGCGCGACCCTTCTCTTTTCGCTGCCAACAAGGCAGGAAGCAGTGCTGATGCCGCTACGAGCGCGGCAAAGGGAGCTGTTGAGGGTTTGAAGACGCGCAGTCGTACGTGGAAGATGGATGGAGCGAGAGGATGGGCGGATCTTAGAGGTCGGACGGCGTAGGGGGTGTACTGAAGGAGTTCTTTGGGGATTGCGACACATCATACCAATAGACCAGTCACAGCAGAGACGTATTGCACACTGCGATCGATTTGCACGATTCTATTTCACGATCAGAGGCTTACACAAGCAGGGTACGATTACGGTACAGTCGAACCTCGAGACCCATCGGCCTCACAACGCACTAGTGCGCAGAGCTCTAGAGGAAGACGAAGACACGGAAAAGTTGCTCGGCTTCGGGGCGGGTATACCAGCGTCTCCAGTCGAGACAGCAGAGGCGACACCATGGAAGGCTGCGCTCGAGCCCGCGGTGACGGTGTTGGGTGGGAGCGAGTGCGGGAACCCACCCTGTGCACTGCGAGGTGAGAAGGGCGTGGTGGGTGGAGAGCCCAGCGAGGTCAATCGAGACTCTTCTGCAGTGAAAGCTTTTCGGAGGCTTCCCTCACGAGGTCTCGACGGTAGAGAGGGGGATTTGACGCTGCCTGCTGATGAGTCCGCGATGGAGTTGTGATGACCTTCACTTTGGGTGCTGCCTAGGGCCAGAGAGGCGAGCTGGTGCCGCGCAAGGACGAGGCTATCCTTGCTTGGCTCATTGTCGTACTCGTCCGAGACAGTCTCTAGGTTCTCTTTGCCCGAGGAGAGAAAGCTGGTAAGAGAGCGGGCAGGACTCACGGGCGTGCCGTTGGATGCAACAGAGTCCTGGTCTCCAGTGTTGGCATCGAGATTAGAGCTGCCGCTGACAGTACGGTTGAGTTCATGCTCAAGAATTCCCACACGAAGACGTCGCTCCTCAATCTGCTTACTGAGACTATCCTGATAGTGATTCAGTCGGCGGACTTCGAGTTGGTGCAGAAGAGCAGCCTCCTCTTCTTGCAGAGCACGGAGCGTGTCCTCGAGGGGGACGATAGCGGCTCGTTTCGCTTCGTAGATTTGTTGTCGGGCCGGCGAGGGTATGTCAGGCGTAATCGCTCGCCCTTGACTTTCTCTGAGGGGAGGAGGTTGGGAGAGAGGGGTAGAGTAGGATCGAGGTGGTTGGTCGTGCGACGAGTCCACTGTGCCACTGGCGGTGTCAATGCGTCCATTGCCTACGCTGTGAGCAAAGGAGCCTTTGCTCGTCTGTGTATCGTGACTGGCGCCGTAGTTCAGGACAGTCATATTCCTGGGCATCGCTTTGAGGTCCGAGCTAGGATACATCTGCTCTGGTTGAAGATAACGGACAGCCGGGTGCACCACACTGCCAGGGAAGGGACCTTGCCTTAGCCTGGGGCTCTCGGCCAAGGATGAAGAGTCGGAATCTGAGTCGAGGACTGCAACCTTGCTCACCTGTCCATCGACGAGATCCTGGTGCAGGGAGTCACGGTAGACGACAGACATTGCTCGGGTGCTCTCCCAGTCTCCTTCTGCCACGGGAGCCAGTGAATTGTGCGAGGCACCACCCACAGGCGTCTGTGACTGCTCTCTCTTGCCCTGTAGCCATGTGGAAATTGAGTCAGCTCAAAGTACAGCTTCAATGGTGCCATGGTAGCTGACTTCTAGTGACTCACCGGCTCGGACGCTTCGCGAAGGGTGGGGCTCTGGACGAGACTCGTTGTGGCAGCGACGTCTGCTGATAGTATCACCGTCTGATCTCCTTCGGCAGCCTCCATTCTGGCCCTCCACTGTGCAGGAGCATCAGTAAGGGCGCGTCGAGGCCGGGTAGCGATGTTCTTCTCGCCTTCGAAGGCCGACACGGCAGACAAGAAGGAGGTCGCACTGGTCACCCCATTCGCTCTCTGGGAGGGAACAACGGGTGCTGCCACCGTTGCCGCGCGCGGACGATTGCGAAGCACATACTCCGTATCGACCGTAGACGAGCTGCGGATTTGACCGCCATGATTCGGATCAGCGACTACGACCATTCGGCCGTTGATGGCTTTGAGTGTCGCTGCTCTGGGTCGTCCTGCCATTACGTTCTCTTCGGCTTCGACTTGATTGGTTTCAGGGACTGGCAAATCCTTGTCCTTGTCCTTGACCTTGACCTTGTCTTCGTCATTCGTCTCAGTCTCTTCGGCCCCGTCGGCTGGAGAAGCAGGCGCTCCGGTGTCATTGACGCCTTCCCGTCCCTTCTCATCTAGCAGCCCATCGGCCTGCGCGTCCGACGCCAAGCTCATGTCATCATCATCAGAGGGCTGACGGCGTCCTTTCTTACTCTTGCTCTTTGACCAACTGAAGACAAAGTTCGAGGAGACGGCGCGGCGTAGTGGTAGAGGTGTTCCCTTTGGCGTCGTCTCAACCTCCGCAGCGACCTCGAAGAAGAAGTTGAAGACGGTGGGCGCAGGGTTGGCCGTACCGCGGAACAGTAGAGGGTTGCGTCGTACCAATGAACCAGACTTCAAGCTGGAATCCACGCTGCCTGGTTGTGGGCTCTGTAATTCCACCGCCAGACTATATGCTTCGGGCGGCTCAGAGTGGGTACGATCCTTGAGTGCTCGACGGATAACCTCTGGTGAGCGGTAGAAGCTGACGGTCAATTTGCCGGCCAGACCAGCGGGTGCGCCGTTCATGAATTCCCAAAGAGGTGATCCGATGAGCGCCGTCGAGGAAGAGATTCCGTCGAGAGAGGCCTTTGTCTGTTGGTTGAGGTCGGACAAAAGGCCTTCACCCAGCGTCTTGCCATTGAGTGCGATATTCACCCAGACGCACGTGATTAAGGGATCCTCCCTCTCTGCGTCTGTAATGCCACAGATTGCAGTCCGACGCCACTGCAAGATATACTGATGGATTGAAGAGAGGCAAGGGTTCAGCAAGCAGATCAAAAGCTTACTACACACCAAGAGTGGTGTGCCACGGTCGATGCGCTCACCTTCCGACCAGGCTGCAGCATCGAAGCAACTCTGGCATGTCGCGACGTATCCGACAACTTCCGGACCAAAGGCACTGCACCTTCTTCGAGTCGCCTAGGTCCAGATTCCTCCTCGGAGGGAGTGACATCTGCCACCCAACACTCATAGTCACGGGAGCGCATATTGAAGCTGATCTGATGGGAGTTTCGGGGATCACAAAGGATGGACGAAGTGAGGGAGACGGGCTGCCCTTTCTCTTTTCTGATCGGTTATGTACTGCCTATCTTATCCGAAATAAGCATTGTCTCTTCATTTCACATGTGTGTCCAGTACCATTTGTCGAGCCCTCATCGCAGCTTGATCCTCCTGCGCACGCTCGGTTCGCCAGGTTAGCAAGCAAGTGCAGACAGGCGCGTTTGGACCTCTTTGACAAGTGACACGCGATTTGGATGGAACAAGCAAAGATAGAAGTTGAGGGCGCGGCCGATGCAGATGAGGTTGTGACATGGGAGTATTGTGAGCATGGAACTCCTGTCACAAGTAGATCAGATTGCCGGAAGATCGAAGTCCTGCAACACAATGCGCCTATCAGCAAGAGATGCAGGAAGCAAGAGAGACAGGGGGACATAGCTTCGCTTCTTCTCAATCTGAGACAAGCTAATTCTCCCTCGTACCGCTTCCACCGCTTGTCCCGCCAGGTGAAAAATAACCTCTGCCTTTCCCTTCTGCCTCGAGCCACTTTCTAAAAGCGTGACGCTTGTCCGGAGTCCAATCTTGCGGGTCTTGCGAAGTCGCAATACTAATATCCGATGGGGCGCCTCCTCCTCCTCCTCTGAGGATCCGAGCACCTGTCAAGCCCAGGCCCGCGCTCATGTCTGGACCGGCGCCGGCGGCGGCGGCGGCACTGCTGCTGCTGCTTCGGGGAAAGGCTGCAGAGGGTGGAGATTTGGAGGCCTCGACAATATCCTGCAAGAGACTAGTGGTAGATTGATTGAGGCCCAAGCCAAGCCCGCGTCCTAGATCGTGCAGACGGCTGGTCTGTGGACTCATAGTCTCATTACCGGCTGCATTTGGAGTCAGCACGAGAGTCGAAGAGGAGTAGACTGCCGTAGAAGGATCGGGTGACTGGGCAAGAACCCCCACCTGGTCTTTTGTGCTCTGAATTGCCGGTTTGTGCACTCCGCCAAATCTCTCTCTGAGGCCACGAAGAGAAGTAGCTCTCATAGAGGGCGAGGCTTTCGGCGATACGGCCTCTGGGCCATGAGATGGTACCGACTGCTTCTCGTCTGTTCTTGCAACGCTCCGCAAGGCTTTACTGCCTTTCACAGCCTGCACTCGAGAACGAGTGGCACTCCGAAGACTGTCAAGCGAAGACTTAGTGAATGCCGGGGAGTTGGATCTGGAGTCCTTACTGTGTTCAGATGCCGCAGAGCCATCCTTTCGCCCGCCTTTGAATCCATAGCAGCTATTTGTGGAGCTCCTATGCGTCAGACTTGACGTACGGGGTTGGCTTTGCGTTGCGTCCAGGGACGGAAGCTTCTCGTACTCCTCGCCAGACAGCCGGCCCGTTGATCTTTCTCTATCATAGTCTTCCTCCGCATCCGCGTGAATGGAGCCTCGAGCCGATCTGAATTCCTCATTGGCATCAGTGCAAGTACAGGAGGCTCTTGACGCCGCACGTCTCCGCCCTTTACCGCTGAAGATACCGCCACCGCTCAGAGGCTCATCGGGCAGACTCTCGTAACTTGCAGGGGCTGCTAGACATGGAGCGGGGCCGGCAGCAGCTGATGCGGATCGTGATCGCGGCTGTGCTTGCTGTACCTGACGAGGAGCGCTGCTTTCTTCAATTGCTGCGTTCGCTGCAGACGGGAGTAGCTCTTCTGGCAAAGGGGTTGCCTGAAGCTTGGTCCTGGCCGTTGTGGGCGATGCGGTCGGCTCTGCTTGCATTTGTCCTGCTTCGCTTGATCCGCGTTGCCTCGCCCCTCTGCCTTTCGTCGTGCGCCTACCTCCGTCCTTTCTTATGATATCAAGCAGTCGCGATCCCTTGACAACAGGCTTAACAACAACAGCACCTTTCGCAGAGTCTCTATCGCTTGCGCCTGCAGTACCCAAGCTGTCCGCCCTCACCGGCGACTGGCCATGGCCATCGCTGCCAATCTGCATGGCGGCAGCTAGACCTGGGCTAGCCAGCGTATCGCTGGGCTCGCTGCTGCGACGACCAGAGACGGCACTGGCTGCTTTCACGATCTTTCTGCCGAGCCAGCTCGTGGGGGTAGTAATGGGTGCCGCAGCGGTAGCAGCTGCCGACGCCGCGGGTGGATTCAGACTACAGTGGGCACTGCTGGATTGCTGACCATCGATGGGCACAGAGGGAAATTGCCCGAGCAGCTCCACTGTGTCTTCAGCCGGAGAGGAGGCGCGATTGGAAGATTCGAGCCTCCTGTCAGGCGTGAATAGCGAACTATGGCGCGAGGTTTCGATGCCAGCATGCGTAGCTGAGAGCATGTCCTTCAGTCGAGGTTGGTCCACTGTGGCACTGTCAACAGAGCGCCGGTCGCCGCTCTCAGTGCTCTTCTTGTTGCCTAAATTACGCAGCGGCAGCACTGACGATGCTTGGCAGTCATCCGAAGAAGACCGTCGAGCGGCAGGGCAAGCCGCAGAAATCTCGCTGTCGATGATCGATTCGTGGACGGAAGGCGTGACCGAGCTGAAGTGAGAGCGAGGCAAATAAGTCTGCGAGTGCGGCGGCATTGAATCGACTTGAGATGAAGGCTTCGTCCTATGCTCGGAAGAGGTGCGAATGCCGCCACCCTCCTCCTCGTCCTCGACCTGCAGGCCGATTCCCGGCTCCGTACTAGCAGAAATATCCACAAGCTCGCCAGGCCGATTCGGGCTTCTCCCAAGCGCCAGATCTCGACTGAGATCAGAGCGCAGCTGAAAGCCAGCATTTGAGTCAGACAGGTCCCAATTGGAAGTCGAAGAGCTCCACCGAGACTGTACCATTCGTCCAAGATCAGCAGTAGATGGTGAGGCAGCTGAAACACTCATCTCAGCTGCTTCTTCCCTGCTGGACGCTTTTCTGTGAGCTGACTGTAGGAGATCCGAGCTGCTGCGACTGCGCGCTCTGCGTGAGAATGGAGAAGCGCTTGAGGTTGAGAGCCACGTTTTCCTAGGCCATAGCCGAGGAGAATTTTCCTGGACACAGGCCTTAGAGTCAGGAGAGGCAAGATTGGCAGAGAAAGACTGGCCAGTGGCAGAACCTAGAGCGCTCTTGATCATCGAGGTCAGCACAGTCGTAGCGGGCGGCGTGGGTTGCACTTTCTGGCTTGACCTTAAAGGGGGCGCACAGTCTGAATGTGAAGATGGGTGTGACTCTGTCTGAGATGGTGATGCGCCTCGTAGCGGAGTACTCGGGACATTGATGCGTGATTCTCCGGAAGACGTCCTGTGATCCTCGTCCATAGCCAGCCCCTCAGCTCGCTCGAGTCTCTCACCCACCTCATGATCGTCACTATTCACCTCCTTCGCCTCGCCATCAGCTTCGCTTCGTTCAACCTCCTCAGAGATGCGCCCAAGGGAAGATCGGTTCTTGCTAGCAGGCTGTTCATCCTCACTACTCGAAGACCACGTACAATCCTCTCCAATCTGCTGAGCATGAGCATCTTCTGCCATTTCCTCGGCGAGCTGTACTAGGCGGACCTTCTCGTTGGGTCTGAGCACGAGGAACTCCCCGCTGCTATCGAGCAAGTGACGGGGGATGACTGGAGAGAGGCGGATGATCTTTTCGTTGTGTCAAGTGCTGCACAATGGCAAGTGTGGTGGTGGGTCGCTCAGAGAGACTCACCGTCTCCGTGAGAGCCTAACGCATCAAGACGAGGCGAAGATGACACAGAGTTTGTGGGACTGTGGCTTCGATGGGCATTCCAGTCACTCGTAAGCATGTGTTCAGGCTCTGCATCTGAGGACGACCGAGTCCGGTCTTCTTCCGACATGATGACCTCCTTCGAAAGAGAAGTCGACTGTGAGGGTCGCAAGTGGTCGATGGTGTAGCCACGCAAATTGCGCGAGACACCTAGACTGCTGCCCTCTAGGTCCGCAGAGGTAGAGTGAAGGAACACACCAGCAGTGACTAAGCTCTCATCCTGATCAGATCGCCGTCGACTCTCCTCTTGGCTGTAACCGATGCTTGAACTGTCGCGAAACGGAGCTTCCTGAGAGATTGGCCAGCTATTATCAGGCAACAGCTCGTCTCCCCTCGGATCCGAGTCTTTGGTCAGGATCCTGCTCGCATCCTCATGAGTAGTCGTAGATGAGGTGCTAGAGCCACCACTAGAGCCGCTGCTGGCGAGTGCCATGAAGTTGGCTACCTTTGCGGTGACTCCATTCTGATCCTTCTTGGGTTGCGCCTGTGAAGGCCAGAACGCACGACTGTTCCTATTCCTTTGACGCAACGAGACGCTCGTACTTCGAGGCTTGCGAGTACTATGCACGCGTGCACGTCCACTGCTGGGACTCTGTCCATACTTGTGATGACTATAATCGGCCTGTCTTGTGATTCTGTTAGAAGCGCGAAGGAGAGACCTTGACAAGTTGATCCTGTCGGTGCCGCCGAGAGCCTCTTCCAGCGCAGTGCGAGCTGCTTTGACAGCTACATCTGCCTGTATGATCGCCTCAAGCGCCAAGAAGAGACTTTGCTCCTTGCGCTGTCTCGGCGAGGTAGCATCGCTTGAGGATGAAGATGATCCGCCTACATCCTCGTAGCTTCCACTGGCCGCCCTTTCGACAGTGTCAGGCTCGACGCCGTCTCTGTCATCATCGAATGTTGCAATGTTGACAGTGGCTGCCCTGCTCCAGTGCACTTGAGGAGGGTCAGAGGACAAGGGCCCAGTCTCACAGGGCCTTTGCGCAGTGGTGCTGCGAACGTTGTCCGAGCGGAGTGGCTGCACAGCAGGCGCGGCTGGCAGTGGTCGCTCCGGAGGAGATAGCGGGGTAGGAACATCGAGGCTTGAGCGGGTGCGAACAGAGGACGGGGATCCGCTGAGCATGGCACAAGGATGAGTGGACTGGGGAGGAGGAGCAGGAGAGAGTCGAAGAGGGCCTGGAAGACAGGGGAAGTTGATCCCTTCGAATTGCTCTGCCATTCGCTGCTTCCCCTCGTCCACGCATTGATTGCTGCCGGTGCCTGGCCCGCCGGACCTGTTTTGCTCTGACGATGTCCACGCCAGGAACGGTGGCGCGAAGATGAAAGGTACCACCCCGCTCCCCACTATACAGCCGCACCGCGCTGCTCATTTACACCTCGAGAGTCTCGCCTACTTCAAGGTCTACCACTCTGCCCGCCAGCTCGCCAAAAAGCTGTTGGAGCATCTTCTGTGCCTCATCGGCTTGCATCTCCTTGCGACTAATGACACGAGCGACGAGACCTTTGGCAGTCTTCCTCTCGTCGTGAGTGCGTACCACAATCGTTGGCGAGTAGTGTTCTGTCTTTGACTTCGGAGTATATTCGGACGAGTAGCAGCACAAGACTGCCGTTTCGAAGCCTAGAGCTACTGGGCCGGTCAGAAGGCGCAGTAGCGGTAGGGTCTGTTCGTCGAAGGAAGTGACCAACAAACGATGGTGTGCTTTGCTGAGCCAAGAAGGGAGGGACGTTTGGAGCGTACCATGGGGAGAGTACACTATTGAGGAGAAGGTCGAGTCAGGCCCATCAGATTGCCACAGGATGGCAAGACCGCTGTGTAGATCACCCCATGCTGAAAATAGCCCTTCTTTGGCAGGCAAGCGGACAATGCGGATGCCTGCGGGGAGAGCTGTCTGAGCCTTCGCAAAGAAGTCCTCTCCCTCGCCGACTACTGGTAGCAGGAAGATTCGATATCTGTCCTTCTCGACACCAGCTTTCTGGAAGAGGGATAGGACTGCTTTGCGAGACTGCTGCGTACAGAAGAGGTGAAGAGGGTCGTCTCCTTCGGTACGGTCGGGCATCTCGAGGAGGGACTGAGGGTGGGCATGATCTGTGAATGGATGTGAAATCAGAATTCCGTCAATCCTTCCACTGCCACCCCCACCGTGAGCCTTTGTCCGCTCCTCTTCAGTGGCATATTCGACGCGTTCCTGGCCTGCCTTCTCAAGTGCCTCATGAGCTAGTGCTTGTGAGAGGGACGAGAGCGTGGGGTAGGCAGAGGCGATGTTTCGTGACTGAGAGGAAAAGGAAGAATGAAAGTCGATCTGCTCGGAGTCGCTCAACCACGGATCGATCAGCTGGGAGTGTGAGGAGGAGGTCCTGCTATGTCAGCTTCGCGCTGCAACGCACTTGGGCGGCTCAGGCGAAGGCTACTGACCAGATTGTAAGTCTTTGCTCTTGTCGCACTCTGAACGTCAAGGAAAGGCAATTGAACGAGCCATGTCGTGTCACCATTCAATCTTCTCAGTATCGCCTTGGTCATCAAAGGCAACGTGGACGACTTTTAGGGTCAAGGATGTATTGTCCGCAGGAACGGAACGACGCGTTGCTTGGTGCACGGCCCAGGGGCTCGGCTCCTGAGATCTTGATAGAGGAAGGAGCGGATGATGACAGCCGTCAAGGAAGCGGAATCTAGTGGCCGGATTGAGGAGGAAATTTCTGCCGTTGCGCCATCGTTTGTGCTGAGAGAAAAACAGGGTCTAGTGCGGTGCTGTATAGGGGGAGTGCACTGAGCGAGTGAGTGTACACAGCAGCTCTGTCAGCATCCCTCGGCTGGCTGGCTGGCTGGCTGGCTGGCTGCTTTGCTAGGCGATGTCCAGGCTCCTGGCGAGTGGCTCAGGATGGGTTTGGTCTCGGTTGGAGCGGGGCGCACAAACAGAAGCCGAGGATGTTGACTTCGTGGGCCGATGGCCGCTGAAGCTGCATCACGGGGAATGCTGGCTGTTCTGGCGCGAGGGCGGTGCGCGAGTCAGCTTGGCCAGGCGTCGATGTTGTCTTGCCCTGTGGCTGCAGGGCTGGCTGCCTCTGCTTCCGGGCCGCGCGCCTCGGCCACTGTCCCACAGGCGCCCCGCCCCGGACATGGCCCTGCCAGGGTCGTGGCTGCTGATCCTGGCCGCTGAATTTGGCAAAGGCAGGCGGCAGCAGCAGCAGCAGCAGCAGCCTCCCGCTTCCTGACACTTGCACACCCTCGCACCACACACACACACCCACACACGCCCGCACTCCTCTGCCGCCCGCCCGCCCCTTTGCACCACCCATCCAAGCAGGCGGTGATCATTTCCACTTCGCCATCCTCACCCAACCCCCCCGTCGCTACCATCCATCCTCTCTACCTCCGTCGCACTTGGTCTCCTCGTACCTAAGATCATTGCTTCTCCTACGTGGGAATCGGACTTCAGATCCCTACACTTTCTTTTCATCACCCCCCCCTCTACGCAACCCTGCTCTTTTTCCGCCCGGCCTTCGAGCGAGAGAGCGAGAGAGCAGAGCCATTTGCGACTTTCCTGTATCCGGTGGCAGAGGAGATCTATATACATCTACACACACAGCTCTCTAGCTGGCAGAGAATCTGGAATCCACACACACACACAAGTCCTCTCTATATTTGCGCACTATCACGACCGTCCCCACTCACACTTGGGACTTGACACGCATCGGCAACATCTGGCCTCGATCAACCGATGAAGTAAAAAAAGAAGCTGTACAATACCTCCATTCTCTCATTCCTCCCCGCACAACACAAGCATTCCTTCCCTCTTTCTCCCCCCTGCTCACAATCTCAAGAGGACTAAAGTCGAGAGAGAGACTCACACCCGACTCGACTAGTCGCCCTTCATGCCGCCCAACATGAACCCCTTTGAGCCTGACCAGCCTCATGACGCTAGTCAGGCCTACCGCCCCTCTCCGGGCGGCCAGCGCTCTTCGACGCAGGCACCACAACAACATCCCACGTCTTCGCGCCCACCGCAACCCTTTCTCGGGTCATACCCTACCTACACCGGCAGTGGCAACCCTCAAGGGTCTGCTGGTAACAGTGCAGGGCCACCTCAGCCACCTACAACACAACATCAACAGCAGCAGCAGCAGCCCCGAGGAGGCGTCTCCTTTCAGATGCCACCGCCTAGAAGTCAGCCGCAACGTGCACCCAATTCCCGCGACTCTGTCAAGCAGGAGCTTCTGGGTGGAAGCGACAAGTACTCACCCGGCGAGACACCAGGCAGTCGGGGGGTGCCTGAGCTCCTCTCAGGGGGCGGCAGTAGTGGTGGCGCGGGTAGCAACCTCGATCCCGAGGCTGGCTTCTCCAACAACAACAACTTCAAGCGAAAGAAGTCGCTGGTGAGACCTGACCGAGAGCGTATGGACCCAAACCATAGGCAATGGTACTATCGGAACCATGCTGCCCAATTGGACATGGTCGACGCCTCCGGCAGGCCCTCACACCACATCGGCTACATGCCCTCAACGACTGGTCATCTTCCTCAGCATGGTGCTGCCTTTCCAGGCTATGGCATCAATCACATGCAAGGACCAGGAGGCGGTATCAGCGGCCTAGGTATGGTGCAACCTGCAGACGCAGGAAGGCCAAACAACATGCCACCCGGAGGTCTGGGCAGGGCACCGCCTCCTGGAGCGCCTGGTTTGAGGCGAGGCAAGTCGATACTGGGTCGGGAGGAGGATCAGGTCGAGACCGGTATCAACTTCTTGAAACGTGGTGTTTCGCTTAAGCGGACAAAGTCCCAAGCTAGTGGTCATCGCAAAGAGTTGCCGCGTGATTGGGCAGCGGCAGGGCAGGAGAAGCCCAGCCGGATGGCCAACATTGCACCGGGTCCTGTGGGACCGTGGATGATCTACTGCTACGCCCTCACCATCTGCTGCGTCGGTCCTTGTCTGGGCATCTTCGGCATCAAGACACCCGAGCAGCAGAGAGCTTGGAGAGAAAAGATTGGTCTCTTGTCGATCATCGTCACCGCCATGGCCGGTGTTGGTTTCATCACCTTTGGATTCACCCAGGCGGTTTGTGACACTGCACAGACACGGTACGAGGTCACCAACATCGACAATGGATCCATGGTCTTCTACGGGTATGATTACGACTTGAACAACTTCTACCATCCCCAAGTAGGCTCCTTTGCCGCTGGAACCGAGTGGCAGCAGCTCAACCCGGTCTACTCTGAACCTTTCTCATCGGGGAAACAGGATGGATCTCTTATTGCTCAAAGGACCGGTGGCGCATGTACTGGCCTGATCCTGAACAGTGGAGACAAGTCTGAGGCTACTCAGTACTTTCCATGTCAGATGACCTATCTCAATGGTACCAGGGCCTACCGCAATGCGACCATGTGTCACAGTGCTGATTCTGCCAACAAGATTCTCCTTGGACAAGCAGGTTTCCCTCTGGGCGGTCCGGTCTACTATACCTGGGAGCAGGTCGAAGACAAGACTCGTAACTTCCTCGTGTGGAAGGGAGCCGTCATTGATGCCGGTCGTCTGGCTCTTCTATACACCAACAATCTCACCTACCCTGCCCTCTTTGACACACTCAAGACACGGTCGGAACAGTGGTCCGGTCGAGACGTCACAGCTGCTGTCTTCCGCTCTCAGCAAGACACCGTCTTTGACTGTCTGGACCAGATTGCTCGGGTTGGCTTCGTCGATTCTGAGTCGATTGGTTGTGTCGCTTCACAGGTCGAACTCTACGTTGCCCTCGTCGTCATTCTGGGTGTCGTCGGTATCAAGTTCATCATGGCCGTCATCTTTGGTTGGTTCTTGAGCTGGAGGTTAGGCAATTACGGCAATGAGTCTCGTGCTCAAAGGAAGAAGCGTGCAGCCGAGATCGAAGACTGGTCCGACAACATCTACAGGCCTGCTCCAGCTGCATACAGGCCTAACGTCAGGAAGCACCGCTCATTCCTACCCAAGACCTCGCGTTTCTCCACGGCTGCACCTCTGAAGAATCTGCCGCCCCGAGCTGCCTATTCCGAGAAGGGTGGCAATGGAAGCAGCGGCGCTCGCTCGCCTGCCCCTCGAGGTGGTAGGGTCGGCGTTGGTTCGCCAGTGGGAGGGTCACCTCCAGGCTCGCCTTCACTCCGCGGTGTTCGCTCCAGTACCTCACTCGTCAACACTGTCAACAATGCCGACCGAATGATGCCGTCCTTCAGTCATGGATCAAGACGTAGCTCAATGTCGCACGACCCCATGATTGGCGCAATGGGAGCCTGCCCATGGCCCCTCGACAATGTCGTTCCTCAGCCTCCCTCGGACTACATGCCGTACCACTTCCCCCTGGCCTACAGCTTGTGTCTGGTTACTGCCTATTCGGAGTCGTTCGAGGGTCTTCGTACTACCCTCGACTCGCTAGCCACTACCGACTACCCTAACTCTCACAAGGTGATCTTGGTGATTGCTGACGGTATCGTCAAGGGAGCCGGCTCGGAGCTCAGTACCCCCGACATCTGTTTGAGCATGATGAAGGACTTTATTACGCCGCCGGAGGAGGTTGAAGGCAATTCGTACGTTGCCATCGCCGATGGTTACAAGCGCCACAATATGGCCAAGGTCTACGCCGGATTTTACGAGTACGATGACGAGACTGTCGAGCGATCGAAGCAGCAAAGGATCCCGATGGTCCTCGTTGCGAAGTGTGGTTCTCCACTCGAGGCCGACGGCGCCAAGCCCGGTAACCGAGGTAAGCGTGATTCCCAAGTCCTACTCATGGCTTTCTTGCAGAAGGTCATGTTCGACGAAAGGATGACTGCCTTCGAGTACGACTTCTTCAATGCCCTTTGGAGAGTTACTGGAGTGTCTCCCGATCACTACGAGATTATCTTGATGGTTGACGCAGACACAAAGGTCTTCCCCGACTCCCTCACCCGCATGGTTGCCTGCATGGTTGAAGATCCCGAGATCATGGGTCTGTGTGGAGAGACCAAGATCGCCAACAAGAGTGAGACATGGGTGACCATGATTCAGGTCTTCGAGTACTACATCTCTCACCACCAGACCAAGGCATTCGAGGCCTGCTTCGGTGGTGTCACCTGTCTTCCCGGATGTTTCTCCGCTTACCGTATCAAGGCTCCTAAAGGTGCTGCCGGCTACTGGGTCCCCATCTTGGCTAACCCAGACATTGTCGAGCACTACTCGGAGAACGTCGTTGACACACTACACAAGAAGAATCTGCTCCTTCTCGGTGAAGATCGTTTCCTGACAACGCTCATGCTCAAGACCTTCCCCAAGAGGAAGATGATGTTCGTGCCCCAAGCCGTTTGCAAGACAGTCGTGCCCGATACCTTCCGAGTCCTGCTATCTCAGCGTCGACGATGGATCAACTCGACAGTCCACAATTTGGCCGAGCTGGTCATGGTCAATGATCTCTGCGGTACCTTCTGCTTCTCGATGAGGTTTGTCGTCTTTATGGAACTGTCTGGTACCCTAGTCCTACCCGCTGCCATCGCTTTCACTCTCTACGTCGTAGTCTCAGCCGTTGTCGACGGTATCCAGGGCAAGCCTATCCAGTCGATTCCTCTGATTCTGCTTGCCCTCATCTTGGGTCTTCCTGGTATCTTGATTATCGTCACTTCCCGCAAGATCGCCTACGTCGGATGGATGGGTGTCTACTTGATCTCCCTCCCCATCTGGAACTTCGTTCTACCGGCGTACGCCTTTTGGCACATGGACGACTTCTCTTGGGGTGCAACCCGTATTGTTCAAGGTGATGCAAAGGGCGACCATGGCGATGCCGAGGGCAAATTCGACCCTTCCAACATTGTCATGAAGAGGTGGGTCGAATTCGAACGTGACCGACGCCTTGCCGCTGGTATCCAAAGCCGAGACTCGACCTACGATGTCCTGCACATCGGTTCTCCGGACAGGCAGGCCGGTTCCTCCAGGTACAGCTTCGTTTCGAGCTCAGTGACTGGGCACAGTGAAGGAGGTCCCAATGGCGGTCAGACTGAGCGCTTGTTGAGCTCGCTTGGCTCTCACTCTGCTGCAATGGAGTCTGAGAGTGGTCACGGCAGGGTCGTCTCTGGCGGCATTCCCGGCGCTCGAGCTCGCATGGACGCTGTCCCATTGCTATCGCTTCCTGCGCCGCTCGGTGACCCAGGAGGAGCCAACAAGGGTATTCCTGCTGCTCAAGGCTCCGTCTTTGTCACACGATCGACAAGAGATACAAGCCCGACGCCGCTATCCAACCGACAGCAGTACGAACTCTTCTCCAATGTGATGGACGAGGAACACCAGCCTATGATGGCTCATGGTGCGAATGGTTCCAACCGCTCTTCGCCAGACCAAGACCAGCGTCGACCGATGCACGAGATCAACAGGGCAGACATTGCAGCGCATTTGAACTCGGATTCTGAACATCGCTCCTCGTATGGCGCTCCGCCTATGCCGCCCTCTTTGTCCGGCCACGGAGCATCAAGACCGCGAGAGAATGCTCCTCGGGAGCTGACAGCGCCGTCCCAAGACGCTTTCGTCTCCTCGCCCTCTTCGTACGCCCCTTCGTCGCAGTCATCACATCAACGCGGCTTCTCACTGGTTGACGATGGACCGACGGGCGCGGCACCGAGGGTTGTACAGAGGGGAGCCAGGAGGACAAGCACGGCTGACAATGGAGGGCCAGGTGGACCCACCAGCGCATCTGGAGCTGGCTCGCGCTTCTCGAGGAGTACAGCGGCGGACCATGGCAACGGTTCAGTGCCTGCTTCTTCTGCTGGTGGACACTCGAGCAATCCTTTCCACCGTTGAAAGCTGAAGCTTAAGTTAAGACCCCCTGTGGGTGAGGCTGAGGCCAAGGCCATTCCTGCAGCAACAGCAAACGCAAACATTTCCTTCCCATGACGATGACAAGCAACGAAACATCCATCTATTCCCTCAAGTTTCCTCATATGCAACGAACATTACCTCCATCCACTACAGACTATTATTCCACTTGGCCTTCGGACGACACGCACACAAAGACTAGGGCGTACTTGTTCGTTTCGTCTTCCAGCCGTCAAGAAGTTTTCCTTGTTCTTTTTTGCCCTCTCCTGGTTTCACAGTTCACGGTCTCTATCTATATGCTACAAGACTCCTCCCTTTTCCCCTTCCTACCCGTGTTTCTTCTTAGCCTTTTCGCCCCCCCATTACTATCTCCCCTTTTCACCCTTGTCCATTCTTTGCGCACCCGCCCCCGCACCCACATTTTTCCTCCTCGCCGCTTCTTCATCTTGGACCCTACCTATCACCTACCCGCCCGCTCAGCGCGCCTTTGATATCTCTCTCTCCCGTGTTCTTCCCTGGCTTGTATTCCCCTCAACCCTGACCCCCACCCCCACTACCAGTGGGGTTGCAATCTCATCTTTGCATTGCCCCCCGCCTTTGCCCGATTTGAGCTACTTGTCGTGGATTGCTAGATTAGTCTGTAGCACTTTTGTGCCCTGGCAAGGATTAGGAGGGTCAGAGCTAGTCCAAGGCGGTCGCGGGTGAGTGGGAAGGACAGCGTTGAGACGCGCAGGCCTGCGTGACTCTGACCCCACGCGCGTCTGCCTCGCCTCGCAAAGCCTACACTTCTCGCCTTTGCGGGTCGGTCCTGCTGCTGACGTTGAGTGAGCTGGGCCCGCTCCTGTTGCACTCCATGGGGCCAGGCAGAGGTCACCGATTTGGATATGAGGAGCAATGACGAGCGAAGTCCACCTCCTTCTCCACTGGCCCCCCGCCAGGAGTCGATGCTTAGTGCGCCATGGTGCCTCTCTCTCTCTCTTTTGGCGGTGCGAGTGGAAGGAAACGCGCCCGCCAAGACCCGCCCGCTTGCGCCTCCTTGTTCCCCCGATCTTGCACATGCGAGGCGAGGCCAAAGCATACACTTAGTCTACCACCACGCTCCGCCACGCCAAGAATTGGGAAAAAGGCTGGATGGAGGAGGAGGAGGCTTGTTGTGGGTGATGTGTCATGCATGCTGGATGTCCTTCTATCCCTCTGTGCTTACCTGGTGGGGTGAGGTGCAGGTGGTTTTAGTCTTGGCTACAAGAGGTGCTGGTGCCAAGGGAGGACAGAGCGGAGCACTAAGGGTAGCCAAGAAAGCGCGCCAAGACAATTCAACCAGGACCGGTGCAGGGTGCAGACTCCACCAACCAAAGCAGCATCAGCAGCAGAAGTGCAATGGGATTGGGTCCTATCCTCGTCCTTGCCATGATCCCACTCCTTCCAAACCTCTCCTCACCGGCACAATAGGCGGACATGTCTGGCGAGAGCGGGAGCCAAGAATTATACCCCCTGAGATAGGAGCAGCACAGAAACGACGACGGAATGTTAGACGCCTTCCCCTGAGGTTCCAGTCTCGGACTCGCCCCTCTCATCCCCTGGCTAGACGGCGAAGACGATGCTTGGTGGCCAAGCTGCCAATTGCTTTTCGGACCCAACATCTTCGGCGATATTACCTGCTGTCTCTACCTGCCTCCGACGAGATTGGATGATGTCGATGTTGACTGACCGCTTGCCTGACTTGCCTCGCTCCTCTTAACACTGCCACTCCCCTCTCCTTCGTTCAGGTCATTCGTACACATCACTCTTTTCCTCACCATCCTTCTCTACGTTCCAATCCCTTTCATTCTTTGCCACCGTCACCCTTCACCTATCCTCTGCTTGACACCTTCTTCACTTGCTCCTTCTCATTAAATCTTGCATACCCAGCAGCAACTTCACACATCTACCAGCCAGCATGTCCTCCCTCCGCACCCTCTTGACTCTTACCTCTCTGCTAGCCGCCACCGGCGTCTCGGCGCAGAATATTTCTGGAGCCCCTACAGGTAATCCCTCTGCTGCCAGCGGCCAGACTTTCAATGAGCCCACCAGCTCTTGGACTCAGTGGCAGGCTAAGCCCACATACGCTTATACGGACCTGCCTGATCAGTACCTCGGTACCACTGGCAATCCTGACTCGAATGGCTATGTGGTGAGTAGACCTGACAGCCTGTATGCCAAACAACAATGGCAATTGACACATCGCCGCGCTGTGTCTTGATCCTCAATAGCCACCTCAAGAGGGTTACAATCGATGTCTTCAAGGAGACGGCTCGTGGAACTCCAACTCTTCTTGTCAGACTGCCTGGATCAACTCAGTCGATGACTTCTGTCTCTGGGGACCCCCAGGAGAGGGAGAGGAAGTCGGATCGTTTGAGAGGAAAGGTGAGTTTTTCCTCTGGTCTACAGACGTGGGAAATCTTTGAGCCACAGTTGCTGACATTAATCCTCGCTTTTTTCCTTGACCGCAGCCGTCGCTTACTGCACCAAGCCTACGCACGGAACCCGTCTGATTCCCGATGGTACCCTCACTGGTGTGCACTTTGTCGCTACCTCGGACTATGTACAGGTGACTGGTCTGGGAGACTTTACTACAATGGGGTACGTCGACGGTGACGCTGGTGGAGAGATGGATCCTCACGGTGAGGACGACCGTTCAAATCCCATCGGAGGAGTCGTCTACACGACGGCTCAGCCAGACCGTGAGGGTCAGGCCACCTTTGTACGAGAATGGACAAACTTCATGTCCTTTGACCGATTCTGCTTTCGAGCCTGCTGGGGTGAGCTAGCCCGACTACAGTGTCAGCACATCTACGACGTTCTTGGATGCAACTTTAACATCCCAGCTAATTACTCCGAGGGATTCGAAGACTGCACTGGTGAAATTGCTATGCTGCAAGGAATTTACTCTACCCGTGGTTCCACTTCGACCTTTCAACAAGGAGACGCAACTACACCTCAACCTCACCCTGCTCCGTCTTCTTCGTGCAAGAGCGTCTCGTCGGTAGGAAATGGTGGTGTTCTACTAGCCACCTACTCTTCGTCTGCTACTAGCATGTCTACAGCTTCACGATCCTCTAGCGTCAGCGGAGTGGATGCCGCCGCCAGTCGATCTACCTCGACCGCCGCCGGATCTGCTTCTTCGACGGCTTCCTCTGCTGGATCTGGATCCGCATCCACAAATACTTCTGCAGCATCGTCCGCTTACACTGCCGGATCTGCCCTTGTGCTCCTTGCAGCTGTAGGTGTCGCAATGGTCACACTGCTTTAAGCGCCCCTCCCTGCAAAGGCAAAAGGAACAATACTTTTTCAATTTCGCTCGAGCTGACTGCGTAGCAGTGAGCAGTGCAGTCCACTTCTCTTTCCATAGTCCCCACAGACTCAAGGCACTCATTGCCATTCTCTCCTACGCTCGAATCTTCTGCTTTGCCTTGCTTCGCATTCCATGTCTCTAGCCACGCCGTGCCTTTAGGACTGTATATAAAGAAACACACAAGAACCTTATCTTTTTTCGCCCCTCATTCTCGTCTCCTTTCTTATCATCGAGACACAATGAATCTCTTTCAAACTCACTGAATGGCAGCCTAAGCTCAGCTTTTTCAAGCGCAGCAGGATGAGTGGACTCACGCTTGAGAAGGAGTGACATTGCAAAGATGCGAAGGAGAGCTCTTCATCCATTAGCCCATCACTTGCCGCCTTTCTTCTTGTTCTTCTTTTTCTTCTTCTTACCACCACCGCCGCCGCCACCACCACCAGGCCCAGATGTAGCAGAAGCAGGAGCATTTCCGTCAGGAGCTGCAGTGGCATTCTTTGTGTCCTCTGCCTCCCCTGCGCCTTCCTCTTCCTCACCCGCATCCGCATCGTCTGCCCCGCCGTCACCGTCACCGTCACCGTCACCCTCTGCCCCGGCCTCGGCCTCGGCCGCGACCTCCACCTTCGGCCCTACGTCCGCCCCGGTAGCAGACTGGGTCACGCTCGTAGCAGCGACCTCGGCCTTTGCAGCATCGTTCGAGCCAAGATCGATGCCCAAGCCTAGACCGACGCCAGCGGCGGCGGCATCGTTGCTCTTCTCAGCTTCTTCCGGCTGTTCCGCCGAAGTCGTACTTGCCTCACCGACGGGTCCATCTGACGGAGGAGCCACTTCCTCTTTTACTGCCGCCTCCGACGCAGGTGCCGATGCAGGAACTTGCGCCTGCTGCTGACCTGCAGCCTCGTTCTCGGACGTCGTCTCGGCCGGGTCAGCCGTGGCGGGAGGCTCACTAGCTACAACAGGAGCTGCCGATGGTTCCGTCGTCGCTGTAGAAGGCTTCACAGGCGAGCGTTCCTCTAAAGTGGCGGTCCGGCTATCTTTGGGCGGAGTAGGCGGCGGTGGCACCTCCTTGTCCTGACTCGCCTTTGCACTGATGCTTGTCGCTGCCGATACCTCCGTCTTGCCAGCGGCAGAGTCAGCAATTGCTGGACCCTCGGGAGGTGCCGAAGCTTCGGCCACCGGGGTCGCAACAACGGTAGGTTGAGCTGCAGCACTGGTAGCAGAGGGAGCAGCGGCAGCCCTCTTCCTAGCCGCCTCCGCTAGACGCTGTTGCAGCGTCATCCTTGGACCTCGAGTCGGTGTGCTGACGCCCGACGTCGTAGGAGTGAGCGACGGTGATGGTGCGGGTGAGGGCAAGGGAGGTACAGGAGATGATGGGAGCGCAGAGGCGACAGTTGCGTTCTCAGTAGGAGCAGCAGCAACTTGAGTAGGGACCTCAGCTGCGACTCCTCCTGCACCTCCTGCAGGAGGCAGAGAAGGAGATGGCAATGCAGCGGGTTCTGCTGTGGATGTCTGCGAAGCGCCTTCTGCCTTCGAAGCTTCGCTCGCTGCGAGCTGCTCGGTCGCTTGAGCGTTGCCTGTAGCCTCGGACACCGGAGGCTCGTGCGCCGGTAGTGTATCTTGTGACACCCTGCTGCGTGCAGTCTCCAGATTTTCACCGATCGCAGGACCGTCTGAGGTGACCTTTGTCTCATGTTCAGCGCTTGCTGCACTTGCCTGTGCCGCTTGCGTCGGTGCGACTGGCTCAGCCACCACTTGCGCAGTCTCTCCATTGGTTTCTTGGGCCGTTTGCCCTTCGACTTCTACGCCGGAGCCCTGCTGAGCCAAATGACCACCGAGAACTTCAGGTACAGGTGGCGGCAGGGAGACGACATCAATGGAGCCACGCTGCGATCCCGAAGTGTCAAGATCGCCCCGCGGCAGGGCTTGAATGCCCATTCTAGGCGTACCAAGGGGACTCCCCGGACCCGGGGAGCCAGGAAGCTGGTGCATGGACTGCTGAGGTGTTCCAGCTCCTTTTCTTGCAAAAGAGAACTTGCTACGGTACGGGGCAGGACCTGATCGCGGGGTACCGGTACCGTCACCCGTGACTGTCTGCGTCATAGGGACACTCCCTGCCTTAGCCGGGGTCGCAGGGCTCTCTGCTGGTGCAGGAGTGGGCGCGGCTGGTGCATTCATAGGAACTTTGGACGCCACGATGGCTCGCAGGGAATCTGCGTCCCATTTGGCACCCCTCAGAGAGCCTAGCCTCTGATCTAGCTGCTCGACGTCTTCCTTCATTCTCCGTTGGCAGGCATCGCCGCCATCCCTGGTCACTTCGACCTTGGCGAACTCTGCGCCCACCCGCTTCACGATAGCGTCCAACACCTGAGTAAAGACGCTCTCGACCACGCTTTCTTGGAGGTACTTCGAGAGCACTTTGTGAAGAGTGGTAGTTTCTTTGATCAGATCAGAGACAGGCTTTGACGGTGCGACGCCTTCCGCATCGGCGGGCGAGATTGGGGCATTCCAATTTGTAGCAGACAAGCCTCGGCAATGCACGCTGAGTCTGTCACCCATGATAGCGACGAGCTTGGCGTGAATCTCGTATTGATGTTCCCTGAAATCCCTCTTAAGCTTGTCGAATTCGACAAGCATGATAGCTTGCCGCTCATCGGGGAGATGTCGCCGGACACATTCCCGCAGGTATGGGATCAGATGAATAAAGAGGGAAAGCGATTGCGAAGCAAGGGCGAGATGCTTGGCGGTGATGTTCTTGAGACCCGCCGATCGCATTGCACCAGCTCCAAGGACTACTTGGCAAGTGCGAGAGTTGAACTGCTTCAAGAATTCGACCACTCGACTCATGATCTCGGTGGTTCCGACCTTTTCAAAATTGACGACTGTTTGCATGTACTCTTGTGTTAGTGCAAGGACGCGCAGAGTCGCAGGCACCATGTAATAAGACTTCTCGTCGCCATCGAGGGTGCCGTTGCTGGTCTCTGAAGGGAACACAAGTGTCTTGGCAGAAGGAGCAGTCTCAGACTGGTCGGTGTCAGCGACCTCATCGGCTTTTTCTGCGGTTTCGCCGATCCACTCGACCGGGTCCTCTGTTGCGGCGGCTACCAGCGTCTTGAGAACCTTGACACTATCGACTGACACATCAACCTGGGCCCAAATCTCCTCTTCTACCCATCTTGCGGCCTGCTCGAGCCTGATCCGGTGGAAGTACCGAAGCCACTCCTTGGCTTGGTTCAGCAGCGTCGATCGAAGCGGGACAAGCTTACGTGAAGCGACGCTTGACTCCCGTTCCTTTACAAGTGAGACCCTTTCTGTCCGCTCGGCGAACTCGGTCAGAGGCGTGAAGACACCTAGGAACTGGGCCAGATCCATTTGAGCATGAGTAGAGGCCCGTAATGAGATGAGTCTGGCAACGAGGATATGAGCCACCTCCACGCTGGCTTGTAGTTGAGAATTGAAGAGGGCCGGTAGAGCGAACGGTACCCCGATGGGCATGACGTAGTCTATCTCGTCCACATCCGTACCGTTTGTCTCCGAGAGAGCGGCCTTGCTCTGTCTGGCAATAGAGTCGAGAATCTCAAGGATTCCCCTCTCTTGCCTCTCCACCCTATGGACTCCATCCTCCAGTCCTTGGCACACCTTCCTCAGCAGTGGATCAAATTCTTCGGGACCCATCTCTCGCAGGCGGCGAGCAGCTATTGCTCCAGCTTCACCCGATCTCGACTCTCCGCGCCCAGTTGCGGCCACATCGTCGTCTAGCAAATCGAACAAAGCTGTCAAGACCGAGTCTTCTGTTGGCGAGGGTAGAGAGACCTCCAGGGCGACTCGTATCGAAGCTAGAGCCAGCGGACGGTACGAGCTTGTTAGAGCCTTTTCGAGGCCTTGAGTTCTGGTGAGGCTCTCAAGCAGCGGCTGAATCCGGGTTCGTACAGACGAAGCTGTATCGTTCATTGCAGAACCTGAGCGCGGATCCAGATCAGCATGCAGTACGCTCGACAACTCAGCCTCTAGAGAGGTCGTGATTGACGCCTTGAGATCTTCGAGCTCCGGTGCGAGAGCAAGAATAGCTGGGACCTTCGACAGATCGAGGTCCTCTGAGTCCATGTCTTGATCATCGTGCTGGACAAATGATGAGACCATAGATGCCTGCTCTTCGTCCTCCTCAGTACCTTGTGCCTCTTGTCGAGGAATTTTGAACCTGCCGTCTTTGGGAGCTAGCTCTCTCTGCAAGCTCTCAATGACCAGCAGAGCTTCATCGTACTCTCCCTGGCCAACCATGAGCTCTGCCATACGCTTACCCTCGCACCAGCCCTTTATCCTCTCAACGGCCTGCATCTGCTTGACAATCCCTCTCCGTTCGTCTTGCTTCCTCACTATCCTGAGCCCTGTCTTGACCTGGTTGTCCGATATCGAGATGAGGTCGGATCGCAGCGTTCGGATGAGAGAGAGGCACGAGGTAGACGAGTGAGCCAGGTCTTGCAGAGCCCCAAGAGCTGAAAAGAAGGATCCAGACCGGGTCGCAATCTCATGGAGGAGATGCTGTTCGACGAGATCCGAATAATGTGACAGCTTCTCGACGTGATCTCCTGCTATCACTGGCCCACTTTGCTCCCCGGAGGTTCCGGCTTTTGCATTAGCACTTCCATACCTCTCCGTCACTATGTCAAACGTATATGGGTTGCCGAGATTGAAGTCGTCGTCAAAGAAGACTTGGGGAACTGCACTGATAGGCGGCAGCTTGCTTTTGCTGCCTTCGCCTTCTTGAGACCGATCTGGGAGATCGGCTCGGCTTTCTGAATCTTCGTCTCTGGAAGTCTTTGCCTTACCCCTACTGCCGAGGTCGCGGTTTCGGGTATACCTTTCCCACTCGGCACTGACCTCATCTACGTATGACTGTACGCTCTGCTTGGGTGGCCGCGAGATCTCAGCATCTTTGTGAGCAGGCAGGGCCGCCCACCTACTCGAGTTGGGATCAATGGCATGTTGCTTCTTCCTCGGATTGTTCAAGACAGTCGAGATGCCATTGAACCCATTCAACAAGCTGGAAGATGAGGCTGCTGATGATGAAGAAGCGACGGCATTGGCACTTAGACCCAGTGACGACAGATTGAGGGAGGAATAGTTGGCCGACGCGAGGCCGCCCAGGCCGAGGCGAGATGTCGTCTGGGCAACCGAGGACACGACTGACTCTGTATCGGATCCGGGTGAGTCTGGCCGGTTGATGCTTGGAACCGCCATGATGTCTCGGCGCCAGAGACGCTAACAACGAGAGGGCGTATGATGTCGATGAGCGCAAGTGATGTTGGTATGCGACGCTGAGGGAGGGAAGCGTGTGTGGGAAGTGTTGGATCCACTTGGCCTCGGGCGGAGTCGATGCGCCTCCGCTCACCTTCCGAGCTTCGGTTGCTCCTGTTCCTTTGCTCGCCCTCGATCTTCTCTCGCTCCTGATAGACCACAGAGCTCATATACCCCTACGCTGCAACCATGGGAGACGAGGTAGCCATCAAGCGTCAGCTGAACATCAAAACAGGCGTAGTCAAACGGTCAGTGGGGCTCTTGTTGATTCGGCGAGACGAAGTGTGGCTCTGGAAGCTCATTGTTCCGCTCTTCCTTCACATAGTCTGACAAAGGAGACTGGCATGTACGTAAAGGAAGCTCAAGAGCAGCAGACTAAGCTGGACAAGGCGACAGCAGAAGGTCAAGATGAGTGGGATGTGAAAAATCAGGTGAGTCGAAAGAAGAGCTTGCGCTCGCCCCGAAATTGTAGACGAAGTGGACCGTCGGCTGATACGAAGGCGAGTCCTGCTCTGACCCTCTGTCTGGCGCACGTACAGCAACGAATCCTTCAAGATTGCGCTCAGATGATTCCAGACAGTCAAAGGAGGCTGGAAGCCGCTGTAGAGGATCTGGAGATCTACTTGGTAAGTCACGAGAGAAGCACGAAAGCAGGAAGAAAGTATCTCTGACGCTCCAATATCACACTATTGCGCATTGCAGGAGGGGCTCGACTCGGACTTGGTAGAGTCAGAGGAGGCAAAGGGAGCTCAAGAGGCAGTCAAGCTGGCAAAGGCCTCATCATCAACCGACGCGGCTGCTTGAGCTTCAGCAGAGGAGTCAGGGATGGATAAGGCGGGATGAGTTGTGGATGTACGCAGCAGTAGGTCTTTCGCCAGGGCTCCAAGGAGTACAGTCCATTGTCAATCATACCACGAACAGTAGCATGCTGTGGACCAAGAACGCATGGTTTTGCGGAGTCTTCGCTTCGATAGGTACGACAAGAGCTACCTCAGACCCGGCAGTCCCTCTGACTCCCCTGATTTTGGGCTACCTCGGCAAAGTCCCCTCGAGCCATCGCATCTTTACTCTTCCGCTTGAGAACTGATCTTGTCTCGAATGTCCTTCCATTGCTTCTGTGAGAGTGAGGGAGCCACGGAAGGATCAGCAGAAGTCGTCAGTCATCGAGTTGCTCCGTCGTCTCCTCTTGCAATTTGAGCCTCTCAGACTGATCTCGGCTGACTCCCTCGGCATGAGCAGCCAGTGAACCTTGCATGTATCGAGAGCTCCTCCTACCGCTCGTCCTGACCCTCGCACATGCTGCTCTGCTTGTGTCAGCGTACCAGCCCACCATGGGCACCTGCCACCAGCGGCTGGGCCGGAGCTTTGTTGTCTCCGCCAGCCTCGTCAAGGAGTCCAACTGATGGCGCTGATTCCAAATACACTTTCCCTCGATCTTCGCTTGCAAGACCCATTGACACTCACTCCAGCGTTGTGGTTGTCCCAGAGCTTGGTTGCTAGTGTGTCGAAGGCCAATCCGAAGGCGAAAGCTCCGGTGAAGACAGTTCCGACGCTATGAGGGGACGCAATTGAGGACATTGATAACAGATTCGAGCAGAAGGCAGCAGAGCGGCAGGGGAGCAATGGAGAAAGGCAAGAAATGAGACAGATCAGCAGACGGCTCGTGTTTGGTACCTCGCCGTCAATCCTTCCTCGCAGCTCTGTCCAGCTCTCTTTCGTCTACGTACAAGATTGAATTCCTCTTGAACACAGCCTGGTACAGCGCCTGAGAGAGACCCATTGTTGCTACGATGACGAGAGGCGATGAAGCGAGGTATATACGAGCGGGTTAGGAAGATGTAGGGTGAATCGTGGATCGGGAATAGTAGGAGCCGTCCAACTGGGATTCGAAATCGGCGGCCGAGCGGGCGGGCGGACGGATGGGCGGCGTGGGCTGGGCTGGGTGATGCGCGCGCGATGCAGGGCCACTGTCACTTGCTTCCCTTGGCCACTCCCGCCATGGCCCCCTTTCCGTAGAGGGTCGTAGCTCGAGCCCGGCAGGGCCGGCATCGCTCTCGGATCGCGGCCGAGAGGAGCAGATAGGAGCAAAGTGAAGACGCAATAGGAGCAGGCCGAAGCTCAGACTTACCTATATCTCAGGAGCTTTGTTTGTTCTGAGATCTACATGTCCGACAATATTGATCTCACCTCGCCCTAGCAGTATGAAGCGCGTGTCGAATCTCTTCTCTAGCGACCAGAGCCGCCGGCCAGCATCAGCATTGTTGCGAGCCCCAAATGAGGAGGCAGTTACTTCGCAGCAGCGACATTCCACCGGCCAGTGGCTGCAGGGCAACATCGCCAGCTATGACTCGACCCTATCTTCCGTCTCGCAGCCCGGGGTCAGTGGAGTTCTCGGCCGTGATGCTGCAGCGTCATCCCAGCAGCAGCAAGAGCAGGCATGGATAGCCAGCGGTCGGGAGCCTACTTCCCTTCCGGCGAGTAGACCGAGCCCGCCAAATCGTGCTCACACCGCTGATGATAGACCAGCTCACGCCTTCACGAACACGCCCACACTGGGGCCTAACACTGTGGCATTCCCACATGAGAGGGCCGACCTTGCGGCCCACCAGATGGGGCTGACTCTACCAAATAGACCCGCATCTGTGCAGAGCCTCATCAGTGCAGCACCTCTAGAGAACGGTCTCCATGCTACATCCAGGCCTGTCACCCCTAATGCTAACCAGAACATCGAGCGAGCCGACCTGCACAAGCTGCTGAAGTCCATAGGAGCCCTATTGATCAACTTTGACGAGTATCGCTCTCTGCAAGCTCAATTGTCAAAGGTGGAAAAAGCCCTCGGGATAGGCTGTGCAGACCTGGCTAAGAACAAGACAATGCAGCGCAACCCTTCGACTGCCCTTGCACTGGCGGGGAACAGCTTTGCTGCACAGCACGAGGTGAGCGGTCGCTACGCCAAGGCAGTACAGAAGGAGTACGACACCCTCAATGAAGCCTGCGCAAAGCATTTCAAGACGATCGCCAAGGAGGAGAAGAATCTCGACGACTTTGCCGCAATCACAGAAGACAAGATCAAGAAGGCCCAATTTGGGTACGAGAGGGGCACGCGAAAGGCCACTACCAACGCTCGAACACTGGCAGATGCCCACGAGAAGTACATTTCAACCATCTCAGCCCTCGCTAGCGCTACCACTGCGGCGAGAGATACTCATGCTACAGCCATGGCTGGCAAGAGTCATGCCGTCAGTCTGCGAGTTGCAAGTACCCTGGGAGGCATTGCTGACTCTTCGTTCCGAGCTCACTGCGACTCTGTTCGATGCACAGGCGTTGTCGTTGGCCCATTGGCAGCAGCCCTCAACTTTTGTGTCAGCGAGGCAATGCCTTTGCAGCCACCCATACCGCTGACTGAAGACGAAAGAGATCCTTCAAGCACATTGGCGGCAGAGGAAGCACGGAATTCTGAGCCAATAGCGCGAGAGCTGGTGGTGCAGGGTCAGAATCCCAGCTCGAGTGACAAGAAGGACGGCTTCGTTGCCAGGGAGCAATCGTCTGGTGCTGCCTCTCTATCTGCAAGGCAGGGTAACGGCAATCCTCAAGATCGCAGCATGAGACGTCCTCCTTCGTATCGCAGCATGGCTGGAGCTCCCGTGGAGACTCCTGACACAGCGCACCTGACTTCTCGATCTATTCCGTTCCAAGCTCACCACGCAGCACCACCTGATCCAGCGCCCAACGAGCAGGGAAGCCACCTGCCGTTACCGTCGGCATCTCGACCTGCTCGGGCCGGCAGTCGCGCTCCTTCTCCGACGTTACCAGCTCGACAGACGGAGATCGATCGATCCGTGTCAGGCGGCCACAACTGGCCCGATGGAAGCTATCCTTCCAGCGCCAAAGGCAGCCATACGAGCTCGGAGAGTCAGTATACCGCGAATCAGCCACAGACCCCCGTCACGGCACAAGAGCGTTACGAGCCTGACGACCGGGTTTCGCCCAAGCCTTCGCATAAGGCGGCGGAGATACCGACTCTCCCGCGCAGTACTGTCGCACCGAATCTTGATCGTCGACGCTCCCTCTGGGAGCAAGAGCGCGAGCAACAGGAGAGCAGAGAGAGGGAAGCGGCGCTGGAGCGACGCGCCAGGGAAGCAGAGGACCGGCTGAGATTCCTCGAGCGGGCCACTTCCCCACCGGCATCCAATCAGAAGTCCAAGCCTTCTACCCTCTCGTCTTCGCCGCTGCCACAAGGATCGCAGGACTACTTCGCCTTGCAGACTCAAGAGGAGGAAAGACAAATACAAGGGCTGCGACAGGGTTCTCGAAGCCCCACTGTCTCCAGGACTCTATCAAACGGGACCACGGCGTCTGAGATGTCCTTTGTCGCCAGGATGAAGTCTCGGTACCAGCTGGAGAAGGAGTCGCAGAGAGCTAACGCTCTGCGCACGAGGAACGATGAGGGAAGCCAGCAGCAAGATGAGCGACGCACCAGCATGTCGCCAACACAGAGTATCCGTGGTCCGCAAGCTGAAACCGTAACACGCCCTCGACCCGGCCTGTTGCCTCGACTAAGCTCTCCGGCTCCTTTACGTCCTGTGTCATCCTCTTATCCTCGTCCGGATGGTCGCCAGTTGTCTAGTGTCAGGCGCACCAGCTATCAGACGACATCCGCGACGACGCCCCGCAAGCCTGCGCCTAGACGAGACGAGGAGAGCCCGTATGGAGAATCGACACGCAAGAGCCAGAGCAATGCTCTCGAGGAATTGCTGGCGCAAGAGGAGTTCAATAACGATGATGCTTTTGAGGGAGGAGGCAGAAGTCGCGTGAGCTTCAGAAGGGGCTCGCCCTCAATTGTTCAGTGACCCAACGCCGAAGTGTAGTGGAATGAGTGATGAATCGTGCCTATCATGCTGATTGAGTGGAGAAATGCTATACTATACAGTGCGGACCATAGCTCGTCGTCGCCTTGCCTCTCTTCGTTCGTGTCCGCCTCTCCTTGCCTAAAGACTCGCTAGGCCGTATCCACTGCAGCGCTGTCCACCTGTGATGTTCCGCCTGGAGCATTCGTCCGCTTCGTCGCTGCGGGTGCGTTTCCCCGGAATCTGCAAAGGTGTATGAAATGAGAACAGAAGTCAGAGGCTGAAGCCTATCAAGTTTGCTGAGACCAACTTGAGCTCACCTTTTCCTCATGTCGAGCTGAAGGTCCAGCCAGAGGAAGAATGGTCAGCCTCGTATGACCCTAACCTAGCCGCTTCCGCTCTTCCGCTCCGCCGTTCTTTCCCTCTCTTGGGCAACACTCACCATTCCCCTCTTACAAGCGACATAGCTCTTGTAGATGTTCTGACATTCTAGCGGTAGCGACTCCTTCTCGTTGCGTAGACAATCCTGGGCGGACTTTCCTTGCTCTTGCACGCAAGGGGAGGCGAGGAGACAGGAGGCGAGGTCGTCCCGGATCGATTGACACTGGCAGCACGGGGGTTGGGAGAAGAAGGGACATAGCATTAGTCGCTGTAGCGCTCAATAAGTCTGGGGAGACCTTCAGAGCTCACCGAATTCATCCTTTGAGCGAGCGGGTGAGACGTAGAGGGTACGGTTGCGGATTGGGCGTGGCAAGAAGAAGGCAGCTGAGGAAAGCGGCGGAGAGACAGACGGAAAGAGGCAAATGCGCCAGACGTGGAGGCAGACGAGTACGAGAAGGGCAGGCAATCAGTGGCTCAGCGATACTTCTCACTGCCACAATCACCATACCATCAACGTCAAGTAGACAAGTACTGTCGAATCTCGAGAGCCATGGCAGAGAACGACACGCCAGTGATAGCGCCGCCGGTAGGAGCGACGCCCGCGGCTGTCAGCTCAACATCAACCTCAGCACCACCCCCTCCTCCTCCTACCCCTGCTGCCACATCCACACCCACTGCCTCGGCCTCCTCAGCCTTTCCTAGACCAAAGGTGCTGCTCCCTCCTTCCTCGTTCCCCTCGTCCTCTTCATCAGCAGCAGCAACAGCCCCGGCTACTCTCACGCCCCCTTTACCGGCTCCGAGCGATGAGGCGAAGCCCACAATGGCCGAGCTGCAGGCCGCGTACGCCTCTACGATTCAGAGCAACAAGAGGGCAGGCGTAGGGCCGGACGCGCCGCTCATGACCCAGGCTATGAGGGACAAACATGAATCTCGGGCGGGGGGACCTGGGAGAAGAGCATTTGAAGAGGTGAGTTCGACGAGCCATCAGAAGTGGGCCTACTTGTAGTACTGACTTGATGCTCTTTGTCACCTCCCTACCTGTTACTTCTGGGACCCCTAAGATACATGTCCGCTTCCGCTTCTCAGACCGGACCCTCCTAGAGTACACTCTCCCCTCGACTACCCCCCTCCCCAATCTCTATCCACTGCTGCGCTCCGCCCTCCTCTCCACTCACTCATCCAAGCCATTTACGCTGTACACCTCCCCGCCCAAGATCGACTTTCCCGAAGAAGGCATCACCGGTCCACCCCTACCGGCAGCTCTACCCGGCCGTCCGCGTGTGGCAAAAAAGCCCGGCCAGGAGTTTCGGGGAAAGACGATTGGCGAGATGGGCTGGGGCGGGGGAGCCATTGTTTCGGTGCGCTGGACGGGGGCAGGGGATGAAGGGCTCAATTCGTCGGCTGCACTTGCGCCTATTAGTGAGGATCTGAGAGGAGAGGGAAAGCCGCTGGAGGCGCCGAAGATGGGTGAGACGCAGGGAGGAGCTGCTCCTGCGGCCGGAGGACAAACTCTGGGTGGACCATCGAGCTCAGTGGAAGGTGAGGCGAGGGAGAAGAAGGTGCCCAAATGGTTCAAGGGAATTGGAAGTGAGTACGACGCAGAGTCAAGTGCTTCATCATTCATTTTGCTGACAATCCCTCTGCTTCTTGTTGTCACTGGCCCTTGCAGAAAAGTAGTGGATACATCTGTCTATACCTCACGCAAGATACGCGTCCCTTTCTTATTCTACATGAAGTTGTCAAAGGTTGCAAAAGATGATACGTGATTGCCGATGAGCGGGTGGTGTGCAAAAGTAGATATAGAGCAATGCTGTCCGTCCCTTTCCTCAATTGGGCCTTTACCTCCGGAAGACCCTGCACTGTCGTCTACATTGCCACTGCAACGCTATGAGCTGGCCTGGAAGAGCTTGGCATCAAAGTCTGCAAAGATGGGTACGTGATCACTGCAATCGGGAGAAGGCAAAGCAGGTCAGGGGAAGAATGCTGGTGTCGTCAGTGGACGCCGGACAAGAGTGAGCAAAGCAATTTCGAAGAACTCACCTGGCACCGTAGACTTCATGTCGGATCTCGCACTTGGTGCAGTGCTCTTGTGCTCGTTCGGACACCTAGTGGAATAAAAAGGAAGGAAGAGGGGGGCAGAGGTAAGCAGATGTCCCTCTGTCAGAAGTGAGCGAGGTGAACTTCGCTCCAGGTGTACTCACAATGAAAGAGTCGAGTCTCCAGCCAATACCCTTGATTCTGCATTGTCCCCTCCACCCATAGAAGGTAAAGTGACCGACAGCATCGGGGTGCTTCTCCCTCCAAACGTCCTTGAAAGGCTTGGCTCCCTCCAGAAAGCTGCCCTCCAAGAAGGCCCTATGTTGATCGCACTCAATCTGAGTATACCCTGGAGATTTGTTCCACTTGGCGCTGGCCTTTGCAAGATCCCGCTCATCGATGACCACATTCAGGTCGCCGGTCCATATCACCGGCTTCTTCTCATCGAGCTTGGCAAGGTGGGCAGAGAGGGCGTGGTTCCACTTCTTCTTGGCCTCCATCGTCTTGAGTCCCTCACCAGCATTGACGCAATAGGTCCCCACGACATAGCACCCTTCGAACTCTACCGTGATACACCTTCCCTTTGAGTCGTAGTCTGCCAGCTCTGGTAGACCTTTTTGGACGGATAGCGGTTCGATCTTGGACAGAATGGCAATGCCAGCATAGGACTTTGTGCTTCCGATGCCCCAGGTCTGGTGTGGGTAGCGAGAGGACTGGAAGAAGGAGGGGACCTCGTTCACCTTTGTCTCGGTCAGAACGACAAGATCCGCGTCTTCGGCCTCGAGGTATCTGGTCAAGCCCTTGGGCTCTGCTGACTTGAGCGAGACAATGTTCCAGCTTGCTATGCGGAACGAGGTCGAAGGGCGAGGAGAGTCTGTAAAGGAGAGAGGATTGGGGATGTCCACTGTCTTTGGGCAGCCTTCGAAGGCAAAGATGTCATTGCCGCTCGGAGCAGCTGGCGAGTCGGGTTCACCTCCTGCCGTAGCCTTCCGACGCGACTTCTTGGGTGCAGAAGGAGCAGAAGGCCCTGCGGTGGCCTCTGTAGCGGCACCGTCATCCTCCACCGCTTTTGCTGGCTCCGGCTCCTCCTCCTTTTGAGCCTTGCTGGCCCGCCCCTTTGGCTTCTTTGCTGCCCCAGTGGCAGCCTTGGTGTCAGCAGCCTCTGCCTCCTCGGCTCCTTGCTTCAGTTTCCGCTTATTGCTCGGGGAGGCCGCGGCAGAAGGCTCCTCCTGGATCGGCTTGGAGGTGCGGGACGCCCGGCGAGAGGCCACCATGAAGGAGAATGACAGCTGAGGGAGACGTCTGAGGAAGGGCAAGGGCACAGGCTTCGCGAGGGGCAAGGAACGCGTCAAGGAGAGACCTGTAGTGATGATCAGCCTTCTCAACATTCGCCTCGTTTGAGTGGAGTGGAGAGTAGCATGGACAGTGCACACGCGCTTCCGACGCCGAGAAATTGGCGCGATGGACACGCCACGCGAGGGGTGTCTCACTCCACTACTCTTGCAGCCTCTTGTCAAGCAAAGTCTAGCAGGCATATCGTACAAGCCCTGTGTCACAGACTGAGGTCTTCTGTCAAGGCTGCCCACCCAGTGTACAGTGATCGGGGGAGCACACAGTTGGAGAGCAAGACCGAAATACGTTCTGCACTTCTCTGCGCCTGCCTGTGAGCCCTTGCCCAGGCGACACGGAGAAAAAGGTGTGACGAGTTGAGGGGTCAGACAGCATCTCTAGGGGCGCCGAAAACGTCTGCGATTGTCTCTTCCGGAAATCATGACGGGAACCGGAGGATCCTGGAACCCAATTGCCCCTTCCTTCTCTGCCGCTACTTATCGCGGTGTGTACTTGTCGTCGCCGATCGGCAACGTGTGTGAGTGGAATCTTGAGTCCGTTGCTGCCGTTCCTGCTTTTTGTCCTAATGGCCGAAAAAGTGCCGAATGGGGGAGCGGGGCGGGGCAGATGTTGGGTAGAAGGGACGTCGGGCAACCGCGCAAAGGAGCCAGAGGGGGGGGAGGAGAAGCCACGCGGACGATCGACGTCGAAGGACCTCAGCGTCATCCCGCGTGCGAGGCAGCACCAGAGCCGAGCGACCTCGAGGCACGTACGCACCAACGCAGCCAGCCAGCCAGCCAGCCAGTAGGCCAGCCTCACCCGCCCAGTCAGCCACCCACTCCTTCCACCGCACGCCCGCTGCTCGCCGCCCCCTTCTTCCTTCCTTCCAACCATTCTACACCAACCCATCTGTCCTCCCCCCCCATCACCATCGTCACATCGATACAGTGGCGCTGAACAGAATCAACAACCTCGTCTCACACCTTGATCCCAAAAAGTTACTCAACACCATGTCTTCCGAGCAAGCTGTGTGAGTTGTTGCAGGCCAGTCCACTTGACCCGGGCAGACAAGTTGCGAAGATCCACAGTTCTCCGAGGAAGGGAAACGCAGAGTAGAGGTGCGGAGAGCAGCAGTCATCACCCATCACCTATCGTGAAGGTGTCTAGGACCTCAGCATTGCTCTAGCTTTGCACTTGACAGTCATGCTGCGCACCACCACCTCCTTTATCAGCACTGGCCATGCCTTATCACCGAGAACACACACTGACCACCACCCTGTATGCACCGTCTTCTTTCACAGCGCCGACATCGGTCTGATCGGTCTGGCCGTCATGGGCCAGAACCTGATCCTCAACATGAACGGTGAGTACAATCAGGGCAGACCGTCATCACCCAGGCTTGGCATAGCCGGACATCGCCAAGGCAGGGTCCATTGTGGGCGCTCATCGTCTATCCATATACTTACGTCCTCTACCCTCATTTGTGCTCTTCTTGATGTCCCCTTGCAGACAAGGGATTCACCGTATGTGCTTACAACCGTACCACCAGCAAGGTCGACGACTTCCTGAACGACGAGGCCAAGGGTGAGTCTCGGCGCTGAGTACAGCCTGAGCTAGTATATCCCTACGAGCACGCCACGCTGATTGCTTCCACCATTCCCTTCCCTTCCCTCCGGTATTGCCAGGCACCAAGATTGTTGGTGCTCACTCGGTCGAGGAGTTCGTTGCCAAGCTCAAGCGCCCTCGTAAGATGATCATCCTCGTAAAGGCCGGATCTGCCGTCGATGCCTTCATCGACCAGCTCACCCCCCACCTCGAGAAGGGTGACATCATCATCGACGGTGGTAACTCCCACTACCCCGACTCCATCCGAAGGACCAAGGCTCTCGAGGCCAAGGGACTCCTCTTCGTTGGTGCCGGTGTGTCTGGTGGTGAGGAGGGTGCCCGCCACGGCCCTTCCATCATGCCTGGTGGTTCGGACGAGGCATGGCCCCACCTCAAGGAGATCTTCCAGAAGACTGCTGCTCAGTCTGATGGTGAGGCCTGCTGTGAGTGGGTCGGTCAGACCGGTTCCGGCCACTACGTCAAGATGGTGCACAACGGTATCGAGTACGGAGACATGCAGCTCATCTGTGAGGCTTACGACATCCTCAAGCGAGGACTGGGTCTCAAGGAGGCCGAGATTGCCGACATCTTCGAGAAGTGGAACACTGGTGTCCTCGACTCGTTCTTGATCGAGATCACTCGTGACATTCTCAGGTTCAACGACGATGACGGAGTTCCCCTCGTCACCAAGGTCCTCGACGCTGCTGGACAGAAGGGTACCGGAAAGTGGACTGCCATTGACGCTCTGGACCTCGGACAGCCAGTAACTCTCATCGGTGAGGCCGTCTTCGCCCGATGCCTGTCGTCCCTCAAGGAGGAGCGTGTGCGTGCCTCCAAGGTTCTTGGTGGACCCAAGATCGAGCCCTTCCAGGGCGACAAGCAGCAGTTCATCGATGACCTGGAGCAGGCCCTGTACGCCTCCAAGATCATCTCCTACTCTCAGGGTTTCATCCTGATGAACTCTGCTGCCAAGGCCAACGACTGGAAGCTCAACAATGCCGGTATTGCCCTGATGTGGCGTGGAGGATGCATCATCCGATCCGTCTTCCTCAAGGACATCACCAATGCTTACCGCAAGAACCCCGAGCTGGAGAACCTCCTCTTCGACGACTTCTTCAACAAGGCCATCCACAAGGCTCAGGACGGCTGGAGGCGAGTTGTGGCCAAGGCTATTCTGCTTGGTATCCCCACCCCCGCCTTCTCCACTGCCCTGGCCTTCTACGACGGTTACCGTACCGCCCAGCTCCCCGCTTCGCTGCTCCAGGCTCAGCGTGATCTCTTCGGTGCCCACACCTTTGAGATTGCCCCTGGATTCGGCACCAAGGAGAGGCCCGAGGGTCAGCCCGTCCACGTCAACTGGACCGGAAGGGGAGGACGTGTGGCCAGCTCCACCTACCAGGCATAAGCGCGTGCTCACACTTTCCTCTTTCGTGAGAGTGAAAAGGTGCGCAATGGCTCTTGCCCTGTAGGAGGTTCATTGGAGAATTCAGAGAGGGATAGGAAAGGAATAAGGAAGGGAGGAGAACGAGGTCTCGTCTTCTTTTTTTTTTTTTTTTTGTCCCGTCTTGCTTGTCTTCTTCTTCTTCTTTGCACAGAATGGAAAACCACGAATTGAATAGAGCCTCTGTCCGTCTGTCTCCTCGTGTGTCTGTCTACCCTACCCTAGCTCCTGACCAGACCAAACATGAGATGACTGGGTGTGGCGGGAGTGTAGTAGATGCAGTGCATCGAGTCGTTGTGCTGAGTGCTGAGACATTCTATTGTATGGTACATTATGGGACTTCGGACCTCGGACCTCGAGAATCTGGAAGAGAGATAAAGGGGGAGGAAGGAAGGAAGGTCTAAGGTATGCGGGTATATGTACATGAATGAGACTGAGAGGAGCCAAGTAGGACAATAAGAGGAGAGGTAGGGGGCGGGGGGGGGAAATGGAGGAATGGAGAAGAGAAGAGAAGAGGAGAGAAGATCAAGGAGCCAGTTCGCGAATTTCTGTTTGGAGCGCAAGAGAGCGTGTGGTGTTGGTGGTGGTGGTGGTAGAGGCAAAGATGAGAAGTCAGCTTCGGAAGTCTCCTACTTGCCCCTTGCCCCTTGTCCCTTGCCCCGTGCCCCGTGCCCCGGGGCCCGAGTGGCTCATGTACGACTTTGAACTCACTGTCAATAATCTCTAGATAGGCAGTACTGGCTGGACTCTCTGGATACTCATCCACAAAGCTCTCCCCCAGATCTGCACACTTCCCAATCCTCGGGTCCAACGGCACACTTCCCAAGAATGTCAGTCCCTCATCTTCACAAAGCGCCTTTGCCCCTCCCGTCGATGGATAGAAGATGTCGCTCCGCCCATGACATGCTGGACATACGAAACCAGCCATGTTCTCCACGACTCCCAGGATGGGCACTTTGACTTTTCGGAGGAAATTGATCTCCTTGCGTACATCTTGGAGGGAGATTTCTTGGGGAGTGGTGAGGAGAATGGCTCCGTTGATGCCGGATTCTTGAAGGTAGGAGACGATACTGAGGTGCTCGTCGGAAGTGCCAGGGGGAGTATCGATGAGCATGTAATCTAGAGCGTGCGAACGGCGCGAGGAGGCACGGTGACCGTTCGCATCCCCGTTCCCATTCGTGGTGACGACCTCGCCAACATTTGGCTTGGAGGCTTGCTCTTCTTCTTCTTCTTCTTCTTCTTCTTCTTCTTCGTGCTCCTCCTCTTTCAGTCCACCACACCAATCTACATCCATCAAAAATTGCTTGATGAGTCCATTCTTCTTGGGTCCTCTCCAGATCACCGCCGAATTGGCCGAGGGGAGGAGGAATCCGATGCTCATACAGCAGAGGTTATCGGAGAGGTAGACGGGAGACCAGCCTGTGGCTGAGGAATGGATGGAGGAGGTGGAGAGGCCGAGAATGGTCGGAATCGAGGGACCGCAGATGTCGATGTCCATGATGGCCGTCTAGAGGTGGAGAAGGATAGGTGGCGCAAGGTACAAGAAGAGCAGCAGGCGTAAGCTTTGCGGATCAATGGAGCTGATCGCTTGAATCTTCCTGCGAGGTCCCACTCATGAAGGCCTCCAACTCACCTGAATCTTCTCATCGCCACTGAAAGCCCATCCAAGCATACTAGTGAATGTACTCTTCCCCACCCCACCTTTCCCACTCATGACCAGAATCTTATTCCGAATTCCCTTCATCCTTTCCTTGATCTTGGGTAGATCAGGATCAGGACCCTTGGGCGTGGTAGCACAGGTAGATTGGTTAGGACATCCTTCACAGGCAGACGCTTTGCCCGCTTCGGTCGAGTCTGTGCCGGGACAGTGGGCGGGGGCGTTCTCTGGGACCGTGTCTGGGAGAGCCTCTGCGACTTGTGTCGGTGCAGCGGACTCGGCGGGAGGGACGGCAGGGAAGGAGGCGAGGGCCGACGTCGAGGGTTGTGACTGTACGGCAATCATGATGTGAGGATGAATGAGCTGTGGTGGTGGTCTTGGTAGGAAGGGTGGAAGGAGTCAGTCCGTTGCACGCTGCTATGGTCTGACTTTCCTTACGCCCGGGCGTTGCAGTCCGCTGAGTGAGCGGGTGACATCGCGGCTCCGCTCTGTGCAGGCGCATTGCCAGTCCACTTGGTTCGGGGCCACGACTGCTCGCTTCGTCTCCGCTCCGACTTGCCCTTGGTTCCTTCCGATGGACAAGACAAGGGATTGCGCTCTACATCGCAACCAAGGTCACCATCACCTTCTCCTCGTATCGATCAGCATGGAGGCTTACAATGCCTCGCGCCAGGCTCGCCTGAAGAGTCTTCGGGAAACACGAGATCAACAGCAAGACTCTGGTCCATCAGCTTCAGCGTCAGCTTCAGCAGGAGCAGCAGGCTCTTCCTCCTCGTCCATCCACCCCTTTCGACGCGCCTTTCTCTCTTCACAACGGACCTCCCTTCGCCCTACCCGGCACCTCCAAGAAGTGAACGATGACGATGGATCAGGCGAAGCAGCAGCAACAGCAGCAGCAGATCTAGCAAACCCCAGCAGTGAATCTTCCGCACAGCGTCTCGCCGATTCCTCCGCCGAAGGCATCCTGCTACGTCGCTTCCGTAATTGGGATCCCATGACAGGTCAGGCGCGCGATGGGACTTGGAGCACCGTAAAGGGCATCGAGGACGAGGTCAAAGGGGTGCAGGAAGAAGTACTCCGAGAGGAAGAAGCCAGGAGGGTTAGAGAATTGGACTTGGCGGGAATTGCACCCAAGAGAGTTAATTGGGATTTGAAGAGGGATATGCTCAAGAGGTTGAAGAAGGTTGAGAGGAGGGATAGAGAAGCAAGGTTGATATTGATTCGTGAGTAGGGCAGAGCGAAAGGTGTGCCGTGCTTGACGTAGAGTGCTGACTCTTGAGAATCCTTATGGCGCTATTTTCTCAGGTCAACGACTCAAGGCGAGCAAGGCGGGCAACGGTGCTGCTGGCGCTGCAGCCGCTGCTGCCGAAGTGGCCATGAGCACCGTCGGCAGAGGAAGACGCGGGCTGGGTGTGGGAGAGGCGGGAAGCGACGAGAGCAGCGAAGAGGAGAGCGAGGAGGAGTAGAGTACAGGCTAAAGGGCTGGGCGAAAGGGATCGGGGGTGAAGCAGGGTAGCATGGCATCCAGCTCACCCAGCTTCAAGGCGGAAAGCAGCCGCTGTTCAGATTTATTCACTGTGTACTTGTAGGCTCTCGACAGAACGCATTCATTCATTCATCCTAGTGAGAACAGATTAGTGGGCGTGCTGCGACTTTGAGTGCTGGCGGAAGAAGGCAATGGACAGAGCGGCTATAACAGTGAGCACACTTGTCTGTGCAAGATCAAAAAGGAAATCGGTGACTTGATTGAGAAGAGATGATGATAGAGACGAGAAGAAGACAGGTAGTGTAGTAATTGGAGCTGGGAACAATCATTGCCACGACAGGTCCGGGGTCGATATCGGGAATACTCAACGACTCCAACCATTGAAGAGTCCGAGATCATCCGCGCCATTCATCGGACCCTGACACGACATGTTCGTCTCCTCCTCTTCCTCATGCCTTGCTCCATTCACACCCGCTGTCTCACCAGGTAGAATGAGACCATTGCCATTCTCTTGCTTCCCTGCTGACACGCCACCAGCGGCCACGGCGGCCTCGTCAGCGGGGGGAGCAGCCATCTTTGGATCACTGGCTCCCTCTCCGGGCGGACCAACGAGAGCTCCGCTGCCGCTCGTTGGGATAGTAGTGTTCTTGACCTTCAGCTTGGCATTCTCGCTCCTCAATGTCTCCAGTCCAGCGAGGTACTTGTCGTCCACATCACCCGTGACGTACTTTCCATCAAAGACGGAGCAGTCGAATTGGGCAATGGCTGGGTTGGCTTCCTGCACTGCCTCGATCAGATCTGGTAGAGTCTGGTAGATGACCACATCTGCTTGAATGTGAGCAGCTACTTCCTCTTCTGTGCGATTGTGCGCGACAAGCTCGTGTCTCGAGGGCATGTCGATACCGTAGACGTTCGAGTAGCGGATAGGGGGAGCGCACGAGGCCATGATGACCCTCTTGGCGCCGGCGTCCCTGGCCATCTGGATGATCTCTCGCGATGTGGTTCCTCGGACGATGGAGTCGTCCACGATGAGGACGTTCCTTCCCGAGAACTCCATGGCCATGGCATTCAGTTTCCTCCTCACATTCTTCCTTCGCACACTCTGACCTGGCATGATGAACGTTCGTCCAACATAGCGGTTCTTGACGAAGCCTTCCCTGTAAGGAACGCCGAGAGACTGTGCTACTTGCAGTGCTGCGACTCGCGAGGTATCGGGCACTGGAATAACCACATCAATCGTCTCCATTCTCGCCCTCAGCGTTTTTCTGACTGTGACAGCCAGACGGTCACCCATAGCGATTCTGGAGCGGTAGACGGAGATACCGTCCATGACCGAGTCAGGTCGTGCAAAGTAGACATACTCGAAGATGTCAGGTGCAAAGACGAACTCCTCGGGCTTGACCAGGGTACGACGCGAGACCTTGTGACGAGTGATGATGATGGCCTCTCCTGGCTTGACGTCTTCGAAGTCCTCGAATCCTAGCGCATCCGAGACGACTGATTCTGAGGTGAAGCAGTAGTCTCGATTGTGTGCAGTGGGTGTAGCAGAACCAGATCGGCTGTTGCTGGCGTCCAAATCAACAGCTGGGCGTGAGCACATGCCGAGGGGTCGAATACCGTTGGGATCCCTAAAGGCAATGATACCGAATCCGGCCAACATGGCGACACAGGTGTAGCCACCCTTTGCCTGCTTCATGAGACCTGCAATGGCGGTGAAGATGTCCTCTTCATTGATTCGGAACTTGCCAGTGGCCTGCAAATTGTTGGCGAAGATGTTGAGCAGAAGCTCCGAGTCACTGTCTGTGTTGATGTGCCTGTGGGCTTCTGCGTCCAAGAAGGAGCGAAGCTCATGTGTGTTGATGAGGTTGCCATTGTGTGCAAAGACGATACCGTAGGGGGCATTTACGTAGAAGGGCTGAGCCTCTGCGTGATTTGAGGAGCCAGCAGTGGGGTAGCGGACTATCATACATACAGGGAAGGCAAGAGAAGGTGGTCAAACCCCAGCCGCTGGACGCGAGCTCTGCTGGCAGCTCGGTAATCTCCTCTTCAGCGGTGACTCACCATGTCCGACTCCCATACTTCCCCTGAGCCTTGCCAAGGAGTTGCTGTCGAAGACGTCCCTCACCATTCCGTTTGCTTTGCACTGGTAGAATCGTCCTCCCGGCCCGCAGGTGACGATTCCTGCAGCATCCTGTCCTCGATGCTGCAGAAGGGAGAGTGCTTCGTTGATCTCCGGTGCGGCAGAAGCCGACTGCGAGGAGAGGAGCAGCGCGAGGATACCACACATGGCGAGGTGTAGGTGTAGGTGGTGGTGATGGTCGTCACTATATGCAGCGATCAGGGGGAGGAGGATAAGGAGTAGGACGATGTTCCCTTGGGTGGAGTCTTCGTTGCTCTTTGCTCCCACTCCCCGTCCGCCCGCCAAAAGGGAAAAAATTCAATTCCCCTCGCGACGGGCCACGGCGCGCTCATCTCCGCCCGCCGCCAAAGTGGACAAGGCAGGGTCACGTCCACCTCGGACATCTCCCGAGGACCGCCACGCCTGCTCTCTCGATGGCTGCTGCTGCCAGGAAGAGCATAGCATAGCATGTCATGTCATGCGCCTAGGTCTCCTCCTTCTTCCTACGAACTTGACTTGCCATCAGCTTGCGAAGAACGCTGATCTGTCCGCGGAGCTGCCTCGTCGAAGGTCATTCTAGAGCCTGGCAGCCCTTAATCTATCATCTGCCCTGACGCGTGCCGAGAAGATCACCTCCTGCAGGCGGAACCAACAGCGGACAAAGAAATCCAACACGACCCGCACCTCGCCGCCCTCGAGACCATCACATCGCAACCCGTAGCCCCATCCATCGCAGCGAACACTGACTCAAGAGAGGAGAAGAAGAGGCTGCATGGTGTGGCAGTGCAAGGTTCGACTCAATCACACCTCATCTTAGCGAGCCCGCCCACAATGGACGACGTCTCCGCCAGCACATCTGCCTATCCTGATCCTCGGCAAAGGGGCAAGATCACATTCAACGCGCCAAAGACGAGCAATGCCCTATCATCACGGATACCTACCGATCTCCTTCTCGCTCTCATTCTCACAAAGACTACAATCGCCTCTTCGGCGCTGCTAGCTCGGCACTGGCTGCTGGTCCCGCACTCAGAGGGTGTCCACACGCCCCAATCCGCCTTTGGCAGAGGCAGTCAGCCCCTCCTCTCTGACCCAGGAGATCATGGACAGGCTTCAGCCTGGGCAGTGGCAACCGTGGCCTTCTTCCTGGCATCGTTAGGGCAAGGGCTCTGGTTCCGTGTTTGGCAGTGGACTCCCTCACTCCGTAGGTCAGATCCCAACATGAAGGTGCTACCCAGACGCTTAGGCATGCTGGCACTAGTCTACTTCGCCCACCTCCTCGTCTGGCTTCTGGCTCTCGAACACCTTGGAGCAACGACTGTCATCCTCTTCACTCAATTCTGCGAGGTATGGGCTTCGGACTTGGTGCGATCTGTAAAGACAAAGAGCTACGGAGGATACACGATCCTCATGGCCCTCTGTCTCTCTTTCCTCTGGACTTTGGTCACTGGTCTCTCGAGTTCGAGCCCCACTGGGAGCAGCGTCGTTGCGCAGAATTCCAGCCGCGGCATTTCAGGGTCCAAGTACGACTATGATGAGGACCTACCACCCTCTCTCAGGCATACCCGCCCTAGCGATCTCGGCTCCCCCACCAGTGCTGCCAGGGCTGCTGCACAGGCTGGTCTCGACGCGGCCGGCTTCTCGCCCAGTGGAGTCCTCGTGGGGCACTTGTGGCTGCTAGTGTATGCGTTCCTCACACTCGAGAGGGAGAGGGCGACCGGTGCTGCGTCAAAGGAGAGCGGAGGAAGGCGGAGAGCTACCGTTCTTGCGGCACTCATCGTAGCAGCAATCGTCACGCCAGCTTCTTTACTGGGAGCAATCGTTGTAAGTCATGACGGGCGACTACAGAAGCGAGGATGCCTAGCGCTGAACCGTCCATGTCTCACTGATGCTTTTCACTATTCAGGGACTACCAACTCTTCCGCCTCTGAGCTCCCTAGCTCCTACCTTTGCGTCCTTCGGCTCGTCAGCGACGTCTCATCTTCCAGCTTACTTCCTCCTCGCCGGCTCTTTCCTCATCCTCGAGCCGCTCCTCTCGACTGCTCTGGAGCCGCATGCCTCTCTGCAAGCTCGTGTCAAGCAAGGCTGGCCGATGGCGGTCATCGCATGCGCCGTCGTAGGCTTTGTAGGGTTTGGCCTCAGAGTCGGCTGGGGTGTGTGGGGTGTTGCAGCCTGCGTGGGCTGGGGACTACGATCCATCCTCAACTTTTCGCCACACTTGCAACAGACGTATGCAAGCGTAGAGACAACCTCGTCCGGCGGCGTCCGAACGGTCAGTCACACTCGCCAGCCGTCCGACGGGTCGGCGCTTGCTGAGCTAGCGAAGACATCGAAAGATCTGCTCTTGTCTGCCCGCAAGACCGTTCAGATCATTATGGCTAATAATGACTCTCGCAAGATCTTCCAATTTCTCTGCCTCAATCTAGCCTTCATGGGAGTGCAGCTGATGTGGGGAGTCTGGACAAACTCTCTCGGACTTATCAGTGATGCTATTCACATGTTCTTCGACTGCGCCGCGATTGGCATGGGCCTCTTCGCTAGTATTATGGGCACATGGGGTCGCGATGATGTATACACTTACGGCTACAATCGAGTTGAGACCCTCAGCGGTTTCTCCAACGGTATCTTCCTGATCCTCATCAGTGTCTTTATCGTATTTGAAGCCGTGCAACGGATCATCGAACCTCCCGAGATGCACAACACGACGCAGCTCCTCATCGTCAGTGGCATGGGTCTTGCAGTGAACCTCTTCGGCATGTTTGCCATGGGAGGACATCACCATCATGGCCATTCACATTCTCACGGACATGATCATGGCCACGGCCACGGTCACGATCACTCGCACCATGACCATGGACACTCACACAATATGATGGGAGTGTATCTCCACGTTATGGCAGACACTCTAGGGTCTGTCGGAGTCATCATCTCCACCCTGCTGATAGAGTACTATGGCTGGACCGGCTTCGACCCGATAGCCTCGCTCTTCATCGCTTTCATGATCACAATCTCTGTCATCCCTCTGGTCGTCGAGTCGGGCAAGATCCTCTGCCTGGATCTACCAGCTGGAACGGAGAAGAGCATCGCCGAGGCGCTGCAGGAGCTGGACTCGATTGAGGGTCTAGCCTCCTTCTCCAACCCCAGATTCTGGCCAAAGGATGGAGAGACGCTTGTCGGGTCGATACACCTGCAAGTCATGTGTGCAGAGGGGCCAGACGACTCTTCACACCAGCAGCAGCATGATCTCCGGCATCAGACGTCAGCTTCGAGGCTCTCAGAGGACACGACCAACGGTGGTAACTCGCCATCTTTATCGCTTCACCCGACAGTCCGGCCGGAGATATTGGCGAAGCAAGTTGAAGCGTTCCTCAAGCATCGCATACAGGGTCTTGACAGTTTGTGTATCCAATTTGAGCCTGCAGGGACACCGTCGAGCTTCGCAGCCTCTTCGAGTCTGGGCGTGCCAGGATCCGCACGGCCTCCTCAGCGAAGTTGGAGTGGAGCTAGCAGCATAATCGATCACGGAGAGGCGTTTGAGACCTTCGGAGGTGGAGGAGGCAGTCTTGGGCTGATGGGGACCGGAATGGATCTCCAACGGTCGGTGAGCGGCAGCAGTGCGAGGAGCAGTACGGAGCCGAGCAGTGCAGGTGGGCTTGGGGGTGATGCGATGCCTGTGATGGCCGGTGGATTTACGCCATCGATGGCGCAGATGTATGCCACACCGAAGAAGACACGGTGAGCTGCGTAGATACTATGTCTCATCACCTTGCCCATCCATAGTCATGTGTATAGATGTACGCTTGATCTGTTCTGCCCTCTTCCGGCCCGGCGCTTCCATCTCCGGTGTGGCTCCACTTCCGTCACCAGTGGACAGAGAGGACGCAGCGGCTGATGTCCCTTCTTCTTTCTCCATCCTTTGCTTCGTATTGGCCTCTCCTTGTTCACTATACCCGCGGCTTGCACTCTAGAGACGGAGACCATCACGGCCTGCGAGTGTTGTCACATTGCAGTCAGTTTTCCTCATCCCGATCTTTTCTAGCCATGCCCACCCCGTCCTCTTCCGCGCCTTCTTCCTCATCGCAATCATGGACCTCCTCCCTCCTCACCCTGCCAACAACGCAGCAGGGTCGTCTGATCATCACCTCTCTCGCATCCATCACTCTCACTGCCGCCTCCATCTTCTCCTATCAAGCAGCTGTGCGACTACAACGGCGGCGGGACTTGGCAAAGCGTGTGGATAAAGCTACCCACCGCGATCGGGATGCGGAGAAGAGGCTGCTCGCACGTCAGACTGCCGAGGACCTGGATGATGGGAAGGAGCCAGTTGACGGAGGCACGCCTCGCTATCTGGAGCACTTGACTCACCTTGCTCCGGGAAAGCCCGGCTCATCAGTAGCAGGATTTCGCGGATCAAGACTGCGGAGACAAGCATCGTACCAGTCCAACACCTCCAGTCACTCCATCAAGCCAACGCTGCAGCCTTTGCCTTCTACATACGATGACTCACTGATACGGGAGCAGCTATCTCGTAACTACTCCTTCCTGGGGGACGAAGCCATGGCCAAGCTGCGAGAGGCATTCGTTGTCGTGGTAGGACTGGGAGGAGTAGGTTCACACGTAGCCCTCTCCCTCATTCGTTCAGGCATCGGACACGTCAGACTCATCGACTTCGATCAGGTCTCGCTTTCATCGCTCAATAGACATGCTGTGGCCTCTTTGGAGGATGTAGGACGGCCCAAGGTGACCATCTGTCAAGAACACTTTGCAGGCATCTCGCCCTGGGTGCATATCCAGGCTTGGGTGGACGTCTTCAACGAAAGTGATGCCCCTCGGCTCTTCTCTCCCTTCCGCCTTCCCGCTTCGAGCTCCTCTGGCGGGGCCGCAAGGGAGATACCCGTTACGTACGTCATCGATTGCATTGACAACCTCTCGACGAAGGTGGGTCTGCTCGCCTACTGTCATGAGAATAACATCAAGGTCTTCTCCAGCATGGGCGCGGGAGCCAAGTGCGACCCGACGAGGATATGCATTGGGGACTTGAGTGCGACAGAGGAAGACCCACTGGCAAAGAGTGTGAGGAGGAGATTGAGGGAGAGGGGTATTCCCAAGATCGATGAAGCCAAGCAAGCTGGTCCTTCCTCGGAGACCAACGATGGCAAGCAGGGCGGAAAGGGTGCGGTCAAGCAGCAGAAGACGAAGGCCAACAAAAAGGCCGGCGCATCTCAGGCGAAGGACAAGACGCTACAAAGGGAGTCGTCTTTGGAAAAGGAGAAGACGAAGGCTCCCGTGAAGCCAAGTGAGATTCCCTTCAGGCCAGCTCCTACTCCCTCGCCAATCTCGATACCTGATAGAAGGAGCTTTTCGGGCAAGCGTTTGTCCAGAGCCTCTTCTGCCTCGTCCTTTGGGTCGGGCGGCGGAGCCTTCTACACACCAGAGGGTACACCGAAAGACGAAGAAGAGATGTACACCTTGGATGACGAGTCGCCAGATGACCGCGCAGGTGAAGGCCAGAGCGGTATTGCGCCCTCACTGAAGCTCCCCGAAGTGGCTGTGGACGACTCTTCCGAGATGGACCAGACGGTTGTCCCTCTGCAATCCCCTACACCAGAGCCATCGCGACCGGCCGCCTTCTCTTCGCCACTTTTACTGCGCCCTGCAAACCAACACCGCGCTTCTTCTGGACTGCAGAGCCTTTCTGCTAGCCCAATGGAAGAGAACGGGAGGGGCCAAAGTGAGGGATTCCCAGGCCTGACTCCGCAAGAGGGCGCAGAAGAGGAAGCACGCGTCCCGGCTGTCGAGGAAGGAGAGACGGACGGTGAGGGCAAAGGTATCGCGGCCAATGCCACAAGCCTTGCCGTACCGGACAAGGCCAGCGAAGAGGCCATCCAAGCGGAGCACGAGGAGCGGCAAGAGGAGCAGGCAAAGCGAGCAAAGGAGCTAGAAAAGGCGCAAGATCACGAGGCCAACCGAGTTCTTCAAGCAACCGTCGTCCCTGACTCTCCTCTCGCCCCCTCCAATCCCCGCTACCTCATCCCCTGCATCTTCTCCACCGAAAAGCCTCCTGCCCAACTTCTGCCTCTCCCCGAAGCCGAATTTCAGAAGGAGGGAGGGGTAGAGATGCTCCGCGCCCTCGAGGACGGGAACGAATGGCGCGTGAGGGTGCTCCCAGTGCTGGGACCCCTGCCGGCCATCTTTGGACTGAGCATTGCCAGTTGGATCATCTGCGATATTGCTGGCGGCAAGGGCGTGGGTGGAGTGGAGTTGATGCAGCCGATGGAGAGTCGAGTGAGGAAGAAGGCATTTGACAAGGTAAGTGGACGAATTGGAAAGGGACTGTGGGCCGATCCTTCCAGACCCAGGGCTGACCTCCTGTGCTATCTATCTCTCTGCTATTGCTCTTGCACCTCTACAGATCCAGCGAGAGCTCGAAAACCTGGAGCGTCTCTACCCATCTTCATCCGCCTCCACTTCCGGCCCATCCAACAAGCCTCAACCCCCTTCATCAGTCACAAGCAGCTCCGCCATCAGCAACCGTCCAGGTCGCGGCAGTCCTTTCCTTCTAGACGACGTCCTCTACCTCGTCCATGAAGTCTTCCACTCACGATCCATTGTCCCACCTCACGCTACCATCTCTTCACACAATGGACTCCTCGTGAGGTGGGACTCGACTTTGCCCTTGGGGTATGGGAATGTGGCGCTCTTGACCAAGGAGGAGGGGAAGAGACATGCGAATGAGGTGCTCAAGAGGGGGAGGAGCCCCGTAGAGGTTTGGGGTGAGGAGGCGGCGGATGTTTGGAGGAGGAGAATGGAGGAGGAGAGGTGGTATGCGAGATTGAGGTGAGGAGAAAGGACAGGAGAAGTGGGATCGAGCCATACAGCTCTAGCTTCAGCGCGCGACAGTCACAGCTGAGCGAATCCAGATGTGATGAGCGCAGATGATGAAAACGAGATTTGTGGACATTGTTGTAGAATCATTTGCATCGTTCCGCTATATTCACAACTCAACTCAATACCACGCCGCCGCCTAACATCATTCTCGTCTGCAGTCTGAGGGACAGACACTGCTCAATTGCGTGTCCCATCATTGCCATGAGGCATGAAAAAGGACCAGTCGGGTGCAGCTGTCAGTACAGCACAGCACAGAGGTAGAGGGAAGCGGGTCAGTAAATCATTGGCTTGCAGAGGAACTCGCTTGTTCAGACTATACACTCACCCCAATCATTCGGGTCCGGCGCCAATAAAGAGTTCAAGTGCAGTCCAATGGGATTGTTCATCATCAGTGTGTCCATCAAGGCATCGGGTGAGCCGCCCATTGGTCTGCCGGCAAATTCACCGCCGTTGCCTCTAAAGGAAGTATAAGGCCCACCGCCGACGGCTGCATTCCCATTGCCGGTGCCACTGGAAAGTGAAGAAGGAGCAGCGTTGTTGGCACTGTTGCCTCCCACGTCTAGACCGAGTGCAAGGTCAAAGTCGAGGTCGGTTCCAAAGACATTGTTGCTGTTGCTGCCGTCGCTATAATGCTGCGCATGTGGGGCATATCTGTTGCCATGCTGAGGCAAGGCAGGCGCTTGCTGTGGGATATGCGATGCAGTACTATGGGGATAAGATCGAGGCATGGGGGCGCTGCCGGTGCTGTTGAGAACATCTTTACCTGATTCATCTGCAGCAGGATGTGGCGCAACGCCGTGGGCGCTCGTGGGATAGACCTGTCGTCCATAGGATGAGCCCAGGTCCGCCGAAGAGGCACTAGCCGCATGGGTGCCCGCCGAAGCAGCCCTTGATTGAGCCACACTCTCCGCGACTTCCTCTTGGATTGCCCGCGGCACAGGCCTACTTCGGCGCTTGATTCCTTGCAGTCTGACAATTCTTCGCAGGAACTCAGCCTGTTGCGAAGCGAAGCTGTGCCTGTGCTCCGTCACCCTGCCTGCCTCTTCCATCCGCTCCACGACTTGCTCGATCATACTCTCGATCTTCTTGATCTCATCGCTGCCAGAGCCGCGCTGTTCGACGTTACTGTCTCGATCGCGCGAGCCTCTCAGGAGGGCATAGACTGCTGCAAATCCAACAGTGAGGAAGATCGAGTTGTGTGAAGTGGTGAGCAGTTCCAGGTCAAGACGTAGGAAGAAGGCTATGACGCTCAAAGCCGCACGTTGAGCGTGTTCGGTGAATCTTCTCAGCGAGACGTCTTGATCGTCTGCTGCATTGGCTGACCCGTGCCGAAGTGGCAGTGAATGTAATATGAGGGATGCGTAGGCGTGATAGAAGGCAGTCGTACGCAGGCGGAAAGGCTGGGAAGATTGCGCAGAATCGTCGTGTTCTGTGCTGCCGTTGCCAACCCTATCCGCGTGATGGTGATGCCCCAGTGAGGTCGGCATGACCCAAGTAGCATGCCAAGCATCGAGGTCTTCTGTAATAGATCGTCCGTGAAAGTCCAACAGCAGGCGGCAAGCCGGATCCGGCTGAGTGTCACTGGAGGAAGAGGGTCGCGCAGATGGATCTGGAGCCTTGGGCATGAGCGGCGCCACGTGAGATGTGTAATAGTCGAGGTTGCGAGCAATAAGCTGACGCAGCTGAACATTAGATACCAGCCCAGCGTCTTCCCGAAGGGCATACGGCGAATGGTGCCACTCCTTGGCAGCGGCGATCATAGGGTCGTGTATGGAGAGTGAACACCTGCGGCCTGTATGGAGTGCGATGGAGAAAGAGTAGGTCCAGCAGAGAAGGTACGTCCTCTCCCGCTCTCTCAATTTGCGCTGCAGCATCTCATCTTGAGGATCGGCTTGCAGGCTAACCATCCTTCGATTCAGGTCCAGCTCGACACACATTGACCATGCCCAGGACACATATGAGAAGCTGCGATCTTCGCCCAGCACTGCCCAGCCGTTGTATGCAGCCAACAGAGTAAAAGCTTTGATGATATGAACCGAGCGTTTACCGTCCAAGAGAATAGTAGGGATGATCTTTGACAAGATGTGCTTGTCAAGTGCTTCGGCAATCGCAGGGGTCGGCAGCGTCGGTGAAGGCGTAACGAAGCGGGCTGCGAGGCCTACCGCTACGGAAAGGAGCATCGCAGATCGAGGCCGCACGTAGTCGAAGGTGTACAACTTTGGATCGAGAAGGATCAGTGGATGGCTCAGCCTGATGAGAAATACGGACCAGAGGTGTTGTGCCTGATTCAAGGTGAGAATTCCTATAGAGATCGGGTCTAGCTCAGGGGCATTGTCGTGATCGGCATCATACAGACCACGAGGTGCGAAAGATGGGCTCTGGAGAAAGGATGACCGTTGTGCCAAAGAGCGGGGCCTTGCGGCATGAAGTCGTCTTCGAGTATGCTGGCGCGACTCGTCTCCCCCCTTGTCGTTTGCATGGTGGCTTGTCCCACCTTCCTCATCGTCTCGTCCATCAATATCGCCCGCATGATCTTCCGACGCTTGTACGAGGAGCTTTAGCGGATTGCTCAGAGAAGGAAGACCTGAGTCTGAGAGATCGTCTTCGCCTCGGAGAGTCAAAGGAAGGTGTGATGAGGTGTATGTCGAGGTTCGTGCGCCGCTGGGGCTTGCTGTGGGAGGCCTTCGTCCCGAGGAACTTGCACGGGCACCGGCGCTCGAACTTCTTCCTTGCTCCCATTCGTGCAAGATATCAGAGGTCAGACCATGCAACCTCTGCCGATCACTGTCCTGCGAGTGGTTACTCGAGGTATCGTCCTGTTTGTCGGAACGGAGCTCAGCAAGAAGGCCTTGCAGCTGTCTTTCAAGCCGGTTGTACTTGCTGGAGGGATCAGAGGTTAGCCGTGTGAGCAAATATAGCAACGTCATCCTCGCCAATGAAGCATGAGCACAATGCTGTACTCACATTGCTTCTGGCTTCCTCCCGCGCTTATGTTTCTCGTACACGCACTCTGTGCCTAGCCGTGTACAGCGAGCGCATCTGGGAGGCTCTTCGGCATCTGTCGTGGACGTTGAGGGCGATCCTAAAGGTTTTGCTACAGGCATACATTTCACCTGAGCACATACGATACCGATGGAAGAGTCTTGAGCTATCTGCACTATGGGCCAGCACCAGTCTCACACTTCTTCTCTGCTCACCTTACTGGAGCGACATTGAAGGCACTAGTCAATGCAGGCCATTGCACAAGAGCAAGGATATTGGGATGAGTTATGGACATCGCTGAGCTGGGTGTTCCCCCTTTGCTGACTCACAGACACCTTGTTGCTAGGGCCTCCGGCTACCGGTGCGCCAGGTGGAGCTCGGGATGCTCCCTGACCGCTCCTTCCCCTCTCCTCTGGCGAGCGGTGATGTCCGGGTGATACGTCGAGGTTGATGCTGTAGCTGCTGCTGCTGTCCCTGCTGTCTTCTCTGCCTCTATCATTGTGAGCGTCATCGTCTCGTGGCCGCTTCATCTGGGCGAGGTTGCCGCCTGGGGCGCCTTTCCTTTGCTTGTACGGACGGGAGCTTCTGGTCGGAACGGAGAGAGTTGGGTGGGATGGGATTGGGGGGTGCGGGTGATTCGCGTGGGGCGCTGGGATTCAAGCTCCGAAGAAAGTCTTCCTCGGGATTGGCCTGCTGCTGCTGCTCCTCGTCTCCCATCACCATCACCACCAATCCCTCCTTGGCACAACAGCCTCACCCCTCCTACCCTCCCCCTCCTCACCACGCCCTCGCACCATGTCGTCCCTCTTCAGATCCTCGACGGCGTCGCTTCGGGTCGCTTCGAGCTCCCTCCGATCCAACATCGCACCTGCCCAGCGTGGTATCGCATCGAAGATCCTCTCTCCGCCCACTGTCAGGTCTTCCTCTGGTCGTCTGTCCCTCCCCTCCTCGTCCCGTCTGGCCAGTTCTGACTCGTCTCAGCCAAAGGAGATGACTGTGCGAGACGCTCTCAACAGTGCAATGGAGGAGGAGATGCTGCGAGATGACAACGTCTTTGTCCTCGGTGAGGAGGTCGCCCGCTACAATGGAGCTTACAAGATCACAAAGGGTCTCCTAGACAAGTTTGGAGAGAGGAGAGTCATTGACACGCCCATCACCGAGGCCGGTTTTGGTGGTCTGGCCGTGGGAGCTGCCTTGGCTGGTCTGCGACCCGTGTGCGAGTTCATGACCTTCAACTTTGCCATGCAGGCCATTGATCAGATTGTCAACTCGGGAGCAAAGACTTACTACATGAGCGGTGGTAATGTGCCCTGCCCCGTTGTATTCCGTGGACCCAACGGGTAAGTAGAAGGAGCGGTTGTAGGGCCGTGACGTCCGCTAGGCATTTCTACAGCATACTCAAAGCACTCTTCTTTGTTCCCTCCCGATGCCCCGCTTGCAATCTTCCCGTTTCCCTCTAAAAGTGCCGCTGCTGGTGTGGGAGCTCAGCACAGCCAGGACTACTCTTCGTGGTACGGTCAGATTCCCGGTATGAAGGTCATCTCTCCCTGGTCCGCCGAGGACTGCCGAGGACTCCTCAAGGCTTCGATCCGTGATCCCAACGTGACCGTCTTCCTGGAGAATGAGATCCTCTACGGCCAGTCCTTCCCTGTTACCCCCGAGGTCCTGTCAGACGACTTTGTCCTGCCCATTGGCAAGGCCAAGGTGGAGCGAGTCGGAAAGGACATTACCCTCGTTGCCCACAGCATTGCGGTCAACTACTGCATGGCAGCGGCTGAGCAGCTCAAGAAGGAGGAGGGCATTGAGGTCGAGGTGATCAACTTGCGATCTATCCGACCCCTGGACATCAACACCATCATCGAATCGGTCAAGAAGACCAACCACATGGTGACAGTCGAGTGTGGTTTCCCTAGCTACAGCGTCGGAAGCGAGATCATTGCCAACATCATGGAGAGCGACGCCGCCGACTACTTCGACAACCACCCAGAGAGGATCACCGGAGCCGATATCCCCACTCCCTACGCCGCTAACCTGGAGAAGCTCTCCTTCCCCAATGCCGATCTGGTGGCAAAGGTGGCAAAGCGAAACATGTACCGATCGTAGACTATCGCGGGGTAAAATCCGATGGAGTGGAGGAGCAGAGCGGTTGTATATCCGATGCAGGTGCGGTAGATACGGAGGGAGAAAGGAGAGTGGAAGGAGCACTAAGGGGGCCAAGGAGGAATCGCCGAAGAGAGTCCTGGCACTCTCTTTCTTGCTCTCTTCCCTTCTTGTTTACCACCTCATTCTCCTCCACCGCTATCTTCCCTTCCCTCCCTCGATCTGACTGACTGGCTTAGTGGAACGGGGTTTTCAATGCCATCAACAATCTCAGCGATACGTGAGAATCTGCCTGACTATCTATCTGCCTGGTTTGCTTTACCTGGCAACTTTCTCTGTGGGTGTGTGTATGGACGAGATGAACCTTGACAAATGATGAACAGATACTATTACAATGAAGTGTGGAAAGGTGTAGAGGCGGGCAAGGGCAGAAGGAAGCAAGCAAGGGATTGCAAAACCTTTCGGCTTTTGGTGCGTGCCGATCCTCCTGAAGCTCTTGACCGAGACCGAGAGCGAGGTGGGGTGGGGTGGAATGGAGCAGACGATTAGAAGAGGGTATCTTCGTCCCTTAGGTACTCGCCTACATCACTGTGAGAGTCATCCAGAAGCAGAGGAGGTACGAGGTAAGGAGATTCCATCAGCTTTATCTCCTCATTATAGAATAGGCGCAGGGGAAGGGCATAGCCTCAAGGGTGGAACCCTTGGTCTCCATGGTTGGCAGCAAATACTCACGCTTGGTGGAAGACGATGATGGATGTTGGGTCTAGCTTGCGAGTGTCGACTGTGGAGCGAGCAGTGACGCCGAAGCCCTGAGTAGGAGGGTGAGAGGAGAGAGGTAGTGAATTGGAGAAGGCAAGAGTCAGGATCCTTCCTGCATCACTGATCCCGTCTACTTGAAAGGATGCTCAAGACTTGAGATGATCCAACGTCTCCTCCTCTTCCTCTTCCCACACTCTACTCACCAAAGCCACACCACTCATACTCAACACCACCACTCCAGCATGTTCCGGCGTATCATCCGTAATCCGTCCCAAGTGCGCCTTGACTACATGATTCCCATAAAGAAAAGGCAATTCTCCATTTGGTTTAATCCACACTTTATACTTTGCATACTGTGCCAAGTAGTCCAATGCAGTAACGTGTAATCTAAATTTCCCCGTCTTTGAGAATTTCCCAAAGCAAGTTCCAAGAGAAGAGAGGTTAGGTCGAGAGATGCTAATGGCTAGTTTCATTGCAGTAGAAGAGACGTAATAGACTCGATCTCTGTGTAGACGAAAGACGTGAGAGTCTTCTTCGGGACGATCTACGAGATGGACGACATTATTGCCAATGTAGTGGGCGAGTTTGGAGAAGACCGTCTTGGTCTCTTCATCTGTGAGGGGACGCATGGTGGGCGAGTCTCGAGATGGGTGTACGAGAGAGGTAGTGGAAAGCGATGAGGGAGTAGAAGGAGGGGAGCTTCTTCGCACTGGTCAGAGGTTCCTTGGCCTTGGTACGGAATCACTCGCAGAGGCGCAGGAAGCGGAAGGGGCAAATTTTGGCAGACGAGCCAGGCAGAGCCAGACAGGCCACGGCAGGCGGGCAAGGCCCAGCACTCGCGCGCGGCATCCTTGCACCCCCCGCACTGCACACCACACCTCACACTCACAGCAAGCAGGACATAGCCAGTAGAGATACAGAGACATTGTGTGTTACCTTGACCAGCGATAGAGACGTACAATGCGCAGTACAGGGATGTGGAGGAGAGCGCCAGGGGGCAAAAGGGGAAATGGGATAGGAGTGCAAGTGAGGTGATCAAGGGGTTGAGGTGAAGACCGTTATGCGGCTGAGTGATGATGCAACTGACTAAACGTCGACAATATCGAAAACCAACTTGCAGATGCTGTTGAGGTGATCTTAGTGATTGGTAGCTAATACAGCGCTTCTCCTCAGAAGCTCATCGGCAGCCGACTCCCACTGCCGCTTGGACCTTCGCCGTCGGTATCCGGCGAAGACGGCCTCGCGGGGCTCATCGACCAAGGGAATGGCAGCAAGCCAGCAGCCGAAGCCGCCTCTTTTCCCTCGCTCGCCGATGGCTTGGCCGCCATGTTCAGGTTGCCGATCAGATCCGCATTGCTTCTACCCCAGCTATCGCGCACGTTGAGCCTGCTGGAGCGTCGATTGTTCTTGTCCGTGAGTGCCTGCTCTGGTTGCCAGATCCGTACTGTACCGTCGTCACTGCACGAGGCTAGTAAGGAGGGAAGCTTGGGATGCCAGGCCACTGCGTTCACTGTACCCTCTCCGTGGCCAGAGAGCCTCTCGAGGAGCTTTCCTGATGTGCGGTGATAGATGTAGATGGAACCATCTGTGAAACGGAGAAAGGACAAAGACGAAGGGGAGAAGGGTCAGCCTATGGTGAGAGAAGGCTGCGCATGCTTGGTACCCACCTTCACTTCCACTGGCAATGAAACTCTGTGTGGAGCCTCCAAAGCAAGCCCTGACCAGGTCTTTCTGTATCCTATGACCGTGGTATGAAGCCACAAGATATTGTTCCTCGATATCCCACAGCTGCGCCTCGTTGGGACGATGGTTGACAAGTGCATACCGTGAATCCTGACTGACTGTGACGCTGATCATCTCCTCTACCATCAGAGTCGAGCTGCAAGTCCAGGTGAAGGGAAGAATAGAGCGGTCGTCAGGAACCAAGCACCCCCTGCTCCACCACTCAACGATGGCGCTACTCACCCGACCTCTTCCTTGCGCTGCAAATTCCAGAAATGCATCTTGCTTCTGCCTTCCGTAGGAGATCCCTCTGATACCCCTCGTCGTCCGATGGGCGACGGTGAGGGACTCGACGAGTTGGCAGAGGAGCTTGTGCCCGAAGACGAATCTCGGCGGGAGTCACTACTTGACATGTCTTCTAGCTTTGCGGACTGGGACGGCCTCCAGCTCAGCGCGACGAGATTACGCCCATCTGGTGTGATGGCCAAAGCTAGCAGCCGATATGGTGCCGTCACCCATGTGTGAGTGATACGTCCGTGCCGATCCTGATAGCGAAGGAAAGAAGCAGAGGGTGAGTAAATATAGATCGGCGCCTCAGCTTTTGTGAAGTCTACACTCACCCAGAAGATGACTTTGGCGTCGGTACCACCAGTGACAAAGCCAAGGCCCGACGGCAGCCAACACACTGCGAAAATCGTGTAGTCATGCTCCCTGTAGACCTCATGCTCTTCACTTTCCCACTCCCACTGAAACACCTCACGATCTGCGCACGCGAGCAAAGTTCGGTCGTCCGGCGACCAGGCTAGGCAAGTCACCTCGGCAGAGTGAGGCCCCAGAACCTTCACCTTCTCGCATTGGTCCGAGGTGACCGACCAGACAATGACCATCTTATCCTTGCCACCTGTAGCGAGGAAACGACCATTGTGCGAGAAAGCCATGACCCAAACTTGATCCTCATGGCCACGAAGTACGTGGGTGGTTTGAGTGGGAAAGATGGACGTATCGGACTGATGATCTGTGTAGAGGGACAGATGCGAGTCGAGGGGCAGGTTGAAGTAGGGGTCCAATTGCTTCTGCAGCATCTGGGCTTGCTCGAGCAATTGAGGCAGTCTCCGGCTAGGTAGTAATGCAGACGGCGAGACTGCCAATTCGATCTGCTGAAGCAGCTTCCTACGCGACTCTGGCCCAGATCCATCCCACCCAGCTTTCATCATCAACTCTTCGGGTGTATTGCACATGACTAAGCCAGAGAGCTGATGCAGTTGATCAGAGCCATGATTGAGCGGAGTGAGACGCTCCCTCAACACCGATAGAGCCTTCTTAGTCTGGCCAGTCTCTAGCAGCTCAAGGTACCGTTGCTGTTGGATCAGGAACTTGATGGACTGTAAAAAAAATGGAGGGGCAGGTGGAGATCAGAAGCAGAAGACGATTGGCGGATGTCTAGGGCCACAAATGCCACTTACATCGAGTGGCCGATTGATTGGGTCTCGTAACACAACATTCAAGTCCAAGCCTGTCAGCGGAGGACTGGAGCCAATCTCAGGCATCCCTCTCGGCGCCATCTTGCGGGTAGCAGCATAAGCGAGTCCATCCAATAGGAACCGCTCTGCATTCTTCCAGTCACCCTGCAGGACAGCATTACGGAAAGCTGTGATGGAAGGATGCTCGGATGCGACGCCCGCTTCGGCCTCCAGTGCTCGAGCTGATGATCTGGAGCGATAGCGCATCAGGGGGGGGACACGATTAGTGAGACACCTTAATTGAATGGTGAGCGCCTGGCATAGTACTACTCACTCATAACCGAGCTCCCTCAGAGTCTGCAGAGACAACTTGACGAGCTCCTTGCGGTCTATTCTGCTGCCTGGATAGACGGGACGAAAACCAACGTAATCTGCCGTCTCAGGAGGCGGGACTGCTCCAGCTGTCTTACCAGAGCCATTGACTCCGTTCTCATGTGCTCGGCCGTTGCCATTGCTGGATCCGGAAGACTGTTTGACAACCATCGGGAAGCTCTTGTGCGCAGTGGGTGGGCTGGTACCGCTCGGTCCCGCCTCGACGCCGTTGCCCAAGCTCGAGCCGTTCGATGACATGATCTGGTCGGCACTACTAGGTGCGACGATGTGACAGGGTTGAGGAGCAACAGGATCTATGTTGAGCAGAGCAGAGGCGGGTCAGCATACGTCCAAGATTCTATGTGTACTTCTCGATAGAAGGTACAGCCTACACACTGCAAGCCCAGGCAGTGACTGACCTGATGTACGACGGATGGGGGTGTGGCCGCCGGTGTTGGGAGAGGTGGAGTCGAGCAGGTTCGAAGACGAGGAAGCCGCGGCGAATACGTCTGACGTGTAAGAGGGGGACAGACGTCTACGTCGAGAGGAAGATGGGGATGCTGGCGACGACAATCGAACCCTCTTTGGCGGCCGAGCGGTCGGTCTATCTTCAGAATCCGACGTCTTGGGCAAGTGGGGTCTTTCACCCTGCGTCGGCGAATGTAGGAGCGGGGCGACCGCGGCTGGGGATTGGGGCAAAGGGTGGTGGCGGAAGAGTGGGTTGGAGAGACCGAGAGTCAGCCGGTGGATTGGGAACGATGTCGCGGGGAGCGAACAAGTTGATATGCGTCGAAGGTTAGGATGTAGTGGACCGAGAGGAGGCGGCGGGGGGGGCAAGGTGGGTAGGGTCTCCGAGCTAATCTCGGCCCGCCCTTCAGGGCTGAGCCAGGGGCGCCAGAGGTGGAGCACGCCAGTGCCCGGCACCACACTCCGCCCGGTCATGTTGATCCCTGCCAAGCAACGATCAGAGAGTATACAAGGAATCGCTAAGCAGGTATAACCTCTCGATACCTCAGATGGTGCAACAACTCTGCTCGCCACTCCTTCGCTATTGGCACAAGGACTCCTAGTAGATTACGGCCTGGACCATGTCAGCGAGATGTGTCGAGGTGGACCGTGCATCTCACCCGACTCTGCCCTGCTTCCGTTCCAATTGCACACGAGAGGGTCCATACTGGTTGCGGTCAGACGACGGACAACGAGTGATATGAGGATGAAATTAGACGAATTGAAAATATAGACAGACGTTCATCAACAGCAGACGCCCCGTATCACACAGTCTTTGCGCCGGAGCCCCAGCCGAGACCAGCAGTGGTCAGCAGGCTCTCCCGGGTTCTCATCAGCGCCTTGCCCAGCTCATTGCGGCCCACGCCCGTCTTAGTGGCACCGATGGCTCTGCCAGCTCCCCAGAAGACGTCGCTAGGCGATGCGAGGACAAGATCAGCGCTGCCAGAAGAAAAGGAGACAAGCGAAAGAAAAGGGACTTCAGAGTTAGCGATGCTCCGACGGACATAATCGATCGAGCCCCGGGTTGGGCCTGCCACTGAGCCATTGAATCTGTTGACACTCACTCCCCGGTCTGCAGGAGACGCCTCTTCAACTCGCTATGTTGTGTGAATTTGAGTAGTAGAACCTCGCGCATCTGAACACCAGTCAGACCAATACGAGTAGAAGGTTAGCATCTGTCCAAGCTCTCAGCTCACAGCCCGCGCTGCCGAACATCTGCGCGACTCACGGCAATGATATTGAGTCCCTCCTGACGCCAACCCTTCCGTACATCAGTGGCATTCCTCTTGGCCATTCGGACTGCATCCGAGGCGCTCTCCGCTTTCCGAATAGCCTTTGCAATCTCCGGTCGGTGAGGGAACTTCAGACACTGGAATAGATGCTCTGAGAAATGGGAGGAGGCACAAATGAGGTCGTGTGGAAGGTCAGCATCAACCACACTTCAGTATAGTCCCGCTCGGCACGACTTGCCTACTCACCAGAAGATGGGTATCGAACATTGTCGTAGTATACAGGAATCGCAAAGTGATTGTGGAGCCAGAAGTAGGGTGCGCCCTTGTGCAGAAATTCGATGACGGGCGGAGCAGCTACGTCTTCCTCTTCATTACCATCCACTTGGATCTCGTCCTCTTCCTCCTGAGCCACGGAGTCTTGTGACCTCCGTCTCGCAGCTCCATCTGCTTCTGCGCTGGTGGAAGCTGGTGGCAGCGACGAATTGGCTGGAGCTGGAGCAACAGCAGCTGATGATGATGCTGGAGCCGCCCGTTGATGACTTCCATTGGCTCCTTCCAGTCCGTCCTGGGCATCGTCATCCACTCTTTCGTGTGACTCCACTTCCTTGGCGGCAGGAGACCGTCGCTGCATGGACTGTCTCTTATTTCCGAAGGAGAGGAAATTCCTCGTCTTGGACCACGTACTGGGCGGAGGATGTTGCTCCTCGACGACGGAGGCTGCCATGATAAGCGAAGGTGGGATAGACCCGGGTATGATCCTGAACGAGAGAGTGTCGGTACGGAGACAATGAGCTATTGGGGCATGAATCACGATGTACAGGGAAAAGGGGACGAGGAGATGGTTGCGGTGACTGCCCCGCTTCCACGACGAGAAGAATTTAACCACCCTGGACCCGCATGGCGTCATATGCGGCGTCTCTCCTGACCGGCGCAGGTCAATCGAGATTCGTACTCCGCCTCGCTCCCACTTCCGTTACCGGTCCCTGTCCCTAATTGTACAAGGGCCCCGCACGCAGCCCAATCATTCACCTCCTTCTCAACCCGGGGGGGCATTGTTCTCCGAGCAGGGCAGAGGTGAATCCCTTGCTGCTTTGCCTCATGGCAACATCGCAGTCGTCACTCTCATTTGTTCCTCGTAGGGTCAAGGCGACTGCATCGAGGGTACGGCCCCCAAGCGCGCCCGATCACCACAGGGCTGTGCTGTCTTCTGCCGGCGGGACAACCAGCTACCCTATGGATGTATTGCTAAGAGTGTCTCTTCGAATGGATCAGGGTGCTGGGAAGCCCAGATACAGCGCAAGGAGGATGGAAGCGCGATCAAGGATGACACTAGAGAAGCTGATATCGCATTCCGTGGATTATGTGCACGTTGAGGACGTAGCTAGAGCCTTGGTGACCAATGCACAAGACGATGCCCTGCTGGTGAAAGAGGAGGTGAGTGTATGACATCCCACCTGCTACTGATAGTAGAAAATCTGACCTTTGGAGACTTTGCCCGCCCCATTACCCAGTGGAGAATCGTTGTCCGTACGCCTTCCTCGAGCTGCGCACAAACATTGCTAGATGCTCTTCTTCGGCGCAAGTACAAGGCAGAGCTACTCGGCTTTGAGGAGCAAGAAGAGCACTGGCGAGGGGTTCCCGAGGCCATCAAGAACAGAGCACGAGGGAGGAGTGAGCGTGGAGCCTATGCTCTGAGAAAGAGCCGGGCAGCAGCATCACAGCAGCGGTCAGAGACGCGCTAGGATGGTCGCTCGCTTTGAAAGCAAATACACAATGTGGCAATGTCTTCGTTGTCCGCTGTACAGCAGAGCTAGATCACCGCTGAGTCTTCTTTCTGGACCATCGATGTTGTCAGGATTGCTGAGCGGTGGAACCTTCTTGTCGCCTACTTGTTCTCTTATTTTCCCGCCCAGACGGAAGTGGCACACAATTCGCCGAGAAGTGGACCGTGTGCCTTGCTCGGCTTGGCTCCCCGACCCCTTTCTACTCATATTCATATTCCCTGATGATCGTAGAATGAGCAGACCACGGCGGTCCCCACCGCCTTCGATCGATGTCGGTGCCCCATCATCATCTTCGTCCTCCCCGCCGAAGCTGGAAGATCCCTCGCCCGTCTCACCCCCGCCGCTCGGCTTCAGTGACCTCCGGTCTCGCTTCGAGCACCTCTCTGCCGCCGGCAGCAGCAATGGCACAGCACCTGCAAGGCAGAGGACAGCGTCAAATGTAATATCGTCACCTAGACCTTTACCGACTCCACCCATTGCAGCCGATCATGCGTCCGTTGCCCGACTACAAGCAGTCGGGCAGACAGAACACGCACAGCCGATCGCTTCTTCGTCTAGACAGCGCCTGCCTTCAACACCAGGATCTTCCGCACTTTCGTATCATACAGAGTTACGGCAGCAGCAGAATGGAAGTAAACCAGGCGACGAAGGTTCGCACGTGAAATCCTTAAGTCACGATGCGGAACGATCGAACGGCGATCCGCAGGAGCATCATCATAGGGCTGCTGCCCTCCTCCATAGAGCTGAAGCAGGTGTCTCCTCAGCGTGGCATAGCGCAGGATCGCAGAACTGGCATCTCCATCCTCATGGTAGCAGTGAGGAGACAGCATCCGAAGATTCGGGAGTAGCAAAGCCTGCAAACGTCGTCTCTGCAGATCAAGGTTCTCAACAATCTAAGGTGCCGGAAGGGGAAGCAGTTCCCCAAAAGGCTCGAAGGCCACCGCCCCCTCGGCCTCCGAAACCTGCAAAGATCGACGAACAGACTCAGAATCCATCAAGTCTCGATCCTGAAGTCGTCTCACACCAGCCTAGTATTGCAACTTTGCGCAGTCGCTTTGAGGCTGCCAGGCTAAAGGATACCAAGCGCCCGCCTGAGCCAGACCTGATCACACCATCAGCAGACCTGCCACCTGCGGTAAGCTCGAGAGTCCCGCTTCCAGCATTGGATCTGCAAGCTCGGTCTCCGCAGCTCTCTGGGAGTAGTAGCCTTGGAGAACTGCCATCGGGTATGACAGCTGCGCTTGACTGGGCTGACCGCCGCTCCGATGTCTCCTCACTATCGCCGAGCATCGATACTCACCATGCTACCGTCCGGCCGAGGGCTCCAAAAGCGGAATCTTCCGCTCAGCTTCGCAGCGATGTGGAGCCAGTCGAGTCTTTCCCAGAAGGAAAGAGTTCACCGAGCTTTGCGCCACCTCCCCATCGGGTGGATACGAAGAAGGACATTGCTCATAGCCCGTTGCCTGATGCCACGACAGCGAAGCAGATGACCCGGACATTACCACCACTCCCTGCTCCTGTTTCAGTGAGCCGACCGGCCGCTGTGCCTCAGTCCAAGACGTCACACGCGCCCTCACTAGATCGGCCAAGGGAAGCTCCACCAATCAGAAGGGTTGCTTCACACTCACCGTCCTTGGCCAGTGCGCCTGCCTTCAATAGATCGGTCTCTCCAATGGCTGCAGCTTCACCCAAACCCCCTTCCCACAGCGGCTTGCGTAGCGACTTTGCGCCTCCTATCTTGAGGTCGGCAGGGCGGGTTCCCAGTCCGAACGCAACGAAGGGCCGGGCGCAGGAGTCTTCATCGAGCAGCGACAGCAGCGAGTCTGATGATGAGTCTACAGCTGCGAAGCCTACTCGAACGCTTGAGATCCCACGTCCAGTGCTCGGCTCGGGTAGAAGTAGCCCCGAGGTGACATCAAATACGGGCAAGCCTGTCTTGAATGTGCTTCTGTCGGAGACTCTACCTGATACATCTCGAGCCAATAGACGACCCCCTTCCTTTGACCCGCCTAAGTATGCACAATCGAAGCATTTCAGCTGCTTCGCGGCCTGGGGTCACACAATTGCGACCGCCTCGGGAGATAAGGTGCGCATATATCGCATCGGGGCGACAGCTAGGCAGATCGATGGCGGTGACAAGCTATGCAGATTGGCAGCAGAGCATGGAGGTAAAGAGGTGAAGATTACGAGCATGGCCTTTCGTCCGTCTGGAGGGGACGAGCTCGATGGCCGCTATCTTTGGTGTGGTACGCGAGAAGGCTCACTCTGCGAGATGGACATCGTTGAAGCCACTGTGCAGAGCTCGAAGCACAATCTGCATACCGCTCCGGTAGTCATACTGCAGCGCGTCGGAAACGGGATGCTATCAGTGGATGAGTCTGGGAAGATCTGCATCTGGCTTCCTCCTACTGGCGAGGAGAGTCGCGGGGTGCTCTCGCTCTCACAATCGCCAGTCGCTCAGAGGGTCTCTCTCGATAAGTCGACGCTCTTGCTTGCCTTGGACACACAGCTCTGGGCTTGCTCCGGTTCTGCGCTAGCACCGAGTAGCTTGACTCGCAGTAACCACAGCCACAGTCTGGCATCTGCCGCTTCGGCCAAAGTAGCTGCTGTTGGCTTCGGTAGTAGTCCCACAGGAGCTCAATCTCCCGCTGCCTCGGCCGCCTCTCGAAAGGGAGGTCACAAGATCGGAATTTTCAATCCATTTTCTACCACGAGTCCCTTCAACGCCACGTCCAGACCTTTGGCGATGGGCTCATATGGTACAGCAGGTGTCGGAGCTATTACATGTGGGACAATCATCCCAGAAAGAGCTGATCGAGTGTATCTGGGGCATGAAAGCGGCCACCTCTCCACGTGGGACAAAGTGAGGATGACTTGTATCGGCGTTCAGCGGTTGAGCGCCCTGGGATTCACCGCCGTCTGCATGGTCAACGACCTGCTCTGGACAGGCAATCGCAGTGGGCGAATTACCGTCTTCAGTCCACCACCTGAAGGGCAGCAGTCCCAGCAACCCTGGAAGGTCCTCAAGTCGTGGCCAGCTCACAAAGGCGCCGTTTCCGTGATCGCACTTGACCCCGCCTACCTCGATGCGCAGTACACTGACGATGGGGTTGCTGGCATCTCTGTCGTCACCTCCGGGACGGACTATTCGGTCCATGTCTGGGATGGTCTCCTCTCCGCTGACTGGCTCGCTCATCGAGTCTCCTTGAGAAACGATGAGTTCTCCACTAACAGGATGCTCAAGTGTCTACATGTAACCTTCAATATGGATGCAGCTTCACCAAGCGATCTGCACGCTTCAGTCGACTCCGTCAATTGGCTTCCTCAGCTACTCACGTCGGCAATCTCGACCGATGGATCCAGTCTGCCGGACATCATCTACTTTGGCTTCCAGGAGATTGTGGATCTAGAAGACAAGAGACTGACGGCGAAGAGCATGCTGTTGAATGCTGCGAGCGGCAAGAAGGCTAAGGCCGACATGAGCGAGCGGATCAGCCACCAATACAGGATGTGGTATGATCGACTGGTGCAGAGTGTAAGGCTCGCCATGCCAGCCGATTCACCATACCGCGTGGTGCACTCCGAGTCGATGGTCGGTCTCTTCACCTGTCTCTTTGTCCGGGCTTGCGAGTTTGAGAGCGTTAGCGATGCAGCTGTCGTGACTGTCAAGACGGGCTTGGGAGGGCGGTGGGGCAACAAGGGCAGCATCGTGTCACGATTTCTGATAGACGACACGAGGTGAGTGTCACGAGGCGCAGATAAGACGTGACGTACTGAGCCAACGACGACTCATTGACCTGCTCTCTCCTACCTCATCACTAGCTGCTCGTTCATCAACGCTCACTTGGCCGCTGGGCAACGACATGTCAAGCAGCGAAACGAAGACATAGCCCAGATTCTTGAGTCTGAATCCTTGCCGATTGGGAAGAGCGGAGAGGGCGTATACGTAGACGGCGGCTCGGGCGAGCTGATACTGGACCACGAGATAGTCTTCGTTGGCGGCGACCTCAACTGTGAGTCGCGGGCAAAGCTCGTCGGGCAAAGGTTGCGATAGAGCTAACTTATACTCCCTCCGTTGTGCCTGGACACCGACAGATCGGATCGACCTGCCACGTTCCCAAGTGCTCAACTGCATCCAAACAGGACAATTAGATACATTGCTCGTCAAAGATCAGCTGCATCAAGAGCTGCAGCGGAACTCGCCCCTGTTCCGGCTGCGTGGATTTCAAGAAGCCGATTCTCCCACTAGGTTTGCCCCGACCTACAAGTTCGACAGAAACAGCCAGGAGTACGACACCAGCGAGAAGAGCCGGGTGCCAGCGTGGTGCGATAGACTGCTGTACAGATCAGCCGGAGTGCAAATTGATGAGGCAGTCAATGGCCACAAGGGGACCAAAGCGCACGAGTCGTCACCTGGAGTGCGGTGCCTGGAGTACCGTAGCTGGCCGGAGGTGACCATTAGCGACCACAGGCCCGTCAGCGCCATTTACGAGTTCCAGGCGAAGCGCATTGACTGGGATTTGAGAGAAGCGGTGAAGCAGCAAGAAGCGGAGGTATGGAAGGAGACACGGGCAATGCTGGTGCAAAAGGCTCTAGAGTACTATAACCGACCGAGGTAGTCTTGTCCTTAGGGGAGATTGGCTGCCTCGCGTGTGTGCGTGGGGAGCCAATCTGCGCGCCACTTTGGCTCGTGCCGTTCCGATCAGACGCGCTTCGCGTCGAGGGCGGCGAATTGTAAATTGGCATTTCTGGTGTTCATTGCGTGTGTCTGTCTTGGTACCGTACGACCCTTCTTTGTCCTGGCCTACTTGCTCCCTTCACCCGCCACTGCTCCGTCCCTTCCTGACGTCGTCGCCCAAGATGGCCACGTCCTCGACCTACAAGCCCATCGCCCTGGAGTCGCTGGGGATGTTCGATGACGATGAGGAAGACGAGGTGATGCCACTCCAGCCTCGTTCCAACAACCTCAGCGATGCTCTGTCCACTCTTAACTCACTAGCGAAGTCAGGTCGACCACCCGCATCGATCTCTCAAGCTCAGAGAAAGACGCTGGACTATACAAAGCCAGCAGCAGCTGCCCGAGATTGGCCCGCTAGCTTGGACGAGGAGCTTGATCTGGAAGAGGAGATGGCGAGAGAAGCAGCTCAAGAACAAGAGTGGGGAGCAGCTCCTGATTTTCCCGAACAAGGAGTGGAGGAATACGAGGATGAAGATGACGAAGAGGAGATGGCAGCTATGAGAGCAGCAGAAGGCCAGTCTGCTAAGGCGGACGCTGCCTCGTCGAGCAGCTCGCGTATGCCAGTCCTGGAGGATAGTGGACTACTCGGGGACATGGAAGGCGAGCCCGAAATATCATCATCGTCCAATCAGCGGCCTCGACCGCCGGTCTCGACAATCGAAAGTACAACAACAGCAAGCGATGATGACCTGTATCTGCCCTCATCCTCGGCGGTGACTGCTCCTCGCCCAGTAGCAAGACCAAACATCGGTGCTACGACCTCCGCGTCTGCCTTTTCCTCCTCGAGCATTCCTTACGATAGCGCCATCCCCAAGTACATTCCAGCAGGACACTTTGCTGCCCTTAGCCTCGATGGCACGAGTGTTCGCTTCGAGAGGCGAAGGCGGATAAGGGGTTGGAAGCCTCCACCGCCCCATTACGGCGAGAGTAGCAGTACCGGTCTGCTCTCTCGGCCTGTACATCAGATCATCGAGGCGGTACGAGCGCGAGAAGCGGAGGACATTGTTGCTCGGGACGAAGAGCTGGCTGCTAGGTCGGCTGCATTACATCAGACCCGCACACACGCCCGCACTGCTCCTCGCGATGACGGCAAAGTCTGGGTGGAGAGGTACCGGCCGAAACGCTTTGCAGAACTACTTGGAGATGAGAGGGTCCATCGTGAAGTCATGTCGTGGCTCAAGGAGTGGGACTCGTGCGTCTTCAAGAAGAAGAATCGCAAGAGGCCGAGGCATGATGGAGGCTCCGCACCATCCGCGGGTCCTTCATCCTATGGAGTTCCAGTAGAGTGGAAAGACCCTTATGATCGTCCACAACAACGGGTGCTCCTGATCTCAGGCGCTCCAGGTCTGGGAAAGACGACACTTGCTCATGTCCTGGCTCGTGCGGCAGGTTACGGAGTGTACGAGCTCAATGCATCCGACTCCCGATCGGCTGGAGCTGTGACCGATACTATCAAGATGGCGCTCGAGAGTGCCTCGCTCAAGGATGCACGCCCTACCTGCCTTGTTGTAGACGAAATTGATGGAGCGACGGGTGGCGGGATGTCATCGGGCGCTGGTGGCGAAGAGTCTCGAGGCTTCATCAAGGCTCTTGTCGATCTCGTGGAAGGCGGGAAGGGTGGGCGCAAGGCCAAGGGTGCCAAGGGATCAAAAGGGAAGAGGAGTAAGCCGCTGCTCAGACCCATCATCTGCATCTGCAACGACCTCTACGCGCCAGCATTGCGTCCTCTACGACCTTACTGTCGCTTGATCCGCTTCCAAAAGCCGGCAACCAATCATCTCGTCACAAGACTCAAATCCATCTGCGAAGCGGAAGGCATCTCGGCTTCCTCTCGCTGCTTGTCGCTGCTCTCCGCTCTCTCGCAGGGAGACATTCGATCTTGCCTGAATGTCCTTCAGCTGGCGAAGCTCAGGAGTCTGCGCAAGTTGGCAGGCAGTGGCAGGTCCGACGGCTTGGTCGAGGTGACAGAGGCAGAGATCCGTGAGGCGGGCGTGGGGGTCAAGGATGGCTCAACGAATCTGCAGACGGTATGGTCTGCCCTTTTCAAGACGCCCTCGCCGAAAGAGCGAGCTCGCAAGACGGCTCCCTACGAAGGTCCCGCCTTGACGCAGCATCTCATTTCTCTCGTGCAGTCCTCCGGTGACTACAACCGACTACTGCAAGGTTGCTTTGAGCACTACCCAAATCTGAGCTTCGTCGACGATGGGTGGTGGAGGATCCGCACCATGCTCGATTGGGTCGCTTGGGGAACCGAATTGCAGGACAAGGCATGGTCCAATGGGACTTTTGACCTCATGGGCTACGTCCCTTGGAGCTTCGTCAAGTGGAACGGCCTGTTTGCGAATACTGTCAACAGTCTTCCCGAGTGGCCGAAAGTAGACTATGAGCAATTCCTCAAGAAGCAAGCCTTTGAGGAGATTTCCATCGAGTTGCACCACTCTCTCCCACCTTCGCTCCGTGTGCAATTCGGTCGGGACGCAGTGGTTCGTGAGCTTGGGCCAACATTGATGCGCATGCTCACACCGGATCTGAAGCCCATCAACAACCAGATTGTGCGACCAGCTGAGCGCGCTACGCTGGGCAGTCTAGTAAACATCATGCTGCATCTCTCGCTCAATTTCACGCAGGAGAGGACAGACGAGGGTGTACTCACCTACCGTCTAGAGCCACCGCTGGAAGTCTTCACCTCGTACGACGGAAAGAAGAGCGCGGCAGTCAATGTTGGACGGTACGCCGTGAGGGCCATTGTCATGCGTGAGCTCGAAGCGGAGAGGGCACGCAGGCGCAATGGTGTTGCAGACGGTACGCCAGGCGAAGCAAGTTCTTCATCGGCCAAGAATGCACTCGAGGCCTATAGAAAGGCGGATGCCAATGGGCTTGGGCTAGCGGGGAAAAAGGAAAAGGTTGCATTGGACTTCTTTGGCAGACCGGTCGTGCTGAAGCCGAAGAAGGAGGCGGGAGGGGCGAGCACAAGCCCTAGTGGCGGGTTGAAGGACCTGCCTGCGCCGATCTTGGCGGCTCGACAGGCCAAGGAGGCGCTCAATGCTGCTATGCTTCCGGACTCAAAGGGGTCCGCAGCCAAGGAAGACTTTCCTGCTGGTGAGACTGCTGAGAGTGGGACAGACTCGTCTGTTCAGCCAAGTCAGAAGAGGCTAAAGGTACACTATCGCCACAACGAAGGGTACTCGAACGCAGTGCGACAGCCGATCAAGATGTCTGCGCTACTCTAGACTAAGTGAGACACCGCGCCTGAGGGGCAGGTTGGTCTTCTATGTGATATGATATGCATTGTATGCCTTGCTTTGCAGCTATAGCTATAGGACTCTTTCTTTCGTCTCGTCTCAATGTCATTCATACAATCATGATTATGGAGCTGAGAGGCGAGAGGAAATTGTGCTACTCGCTCCCTCTCTACCCTGATCCTGCCCACTCGACCCTTCTTTCCCTGTCTCTACTTGCCATACTGCTTCCTCAGCAACATGATACTATCCCTCTGATCAGCAGGCAGCGCAGCAATCTGCGCGTCTGTCAAGCTCAGAACCTGCATCAAGAGCTGCCGTTGCGAGTCCTCTAGATTTCCCCCAGCTCCACCAGCGGCAGCTGCTGCCAGTCCACCCACGGCCGTCTGCGGTTGCTGATGTTGGAGGTGGGGCTGCTGTGGTTGTTGTCCCGGAGGAGGAGTCATGTATTGCTGCTGAGGAGCATTCTGGTTGCCGCCATATGCGTTTGGGACTTGCTGTTGGTAAGGCGGGCCAGGTCGTCCAGGGGGAGGAGTGTTGGTATATCCTCTGCCTTGTTGCTGCTGCTGCTGCTGCTGTTGGTATGGCATTCCCTGAGGCGGACGGGAAGGTGGTGGTCCGGGCTGACCGTACCCTCCTGCTCCTCCACCATATTGTCCGGGCGGTGGTGCAGGAGCCGATCCTGGCGGTTGAGGCGGTGCGCCAGGGTAGCGGCCTTGCTGCTGCTGTGGAGGTTGTTGCGATGGGCCGCCAGCTGTGAGAGCGCCACTGCCTGCCAAGATACGCTGGAGGATAGCTGGATCCACCAGATTCATCATGAGCATTGCTTGGAAGAGGGCATATGTGAGTTGAGGGTGTGATGTGAGGAGTCCTTGAGCTGACTGTGGTGATGTGAGGATAAGCGACTGAACGGAGGGTGAGGCGAGAGGATGAAGAGCGATGAGTGTCAGGTCTAGCATGTGTTTACCTCAAGCTCGTCTCGACTTACTTTGATCTGACCCATGATGTCCAGCAGTTGATTCGGCGGGAGGGTTGCCAGGGTCTGCGTAATTGCATCCGTAGCCGACACGCCTGGCTGCAGAGGCGCCCCCTGAGGTAGATTGCTGGTGTTGAATTGTGGTGGTCCCTCACCCCCCATACCGAGAGGTGGGGGCGGTCCACCTGCGCCTGCACCCATGCCGCCTCCAAAGCCTCCCTGTTGTGGTCCTCCTGGATTCCCAGGTCTCCGCCCTTCCCTCTTGGGCAGCTCCCCCTCAATCTGTCCATTCTGCGTCGTCTTGCCTTGGAAGACTGGATCTACATCAGCCCAGTCAATCCTCAAGTTCCTCCCTCCCACTTCTACATCATTGAGATTCCGCACAGCCGATGCTGCCGTCTCGGGATCGAAGAATTCGCAGAAGCCATAGCCTTTGGGCTTGCCAGTATCGCGGTCGAACACCAGACGGAATCCTGCGACCGGACCGACCTCAGAGAAGATGGAAATGAGCTGTTCTTCAGATACTTGATAAGGGATGTTACCGACAAATGTCACTCTTGAGCCCGCTTTCTTCGCCGCTGGATGAGGAGCCGCCATGGTAAACGATATGCCGGGAAGATGAAAGGTGGTACGGGATGGAAGCGGAAGTGGACCGACGGACCGACGAATGGCAGGAAGGAGCTTTGGGACTCCGCCGCGCGGCCACGCATGTGCGACAGTGGGATCTCACGCGTCCAGGTTCCGACCCGATGGCCAGTGTACATGTACTGCCAATTTCACACCTTCGTGCTCAGACGGTCCATTGGGTCCCCTGCACATGCTGCCATCCGACGCTGAGGTAGGATGTCGCAATAGCACATAGTGCAGACGTATTCGTTCACAAGTATGCTGATGGAGGACGGGAAGGTGCATAGGAGTGCGAACTACTCTGACAGGCTATATTACATTTCGGGAAATGTCAACAGTAGAGAAAGTGTTGTCTCCGTGCTCGGAGTCCTAAAAGTGATATGGCAAGTCATAAACAGGGTCTACATGTCTTCGACAAGGATAGTGGCAGCGAAAGTACTTACGACAGTGACAACCACACGGTGACGACAGCCACGACAGACCCCAGCTTTCCGCGCCGAATGCCCAAGACAAAGCGAGGCGGCGTATGTCGTCTATAGTTCATTGATGCTGGTCTATCTGCAGGACTTGTGATCCTGCCTGCTGCTCTTTTGTCCAGCCGTCGCTATCCATCACCCCCGCCAATAGAGCTGCTCTAGTGACCTTGGTTGCTGTATGGTACACCTCGGGGATGCCATTCTGCTTGTGATTGGCAAAGATGCCGAGACGCTAAAGTCCAATTCGGTATTGATCCCAACAGTCGTGGCTCGTGCCGCGACGAGCTGATGAACCTTCTGCCTGACCTCAGGGTCTGCAGTAGTGACACAAGTTGTGTTGTGGGTACCGTCGCCCATGCAATAGCCCAGCCACCGGGCAGGACCTGTAAGCTCATCATCCTGCTCTGAACCGAACAGGAGGACCTCGAACGGGAACCTGGTCAGCCTGAGGTCTGTAAATGCGGACGGGCTTCCGGACGCAGGGTTTGGGGCGTGCGTTCGGGGAGCAGCGAAGAATTGCTTTGCGGAGGGACGTACTGTGCCTCCTACCACGATGACGTATGGATCAATCTTGCACGCGAGAAGGGAGTCCATAATGGCCTTACAGAGATTTTGTCTCTTCGCGACAGACTCAAAACGAGATCTCTTGTCGACAGATCTCCTTCGGCGCCATCCCCTGTTGAGGTACGAATGACAGTGTCATCAGAGAGATTCTGTGCAGATCCCGAGGGGGTATGGAAGACCCAAGGGACGTCAGTCCTGATGAATCAGACCTCAGAAGTGAGAAAGGTGTAAGGAACTCACCGCTGATAGAGACTGCGCACTGCCTGCTTAGCGATTTCCATGATCCTCGGATGACAGGATGGTGTCCGAGGATCAGCAGCACTTCACAGGTGCGCGAGAGCGACCTGAGTGAAAGGGTGGTGTAGAGTCTAGTGTACGCGGCAAGAGCCTCTGGAGTGGAGGAGTTTAGGTATCAAGAAGTGGCAAGCAGATGAGGAGCGAGGAAGAAGAGGGATGGAGAAGGTGAAAGATTGTCAAGAGGCAGTGATGGTTTCCTATGTGGTCACACGAGGGTTTTTGGCAAGCAATAGCGGCTGGGCACTCGGCATTTGCTCCCGGATCCATGCTCTTCGGACGAACACGTCAGCAACCGCCCCGGTTCGAGCTTGTCCTCAGGTCGAAGCTGTTACTCCGTCTAGGAAGGCCCGAGCCGCTACGCTTCCTCTCAAGCTCTCATACGTGCATATTTGCGTGCTCGATCTCTGGCTATTGGCTCTCAATCTGCGAGACTATGATGCTCACAAAGAGAGCTCAGCCTTCCCGCCCATGACGAAAGACATAGTAAAGCCATCGAGCGAACTCTCATTCAACATTGCAGGCATTCGCACGGGCCGACGCAAGCGACCCGCGCGTCTGGACATCGGAGCGGAAGCGTGATCCAAGAAGACACGCCCTCCGTCGCCTTCTTCCGGCGCTGCTTGCAGACATCCCTACCACCACGCCCGTCCTTGGTCATCCCTTCTCTAGGCAGCCCGCCATGGCCTTTCTCTCTGCGCCAGTGCGGTGGCCTGATGTCCTCTCCGTGACTTTCTCCTTCGACTCCATCGCCTCCAATGTTCGTCCATACCTCCCCGGCCCGCTAGCATCTCTCCCCTCGGCCATGATCGCTTCCCTCTTCCTATCATGGACCCTCGTCATCTCCGTTGCCGTGTTCTCCTTCTTCATGAACCAACGGCGTCAGAGTCTTGTGCCAACTCAACCACACTCTGCTACAGCGGCTCCCAAGAGGCGGAAAGCAGGTCAGACACTCACCACTTTGCTCATCGGGCCAGAGCAGACGGGCAAGTCTACACTCTACTCTGCCCTCGTCTTCGAGGCGATCCCAGAGACACAGACTTCGCAACACGAGAATGAAAGTCACATTGCGATCAAGAAGGAAGGAATGGTCTCGCCGACCGACGTTCGTCTGGTGGACCTCCCAGGTCACCCAAGACTAAGGGCCAAGGCTAATGACTACCTGCCAAAGGCAGATCGCATTGTCTTCTGTGTGGACACGGCAAGCGCGATCAAGGGCGGCACGACGAAGAACGAGACTCTCGTCGAAGCTGTAGAGTGAGTATTGGAATCACGAGATAACTCATCTCGCTTGTGCTTGTCTTGTTCTTGTCCATCTTCCCGTTCTCGTTCTCGGCCCTCCCTCCCCTTCCTCTACCCTCCTACAACCACGCGTCCATGTCAAATTCCGTCTTCCCCTAGGCTCTACCATGGGTTGAACGAGCCGAAGAGTCGCGGAGAGCAAAGCTTCCTTTTTTGCTCAACCGAAAGGTTTCGAGCGTCCTGCGAAGCATCTTAATGCCCAGCGCTGTCGTCTTGCTCCTTACAACGAGATGATGGCGGGCTGGGAGCTTCTACATTCCGTCCTCGCGGTCCGGCTCACATTCGTGCAGATTCGCTGGACGAACCAAATGCTGACACTTGTCTCTTATCTGCGCATGCGTCGGTACAGTCACTTCCACGCCACTCTCACTTCCCTGGCACGTAGCAGATTGTCACGGTCATCTGCCTCAAAAGCCTCCGTCGCGCCTTCTCTGCTGGTCCTCTTCACTCGAGGCGACCTCTCGCCGCTGCTTTCTGCGTCTCCCTACGACCAGAAGCGCCAAGCCCAAGTCATTACACGAGCCAGGGCAGCCTTTGAGTCTGAATTGGGTAGGCGGAGAGCTGGCATGGGACTGGGACGAGGAGCGAGCCAGGCTAGGGCCAAGGTGGGTGGGATGGGCAAAGTGGTGGGTGGCACATCTGGCATCTCCAAAGGCTGGCTGGGCTCGCTCAAGGCGCTCCTCGGTCTGGGGGGCTCATCCTCTTCTGGCGGCAATGAGGACGAGGACGATGAGGATGAAGACGAAGAGGCTCTGGACTACGTCGAATGGGCGTGGGCTCAGCGAGCTGCTGCTGCTGGGACATCCTCATCAGCAGCGGGCGCAAGCTCGGCATTCAGTCTGGATAAGTTGGACGAAGACGTGGTTCTGGGCGGCAAGGCCAGCTTCGTCGTCTCTTCCATTGGCAAGGAACGAGGTTGGGACGTGTCAGAGGGGGAAGCAAATGGTGGTCTAGCAGGTCTCAAGGGACTCAAGGCGTGGTTGAGCGATCCCGACATGTGAAAGTCGTGCTCAATGTCGTGTGGAGCCTGCACGGTGAAGATTTACGGAGAGTGGACGTCGTGGCCTCATTGTCGAGTCGAGTAGCGTGTGCCAATCTGCAACTTCATCCAGAGCATATCGCAAAAAGTCTCCGTAGAGGACCTACTTCGCTTCGCTTCCGTCCCGTCCCCTGCCGGCAAAGGCAGATTTTCTCTCTCTTCAAGCCAGAGTGCCTTTCCTCTCCCCGCCCTCCCCCCTTTTTGCACCCCATTCACCGTACGAGCGAGCGGGTCCGGCCAGAGGTAGAATGCAAGTCCTGGCTTGTCTCGCTTGTGCGCGGTGCGCGGTACCTTGCATGCATCTAGACGTACGTGTGCGTGTGCGTGTGCACGAGTAGGAGCGTGTGACCAGCCACGGGGACTGCTGCAATTTGAAAAGACGTAGCTGCGTAGCCCTGCACAGTGGGTACGTACGTAGCCTTGGGATCGGGACCTGTGCCGACTGGTCTTGGCTTGGCGAGGCGAGGCGAGGCGAGTTGACCTCGCTGCTGAGCGCACGCGCGACTACTGGCGATTTCTCAGTCAGGCAAGGCAAGGGCAGCAGGGCGGAGCTGGTGAGCGGGTCTTGGGTTCGTCCCCATGGACGTGCGAGGTGCGAGTGAGCCAAGGGCGAGATTTCCCCGGGCGGAGGCACCGATCAGGGCCGACAGTTACCGCGCAGTTCTCCCGCCTGGGCAGACTGCCTGCCTGACTGTCTGTCTGACGGTCTGTCTGCCCGCGTGCTTGCTCAATCTGCCTGCATCACCACCCAAGTCTAGAGCCCGATCCTCCCTCCCTCTTTCTCTTTGCTCTTTTTCGCCGCCTCGCTTCTCTCACGCTCTCGCCGAGCATATGCGGGGCGGGTTAGCAGCGCAATGGGAGTTTGGCAAGAGAGAGCGTGTGGCGGGGGAGAGAGATAGGAAGAGGAGGAGCAGCAGCAGCAGCCAAGGGACGACGAGGCAGGCACACCAAGACACAGAGAGACGGTGGTTCGCCCCCGCCTTCCCGCCGGCAGCCTGCCTTTGCTTTAGGTTAAATGGTTCCGCGCTTGGCATTTCCAACGCGGATCCTCTTCCCCCTCCCCCGCCCGAACACTTCTGTCCTTTCTCTTTTCCCTTCTCCCTCCATCTAACCATACCCTTGGCAACTTTTATCAGCCTAGAAGGTTCAGCAGATTCGTCATTGGCACCTACGATACTGAATAAGACGCTCCCTGTGCATCTTGCATCCTCCACTCATACCGCGCCTGAGCTAGCCTGCTCGTTCCACACTTCACCATGAGTAGCAACGTGCAGCAAGAAGTCGTCAATACCGACCAGAACTCCTACGAGAAGGGTGGCTCTCCCACTGGCAATGGTCATGGCAAGGACACCGACCCGCGTGGAAAGGAAGAGACCAGCCATGGCACTTTCGCCGATGGATTCGATGACGACTTCAACAAGAGTCGAGTAGACGCAGGAGGTGTCTCCGCCGGGTACGAAAGGAAGGTCTTCCTGATGAACAAGATCATGCAGGAAGAAATTGGGTTTGGAGCTTGGCACTGGGGTTTGATGCTCGTTGCTGGATTGGGATGGCTGATTGACAACATCTGGCTGCAAGGTGTGGCCATCATCTTGCCCGAAGTCGGAAAAGAATTCAGCGATGCAGTGCACACTCCCTGGATGACCTTTGCCCTCGTGAGTGACGAAGAATGCGAGGCCATCTGCCCGCTTCGATTCTCCTGCTTGACCGATTACTGACAACAGTACGCTTGACTCCCCCCTCACTCACCCAGTACATTGGACTCATCTCCGGAGCTGCATTCTGGGGTATCATGGCCGACGTCGTAGGAAGGCGCTTCTCCTTCAATGCAACTCTCTTCATTGGTGGTGTCTTTGGTATTGCAGCTGGAGGTGCCCCCAGCTTCACTGCTCTCGGAGGTATGCTAGCGGCCCTCGGATTCGGTATCGGTGGATCTCTGCCAGTCGACGGAATGCTCTTTCTTGAGTTCATCCCTGGTAGCCATCAATACCTTCTCACTTTCTTGTCCGTCTTCTGGGCCTTTGGACAGCTCCTAGCTTCGCTCGTTGCTTGGCCCTTGATTGACAACTACTCATGCAACGGCAGCAATTCTGCACCTATCGCAAATGGCCCATGTGACGTTGCGCTGAACATGGGCTGGCGTTACACCTTCTACACCCTGGGTGGATTTACGATGGTCTGCTGGATTGCTCGATTCTTCATCTTCAGGCTGCCCGAGTCGCCCAAGTATCTCCTCTTCCACGGCCGAGATGCCGAGGCCATCGAGGTGCTCCGTGACATTGCTGGCCGGTGTGGCAAGACCATTCCAGAGGATGTTCTATCTCTGTCCATCCTGCGATCCGTGGCAGGTGAAGACACGACAGTCACCGAGGAAGACGCCATTGTCAAGAAGCGCAAGGGCCTGGGTGGTATGATGGACGACGCCAAGGCACTGCCAGCCAACCTCTCCAAGGCATTGGGCGGCAAGACGAAGCACGAGGGTGGTTTCCTGGCCCACTTCAAGCCTCTCTTTGCAACCAAGAAGCTGGCTTGGCAAAGCTCCAATCTCATTTTCATCTGGGGTCTCATTGGTCTGGCTTACCCGCTCTACAACGCTTTCCTGCCTTCATACCTTGCCGCAAGGAACGGCGTTAGCGGTTCTTCCGGAACTAACGCTACTTACCGAGACTATGCCATCATTTCGACGTGTGGAATTCCTGGATCGATCTTCGCCGCATGGTTCGTCGAGCTTCCCAGGTCCGGCAGAAAGGGAGCCCTCGCCGTGTCGACGTTGATCACTGGTGTCTTTGTCTTTGCCCTCACGGGGGCACCCAACGACGCTGCATACTTGGCACTGAACTGTATCGCGGCCTGCTTCCAGGTGAGTCTAATATAGCTTCAGCTGTTTGAAGAATAACCTTCACTGACATAGACGACTTTCCCTTCCCTCTCGTGTCCGTCTGATAGAATATGATGTACGGTGTCCTCTACGGGTACACGCCCGAATCCTTCCCCGCTCCTGTGCGTGGAACCGGTGATGGGCTTTGCTCCTCCTTCAACCGAATCACGGGTCTGATGGCACCCGTCATCAAGATTTATGCCACGGGCAATGTTGCTGCACCCCTCTTCTGTGCTGGTGCCATCTTCTGCCTCGCGGCGATCATGTCGCTCTTCCTCACCGTTGAGACACAAGGTCGATCCGCCATGTAGACTCACTGTCCCCCTCTTTGGCAGTAGTCATTTTCGGGTTATCGCAGTTGCCTGGATTATTTGTAAAAGGTCATTCGCATTAGTTTAGCACTTGTATCTTCGCTTTTGTACCTCTCCTTTGTCGGAAATACCAGAAGAATTCTCTATGTGGGTGTGCTCAGTGCAGTCGGATGGAGTGGGACACGATAAGAGCTGCGAGACCGATGTAGAGCAACAACGTCCAGATAAGAGAGACCTGCTTCGATTGTGGTGTTAGACTCGTGTTTGCTAGCCTGTACGTACCAATCGTCGATGCTTTAGCTTTCCTATCAGCCGGGCACCTCGGCCGTAGGGTGCAGGGGGTGGAGGCGAGCGCTCCTCAGCAGCTGACTTTCACATCAACGCGTTGCACCAATGAGCTCAATCCTAACCGAGGTTCCTCCGCAGGCCTCCTCTTTCCCCACTCTCTCCTCTCCTCAGTCCACCTCATCCATCCTTCCTCCTCGCCATTCATCATCGTGAGGACACCATCCAACCCGGAGAGAAGTCTGTATGCTCCCATCCTTACCGCGCCTCTCCTTTGTCCCTTCGCTCGTAAGGATGTCCACCACTCCCACTCCCACTGCTACGGCCACGGTCACGGCTTCCTCCACCTCTTTACGCATCCTCACCTCTCCCAACCCACTCACCCCACCAGCATTCTATCGTCCACCCTCCTCTCACCCACCACATTGGAAAAGCGCTACACCCCTGCAAGGTTCAGGTTCCTCACGTGGCTTCGAGTGTCCTTGGCCATCGGACAATAAATCCCAAGAGGGTTTTCTGAAGTTCTTCAAGACGAGATTGCTGGACTGGGATGAGAAGCCTATCAAAAAGTTACCCCCTGTGAGAAAGGCGACTTTCCTTGAGGAAGGAGGAAAGGTGGTAGAGGGAAAGGGAAAGGGGGAGGGTGATGGGAAACTGAGGTACACCTGGTTGGGACATGCTGCTTGTCATTTGCAGATCCCTATACCTGTAGCTACAGCTCCAGATCCAGGTCCAACTTCTGCAGGAGAGACGTCCGATCCTGCTGGCTCCTCTGCTTTTCCTTCAAGCTCGAACCAGCAATCACTCAATGTCCTTACCGACCCCGTCTTCTCTCAACGTTGCTCCCCCTTCCAATTCATGGGTCCAGCCAGGTATACTCAACCTCCTACCTCTGTGGAGGACCTAGCCTCCTCGCAAGCCTGGCCAGATGTGGTCCTCATCTCGCACAATCATTACGATCATCTCGACTACAATACCATGCGTCTCATTGCTGCTCGACCTGGCGGGAGGGAATTACCGGTATTTGTCGTCCCGCTGGGGTTGGCGACGTGGTTTAGGACGAACATGAAGGAGCTGCCAGAGGAGAAGCTGGTGGAGTTGGATTGGTGGGACGAGAGAGTCATCGAGGCACGCTTTCCCAACAACGACAACGGCAGCGCAACAGCAGGAGTAGGAGGAGAAGGGGGAGAGTCACTTGGGAGATTGAGGATTGTATGCACTCCTGCGCAGCATTTCTCCGGTCGAGGATTGGGCGATTCGGGCCACACACTCTGGGCTTCGTACGCATTGCATGTTCTCCCTCCTTCTTCTTCCTCCTCCTCCTCCTCCTCGAGCTCGGACTCAAGCTCGACTTGCCCTCTAGCCCGCATCTGGTTCTCTGGAGATACAGGGTACCGCTCCGTCCCCCGCAAGGCTACGCGCGAGCAAGAAGACTCCCTCCCGCACTGTCCCGCCTTTGGCGAAATTGGTTCTCTCCTCGGTCCTTTTGACCTAAGTCTAATAGCCTGTGGAGCTTATGATCCTCGTTCCTTTATGAGTAGAATTCATGCTGCTCCTCATGAAAGTATTAGGATTCACAAGGAGATTAAAAGTAAAAGGACATTTGGGATTCATCATAGTACTTTTAGACTTACACCGGAAGAAGTCAATGAGCCTGCCATGAAATTGCTCGAAGAGGCGAGATTGGCTGGATGTGAGGAGGGGGAAGTGGAGAATGTTGAGATTGGAGAGACGAAGGTGGTTGAGGTCAAGAGAGCGTGAAAGGTGCAGGGGGCAGGGCGGCGAATCACATAGGGAGAGAATCGCAATCTGTATCATAGTCATCCTTGTACTGGTGTGTGGATCGTTTACAATTTGCATTGAGTTGCAGCAAGAGCAAGAATAGGGTATGGAAGGTACAAGACACGAAATTGATGGGTGGTGGTACAATGTTACAATGTAGGTGTGTATATGCGCTCAGTGGATGCTCTGGGGCTTTGCAAGTGTTCAGTCCTCGAATTGCATCCCGACCCACTCCTCCCTCCAAGTCTCCCCCTCCTTGGTCCCATCTGCCCCGCCACGAGGAATGCAGCAGTCCTTTTCACAGACAAAGATCATGACTGTTGACCAGCACAGTCCCGTCTTGCGCTTCAGAGCCTCGAGATCATCCGCAGAGGTACGGGTGATTCCATCGGCACCGGGCTGGGGCTGCAATTGCTTTCCAAGGGCAGCAGACAGTTCCTGACGTCGTTGTGTCTCTCGATCGAGAGCCGCTTGACTCATCGCGTCTGCCAAAGACTCTTCGCCTTCGATCTTCTCCGGACGAAGCGTATTGACGAGATTGGGCATCAGCTGTGCTTCAAAGGTCCTCTTGCTACCACAGACTTCGCAATTGGGCACCTTGGAAGCATCGTAAGACGGCCGTGCCGAGGACTTCTTGGGCCAAAGCATCTTGTAGAGATCTCCTTGTGCGCTGAAAGAGAGAGGCTGACCACCCATCTCGTACCTGACGACCTGCCTGCCCTCTGCGCCTACCCGCGCAATGAACTTCTCGAGAACGTCATCCATACCGACGGCCATCAGTTTCTCGTAGCCCTCCTTCTCGAGGCCTTTGAGCTCCTCGGCAGTCGCGTCGGGCGCTGTACCACCTCCAGCGGACTTGAGGGCAGCAGCTTCGGACTTGGTGAGCTTGGCCTTTTGAGCTTTCTCCCCTGCCCTTGCAGAAGAAGAAGCTTCAGGGACTGTATTTAGGTAGTATGCTGGCCGGTACGACGAAGCTGAAGATGCCCAAGGATCATTCGCAGACGTTTCCTGGAGAGCAGCCTTCATAGCTGCCTCTTCCTCCATACGCTCATCCTCGTCCTCGTCTTCGTCTTCCGACGTCTCTGATTCATCGCCTTCGACATTCGCCTGAGCGGCTTGAGCAACTGGCTCGACTGGCTTGCTGAAGGGGTTTGTATTAGCACCAGGAGCACCGAAAGCACCGCCAAAGAGATTGCCACTTGCTCCGGAGCTAGCTGCTGTGCTGTTGCTTGAGAAGGGATTGATCTTCCTCCTTGATTCTTCTTCGGCGCGTCGTGCACGCTCTTGCTCTGCCTTTTCCCTCTTCCTGGCCTCTCGAGCCTCTTGACGGGCCTTCTGCTTCTCAAGTTTAGCGGCCCAGCGCTGGTTGAATTGAAGCTGACGAACGACTCGCACGCTGAGAGGTCAGCGCAGCGAAAGAGGAGGAGGAGGAGCAAGTGGTCTGTCAGCAATACTGCGACTGTGTACAGCGTTGGTCTTCCTCGCTTCCTTGAGCGTGCTTGGCATCATGGTTAAAAAGCTCGTGTCAAAGGTTATGTCTTTTCATTGCCCCGCGTCCGTTTTACGGGACGCAGGAGGTCAAGTGAAGAAATTTGCACTAATCATTTGCCGAAGTGTCGCGTGCGGTATCGTGGGACTCACCTTCCTGCACCTTTCCGCTGACAGGCTGGCCTTGCACATCCCCAGACTAGCAGTGTGCGATCGTATGGGGAACCTTCCAGGGGAGCAAAGATCTGGACCAAGAGTTCCATTGCCAGTCCACAGTGAGAGCAAGAGGTCACGTTTGCTGGAGGTGTTGCTTGCGTGGGGAGCCAAGCCTGATACGAAAAGGGTCAGAAGGGACTTCAGCATGCTTGCCGATTTATAGGAGGTATCAGCCTGAATGTTATGCTCACCACTCGACCTCCTATCCTCGACACCAGGGGGTTGAGCTCATCGTCGCCTTCTAGTGCACCGTCTGCCAGACCCAGCTGAACGTTGGTGACTGTATCGTCATCCTCGTCCGACTCGGAGTCGGTGTCAGAGTCGTCGTAGTCGAGCGCAGGCGGGGGTGGTGCCTTTGCGTGGGCGCTGCTGGCCATGGCGAGCGCTACAAGGGGCGACACGGGGGGAGCATGAAGAAAGGGTCAGCACACTGTGTCGCCGCATACAATGTCATGGCACACGCATATATGCGGCCCCTTTCCATGCGTTGTGCAATTTCAGGAGTGGTAGCCAATTGTTTAAGCAGTGGATCGCAGCGAGTTCGCCCTCTCATGGCTGGATTGCTCGAACCTTGAGAGAGCGATGCCTCTCGCAAATGCGACCCTCATCCTCGTCATCTAAAAGGTTGTTGTCATCATCTGTTGTGTGGTGTATATGGTGTTGAGTACTCACCCTCAGATGTATGGGTTGTATCTGATTCTTGACCAAGAGGTGAGGATAGGAAAGGAGACGACGGGGTGCGGCGTTGATTTCTTCGCCTTTGCCTATGCGCCCCTTTTCTTCTTCTTCGTCTTCTTCGCTCGGTCCCACCGACCACGCGGGGCGGCATTCCAACTCCGCCCATCCTCGATGCGAGCCCCTCGCCTCGTCGCCGCCTCCGGACAAGGGACTCAGCCGCCAAGCTCGCCTGACTGTTGGACCATCGATCGCCCCTTCCCTCAGCATAGACGCCTCCTCCTCTACCATCCCCCCCTGCGGCAAGGACAGACGCACAGGAGAGGACGACGACGATCTCCACCACCACCAAAGACGCAAAGAGGTGGTGCCCGTCTCGTCTTTCAGTCAAACAACCACTACAGTCCAACCACGGGCACAGCTGCGCCAAGACCTCTGCTACAGTCAATACCTCTCGCTTCCCACGCCTACCTCGTCCTTCCCCACACCAACGCGCACCCTTCGTCTTCTTTGCCCTGCAGGCTCAGACGCTTTCTCGGTGGCTGAGCTGCCTCACACTCACCTACAAGCATGGTACGCGAGTTCAACTTCTCCAATGAGGCCAACAACAGAGCGGCAGGGACCATCTCAGCGGGCTTGTATGAGCGCAAAGGTGAGTAAATAGCAGCGTGCGATGCGGTCAAGGGCTTCAGCTGGGCAAGGCTTCGTAGGCAGCGCTCCACGCGATAGTGTTGTTGCATACATGTCTTCTTCCAATGAGGTCTAGACGTTCTCCTCATCCGTGGCAGTGGGACAAACTTGCTTGTGGCCGCTGACCCGAGGAGTGACTCCTCTTCCTTTACCTGACACACCCTCCCTCTTGTGTCCGCTGATACAGCTCTCGACTGCACAGTACCACTGCCTCTCATAGTCACCCTCAACAATCTCGCATACCTAGTCGCCAACAACCGCAAGATACGTGAGCTCCTTTGCGAAGATGGCGGCCTGGAGCGACTGATTCGAATACTCAGAGAGGTGCCCAAGAACAATGGCTCCTTCACAAGACCACTTCACAACAAGGATCTTCAGCCTATGTGGAAGTGGACTACTGCTTTTCAATGCATCGTCCACCTTTGCATTCGAGGAGGTGTCACAGTGAGGGAAAGGGCTGTGGAGGCAGGTATTGTGCCAATCCTAGTCAAGGTTCTCGAGAGCTACCTCTGCTTCTCGGACGCAATGCGAGCCGAACGGAAGAGAGTCGCTGAAGAGAAGCGGCAGCAAAGGCAAGGGGTGGAGACAGAGGACCAGAGAGCAGAGCGGCAGCAGCGAGCAAGGGAAAGGGAGCGGGAGAGGAGAGAATGGGAAAGGCAAGCGTCACTCATCGCCGCTGCCACTGCCAATTTAGGTCGTCGGGAGACCACGGATACCGCAAGACGGACTCCCAGCCGGACGGTCCGACCAGCCAATGGTGTTGAACGAGATCCGACTGCCGTCCCTGCTCGGCCCGCCCCTCTAGATCTTGCGGCAACGACACCTCAACACTCCATACAACCACTCCCTTCGCTTCCGCCTGCGTCACATTCCGCTCCACCTTCGCGCTCGCCCACTACATCAACATCTGGCAGGACATCGACTACAAGGGCACCCATGAACTCGGCTGCCTCTGCGTCGACTTCGGCAGCAAGCAGTCTCCAAAGACCTGCCTCTGCCTCTTCCTCGCGTATTCCCGCACCACTCATCATTGCTGATTCAGAATCGCAGATAGGGGAAGCTGTCGCACCTCAGACCCCGCGAAGGCAAGCTGCTACCTTGGCAAGCTCACCCCGCGGCATGACATTCCCTGTACAGCCTCGGGCTGCAGAGTTCACCGTTTTGCCTGATGAGATCAACCCGACGCTGAGCGTGCCGGTGCCCGTCGCGCCACTAGCGGCACCATCTGCATCGGCACCCCCTAGGCCTACCGCTGCAGCCGTTCTGAGCAACAACACATCCCACGAAGATCTGGCGGCTGGAGCTTGGTCGGGTAGCGAGGGGGCAGAAGAAGCTGAGATGTCCGCTGACGGAGATGACCCAGACGAGAGTGAGGCCGAGCGTGACTCGCAAGTACGCGGCGAGACATCTGGCGCTCGCCGCGACGACGCCGAGGAAAGACGAACCCCAAGGGCTTCGCGTCGCGCACTCGCACCGCTTCTCGCTGCTCAGCACTCTATCCCTGAAGTGCGAGGTGCGGATCAGTTGCCAGCTACCCAGGAGCAGGACAGTGGAGCAGCAGTAGGTATGTCCGCCAGGTCAGAGACCGTGACACCTAGAGCTGGCGTATTCGATGTCTCTACGGCTCCAAGCAGGGAGGACAGCCACCATCATCACCATCACCACGGTCGGGACCGTCATGCTACGGTCACCAGCCGTACTCGCCCTATCCTGCCAACAACGTACATCGCTGAGACCTTTGATCCCACCGACATGGCCTTCCGCGAAGAGGAGGTGCTGCTTTCCTTGCAGATCTTGGCATACCTCACAAAGTACTCGCACATCCGAGCGCTCTTGCGCTTCCCCGAGATGACAAGAGCTACCAATCTTCATGACCTCGATGTTCTTTGGGAGAAAGCGGAGACCTCAAGCGGCACACCGCTGTGGCAACCAGGCAGTCCCTTCCATCGCTCCATTTACACAATTGCAGAGCGGTACACATGCCGTGCTACCCGTAGGGATCCAAGCGCCGAGTTCATTGCTGGTACCACTAAGCTGGCTCCTCTCATCCAGTACTGGGCAGGAGTGGTCATGCGCAACGCCTGCCGTAAGGATGATCGCGAGAACGACCCACACGCGGGCCTTCGCCAATGCGGCAACATGCTGTGCGGCAAGTGGGAGACTCAACCGCGTGAATTCGCCAAATGTCGAAGGTGCAAGAAAGCCAAATTCTGCAGCAAGATTTGCCAGAGTACGTCTTGGCAGATTGGACACAAGTACTGGTGTAGCTCAATCTCGGACGACACAGAAAGCAGTCGCGCCCGGGGTCACAGAGTAGATGAGGATGCAGCTGTGCCAGAAGTCACTAACATTCTTGGCGAAGCCATGCAGCCTCGGCCAGCTGGGCAACCCGGAGATGAAGGCGAGATGAACGGCGAGCAACGTGCAGTCCAAGGCGATGACGGGCAAGTTCAGCTTCAAAACCAGGAGGTACTCAGGGAGGGCCCTGCCGAATCAGAGGACATGGATCAAGCGATGGCTGCACCGACGCCTCGACAACGCAACAGAGGCAGTAGCTTCGCCCGTGTTCCGATTGCTCGGCGGCCCTCTGTACGTGACCCTTCACAAAGCAGCAGCGTGCCAGCTCGGATTGTCAGCGAGGCTGCTTCTATTAACGCGTCCGATGTCAGTGAAGACGACGAGGCAGAGATGACAAACAGCCGCCCAATGCAGACAAGTGAGAACGACATGTCGGAGCATGAGCGAGGAGGGCCTACTGCACCTCTTGTTGGGGGCTTCAGGTTTAATGCTCCTCCGGCACCTCGACGAACCGATATCGCTGGTAGGCCGCTGCCACCTCCTGTCATTGCTGGCACAGGTATGGAACTCGCCGGTCGGCAGGGGCTCGATGACGACACTATTGGCATCGGCGACTCTGACGGCCATTTCGACGTTCGCTTCAACGCTGCAGTTGTCGAGGATCAGTTCGGCAGAGGTGACATCGACCAGATCACCTGGCGAGGGCAGACCCCTACCCAAGAGGTGCAGGAAGCTCACGCTAGGCACCGTGCTGCTCATCAGCCGCATCAGTTGTTTGAACCTAGCAATACCGACAGGTCAGCTTTTCAGGGCGCCGAGACTCTTGAGCAAGGGGCAGAAGAGTACAGAAACTACTCGGCTCCAGCTCTGACATCTCAGCCTCTGGCGACTTCGATGTCACAGCAACCTACTCTGCACGCACCAGTGCCTTACTCTGGTCGTCGATTCCCTTCAATGTCGATTGAGAGTGGGCCTGGCAGTGAAGCGGCACATCCTCTGAACGAGCCGAGTCCTAGCACTGGCTATTCGGGCACCAACCTTGTGCCTTCGTCGACTATAAGTGGCAGGAGGGCTGTCAGTGGAGCAGTGCCGAGCTCACTCACTGCGCTCGAGGTCAGCGACCCAGTCGCTCGCCCTTTGAGAGGCCAACACTCAGGGCTTCATCACCATCACTCTCATGGCCAACATCTCAATCAACACCAGCATCTGATCATGAGGGGTGGCGTGGCCGCTGGCCTAATGGGTCGCTCAGCTACTCCGTCCGCGTATGATCTCGATTCTCACCTCGCTCGCGGGGCAGCTGGCAGCGGATCGCATCGCGAGAGGCCCTCCTCTTCCGATCTGCCAGTCCGGTCCGTCATGGGCTCAGCGTCGGCGATGAGTAGCCCCCTCGGCGGAAGTATGGCGCATGAAGCTGAGGAGATGGCCAACTACCTAGACGAGCAGGCCACGCCTCATATCGAGCGACGTGATCCCATCGGCAGTAGCAGCGGCATTTCGCATCAGGTGCAACGTCACGATGAATCAAACGCACACGGTCGCCCGTACTCTGCCTCCTACGACAAGAGGAGGGAGACGTCGACTACGACAGACCCACACATGCACTCGCGTCGGCCAGTCGAATACCAGACGAGTCTTCTGGGCAACGCTGCTCCCTCTGGCTCCCGCACCAATATTACAGCTCCATACGCATCTGCCTCGGCCTCTTCTGCATCGGGAAGGTCCAGTCCTGATCACATGGAGATGAGCCCGACGATGCATGCGCGGAGAGTGCACCAGGGGGATGTCGATGAGCAGATGAACCTGGACTGAGCGGAACTGTGAACGAGAGCGGTCGAACTGCGCAAGAGGGGGAGGGATAGGCGTGGCATACCGTGAGGGAGAACGTTGTTCATCTCCAGTGAGGCCGGGCGGAGAGGCGGAGATCTCCGCACTCCATCTTCTCAGCTTCGTTTTCACCTCGTATCGTGGCGCCTCGTGGCATCAATAATCACATGTGACCCTCGATAGCTTCCGTGTTCCTCCAATTTTATCGTACATCGTCTTCTCCATGATGACTGTGAGCTGCGAATGGAGATTCACACGAGTGTGATGCGGTTCCTGGTCTTGTCTTCTGAGCAATCGACCGGGACGATTGGCGGCGTGGTTCGCTTCGCCCGGGCGCGGCGGGGCATTGCCGGTCCGGAGCCCCGCCTTTCCGGCATGCTCGGGCCTTGAGTCTTCCCTCCCTAACCTACCTATTCTGTTTCATCTGGTTTGGCAGAGCTCCCACTTAGACTACAATAAGGCAGAGGTAGACGATGGAAGACACTAGGCCACCTTCGAAACTCCACGAGACGAAGCTACGGATCCCATTTCCCTCGGCGGAGGATCCACAGCTGCACATTGTGGGGATTCTAGCCCAATGGGAACCTTTTGGTCCTCATGTTACTACCTCTCCTTCTTCCTCTTCCTCCTCCTCCTCCTCAAGCTCGAGCATCCAACCCCGTCCTCGCACTCCCTTAGCACTCATCACGCATGGCGTCCTTGCTCACAAGGATCAAGCCTACCACCGTCCTCTCCGAGACGCCCTTCCCCTAGACTCCTTCCGCTTCGACTTTCGAGCCAATCATGAAACGCCAGGAGAATGGAACATGTCCCGTTTCGGTGACGATGTGGATGATGTTGAAGCTGTATTGGAATATCTTCAGAGGAGTTATGGGTACGAGCTGGCGCTATTGGTGGGACATTCTAGGGGAAGTTTGGGTGGGTGGAAGTGGTTTGCTGACAAGGCGAGGGGAAGGAGGGGTGGGGTTGAGGGTGACGGAGAGGGAGGGAGATTGCCATTGTGGGTCTCTTTGGGGGGACGATGGGATATGAGTCGTATTCATGACCGAGATGGACTCTACAAGGAGCAATTTGAAAAGCAGGGATTCTACATTTGGAAGGTGAGTGTTGCGGGCAGTCTACGCAAGGATAGAAGAAGGATAGAGGTATGCGGATCTGACCCGCTCTCATTGACTCCTTCCTTCACAGGCAAAGGTCGCTGGAGAGAAGCGAGAGGTGAAGATCACTCCTGATCAAGTGGAAGAATTCGCCCAGTATCCCATTCATGACTTTGTCTCGCGCTTTCCGGCAGAATGTGACTGGTGAGTATGGGTAGCAACCTCTGTACCTCTCACCTCCCTTACCCAACTTTTGATCCTACGACGCTCACTCCACCCACATCCGTTGTCCAATACCTGCAGCTTACTGATTCACGGTACAGCAGACGAGACTGTCCCCTGTCCAGACGTGGGCTATTACCTCAACGCCCTCACCTCGCGGAAGGATCGCGCACCGGGGCAAACGCAAGTGCACCTGGTAGAAGGGTCAAACCACATGTTCAAGGGCCAGTGAGTGACAAAGCTTCGCAAAGAGGCATATACTGCGCTCATACATGCAAGAAGAGTCAGCCACTGACTTGTTCCTTACTTTCCTCTATTGTCGTTCACAGCCACGACGAAGTCGTCTCGGTCATCGTACGGTGGTACGCTTCGCGCGGGGGACGTACCTCCCCCCACGCTACGGGTGTAGCGGGCGCAAGCGGTACAGGGGCGGAGGCAACTGGCGGTAAGGATGGTGCGAATCTGGCGCTGGAGGCTTCGCAGACGGGCGATGTGCTCGAGAGGAGCTGGAAGGAGAGGGTAGGGGCACTGGGCGCGACGCCCGAAAGCAATCCGACGTCAGGAACGACCAAGGGCAAGCTGTGAGACAGGAGAGTCATGGCCGACTTTGGCGTAGACAAAAGATGAAGATTGTGACAGTCGTCACTGCTTTGATTGCTTTAATGATGTCGCGTCAATGTACACTTTCACACTGTGACCAAGATCCCCGATCTGCCTTCCGCCTCAACTCTCCTCTCTTTACCGCCCTTTCTCCCCTTCAACCCAAGATGGTAGGCTGCCGTGGCAGAGGTAGCCTGACCTCCATCGTTCCAGTGCCCACGGGGACAGGTCGACCGACAACGAGCTTCGCACTAGGTCCATCGAGAGAATCGCTTTCTCCGTGCAAAGCAGCAGCACCCAAGAAGGCCATTGTCATCTCAAAGGATGCCTTGAGGAGCGGACTGGGCGAGTTTGCAATACCTCCCCTCGAAAAGGGCTTGAAGCCACCGTCGGACGTCTGGTAATCGGCAATGAGGTAGAGATGCCTCATGGAGACGTCGATACCATAGGTTCCGAAGATGCCCGACATCTCCGACACAATGGCCGAGCGAGCCGCTTCCACTCCATAGGTGTGCAGAAGAGCGCCGATGTCGTTGGTGTAGAGCTTGTTGAAGTCCAAGACGCCGTAGCCAAAGTCCCAGACTCCACCAAAATTGATACCCTCTGCAGTGAAGGATCGATCAGATGCGTCTTGACCTGGCGCTGGAGGTGGGATGAGGATACGCGAGATGTTGGGGATCTCGTGAACGACGCTGGAACGACAGGCTCGCTCGACGACGTTCATCAGGAGCAGTTTGTCCTCGTTGCCGGCAAGCTGCAACTGGAACTCTGCCCAGTGGCCAGTCTTCTTGTCAAAGTCAAAGGAAGTGACGAACTTGGAAAAGGACTGCAGGTTGGCCTCGAGGTTGTTGACGCGGTCTTCGATGTCGTCCTGGATTAGACCCTGCTCCGGACCTTCAACGCCACTGCGCTTCTTTGACAAAGTGCCATCTTCGTCGTCCGACGAGTCTCCATCGCCGTTGGCAAAGGCAGCTTCGAGGCTCTCGGCAGTATCGGGACCGTGGGCAGAGTCATCATCCGAGTCGCCGTCCTCGTAAGAAGCGTGGTGACCAGACTTCTGCTTGCGCTTGGCATCGTCGGCATCTCCATCTCCCACCTCGTCGTCGTCGGCGCCGTCTTCATCGTCAGAGTCGTCTGCCGTCTGACCTTCGGGCCTCGACTGGCCCTCCTTGGCTTGGGCAGCAGCCTTGCCGTTGGCTTTACCTCTGCCTTTGGTACCAGCAGTCTGTCCGCCGGCTTCCTCGTCACCCTGATTGGTGTCATTGAATTGCTCTCCCTTGCCAATGGCCTGAGCCTGCCTGACGCGGTCACGACTCAACCTCTTGAGCTCGCTGACAATCTCGCGCTCCAGAATTGGAACAAATGTGGCCTCGATAGCATCGAAGATGCCATCAAGTGTCACGTTGTACTCTTCCTTGCACTCTTGCATTGGGAAGAAGTTCAACCTGACTGTATACGTCTTCTTTCGGGAGAAGTCCGTCTCGATGGTCTTGCCAGAGATACGCTCCGTCACCACAGCATTGTCTACGACTTGACTGAGCAGCAATCTGCTTCCGTCTTTGCAGAACAGGCGCATCTGATCGTCTGTGATCTGTTGCAGTGCCGGGAGATGCATGATGGGTGTGCGAATGTTCTGAGAAGCCGTCATGACAATTTCTCGCAGACGAGGAATACCAAGCGTGACGTTGGCAGCACCGTGTCCAGCAAAGTGGAAGGTGTTGAGAGTCATCTGAGTTGAAGGCTCTCCGACACCCTGAGCTGCCAGCAGACCCACGGCCTCTCCTGGCTCGGCGAGACCTCGCAGATACAATACCGAGAGCAGCGCCTTGAAACGCTCATGGTCGAGGGGCTTGCGAGCGCTAGCAATCTTGGGGGGAGCGACCTCATCTCCTACTTCACCATCTACGGCTTCGTGTTTCCTCTTCTTCTTCTTGGAAGCCTTGCTCTTGAGCAGTCCCGAAGCATTCTTGGAGATAAACTCGTCGATGTCCTTTGAGTAGCTTTCCGACATTGAGCCGAAGTAGCGCGCAGGGTTATAAATGCTCATGACAGGAGGGTACTTGTGAGGTTTAGCAATCGCTTTCTTGATGTGCTTCGTGACCTTCTCGGTGTCCTCGTCTTTGAAAGCCTGGCTGAGCTGGCGAGGGTTGTAGCGATTAACAAAGGTGGTAAAGTTCGAGGCAGTGAAGTCGAATTGATCCAGGTACTTGCTCTTCGTGACATCGAGACCATCTTCACCGTACTGGAATTGCAGGACCGAACCGTCCGAATTGCGGACAGTTGAGTCGTAGTGGACCCTGGCTCCCTCCAGATGCTTGATCAAACAACGTTGGAGGTACCCAGAAGAGGCAGTCTTGACAGCAGTGTCGATCAAGCCTTCTCGTCCAGCCATGCAATGGAAGTAGTATTCCTGGGGACGAATACCCGTCAGGAAACGGCCCTGAACGAAACCTCCTGACCTCATTGTTGTATCGAAGGCCTTGAAGCTTGGCAACGTCTTTCCGGAGATCATGACCGGCACACGTCGACCTTCCAGAGCTTGAGGTCCGAGTAAGCAGGAGATCTGTGACACGTTGACGGGTGATCCCTTTGCTCCCGTCACAGTCATCATTTGCATGTTGTTGTGAGGGAACACCTTGTGAAGACCATTGGGAATGCATGCGTCAATGACAGATGATGTCAGCTTGTTGGATGCCGACATCATAGCCGAGTCGAGGGCGGCGAGCTTGTTGTCGTCCCGTAGGACTTCTTCCAGACGGATTCGCAAGTTGTGGTCCGTGTCGGGGTCGTTCTCCGGCTTGTCGCCCAGACCCACGTTCACCAGAGCAGCTGTCTTTCCACCCGACTTGCCGTCAGCGAGAAGCTTGCGTCTCCACTCGTCGCCTTCAGGCGAAAGGATGAGATCATCCATACGACATGTGAAGGCGGTGTGCTGGAGATACTTCGTCAGAAGCCTGGACAATATACTCAGCAGCTTGCCCGCAGAGTCAGCGCCATACAGCTCGTAGACGGCATGAACGACACCATATGCGGTAGCACCGATCTGACTCTTGTCCAACACTCCAGTGAGCATCTCACCATCGTCGATGATCACATCCTGCTCGGCGGTGTGAGCTTTGCCCCAGTACCTGCCAGCCACTTTCGCTTTGCCCTTCATATTAAGACCAGCAGCAGTCGGAGGCTTCAAGTTCAGAAGAATCGTTGAGATGATCTGCTTACCAGTCCACCTAGGTTGCGGCTTGAGAACAGCAGGAGGTACGGTGAGGATGCGGTTGCCCGAAGCGAGGTAATCGTCCTCAGTCCTAAGTGCTCCGTAGACAAGCTGTTGATACTCTGACCGAGTCAGCAGCGTCTCTTTGCAGGTCATCCACACAGCGGCAACCACGTGATCTTGAATAAGACCACGCAGAGGCTTACCGCTGGTAGGCACCAGGAACTGATTGTCGGTATTTGCTAGATTGTAGCACTCTGCACGGGCGGCCTGCGATTGCGGGAAATGCATGTTCATTTCGTCTCCGTCGAAGTCAGCATTGTACGAGTTGCAGTTGGCGTAGTGCATTCGGATTGTGCGTTCGCCTTGGAGGACCTTGGCTCGATGTGCCATCATTGAAGGCTTGTGCAACGTTGGCTGACGGTTCATCACCAGGATATCACCATCTCGAAGATGACGGAGCACTTGTTTGTTGGCGACGAGTGTGCGCGTAGAGGCACCAAGACCGCCGAAAGTGCCCTTTGCCTGCCGACCTTCTTGCGGGGTCAGTAGCTGATTTGCAAGAGCAGTGCGCTGTTCCACAGTGAGCTTGCCCAGCAATGTTTCTGTACCGTCTTCGGCTCTCACAGCGACGGCACCCGGATGCACGTCAGGTCCATTGATGACCAGCTGTCGCATGAGATGCACATTCTCTGCTGTGACGGGCTCTGGGAAGGTGAGCCTCATCGCGAAGACGGGCGGCACTCCGATCTCGTTCGTCTCGATGTTGACATCTGGCGAAATGACGGAGCGGGCAGCAAAGTTGACACGCTTGCCCATCATATGCTTCCTGAAGAGACCTTCCTTCTTCTCGAGAGCCTGCTTGACACCTGGGGGCGGTAGGCGACCCTGAGCACCGGGTGTGGGGTTCTTACTGGAATCGATGAACGAATTGACGTCGACTTGCAACTGGAACATAGCACCCAGTAATTGATCAAAGCCGCTCCTTCGCTTGGCTACTAGCTCCTTAGTGAGTCGGACAAGCTCAGCTTGATCGTCGATGGTGGACGGGTCGAAAGCAGCAGTCTTGCTTGACAATTCTGCCAAGAGGGCATTGATGTCGCGGACTTTCTGCGAAGAGACCAGGACCTTTGTCAAGAGCTCGTTCTGAGGATTTTCGAAAGTGGAGTCGCCCATGACGCTGGCAGGTCGATACCGGGTTGGAGCAATAGAGACGACGTCCATGAAGAACACGTCGGCGCTAGTGCCAACAGAGAGACCGCCAGAAGTCGAGGCGGCGGCAGAGGCGCCAATACGACCATTCTCGAAGGCGCCCTTCCGGCCGAAGATGAGTGAGCAGATTACGCTCTCCCTCTCAAATACGCGACGGAGGTTGGCCCGACACTCGATAGGAGGCATGACCCTCGTCTTCCTACCAGCTTCCTTGCTCTCCTTACGAGCTTCTTTCAGGCCTTCCTTGGTGGCCACGGCAGATGCATCTTCACCGTCTACGTCCATGTCCTCTTCCTGAGCCGCCTTGGAAGCTAGTACGTCTGGCCGCACGATGCCTAGCACAGAATGAGTCGCCTGCTCTCGCGGGCTCAGATCGCCCTCTACGATCTTGATGAACCCGTCCTTCCTCAGCACAGGGTTCGTAGCTGAGCAGACACGACATTTCCTCTGCAGGATCGCCTTGAAGAATTCTGCGATGACTGCCTTCCTCGCAGCATAGGCAACCTGACCCTTGGCGTGACCCCTCTTGATGCCCCGGCGAGTGGCATGCAGAATGTGCAAACCCACAATACCGTCAATTCTCTTCCTGAATTGCTCAATCGTCTCCAGCGCTCGACCCTGATTTGCCTTCACCTCGATCTGCCCGTCTCCATCCTCCTCGTTTCCGTTGAAACCATTTGCGCTAGCATTCTCTTGATCAGCAAAGTTCGACTGACCCTGAAGCGTCTCGCAGTTGACCTCGTCTGCTTCTTGGACCAGACCATAGTCGAGGAGCCGGAGACGAGCGATGAATAGGGTCATCTGGAACTCTGGGATCTTGAAGTGGTGGCAGAAGAGGCAGGTTCCTCGCAGCAGATTGTACATGTGGGTCATAAAGAGCGGATGAAAGACGGGTTGCGGTAGCTCGATGTGACCGAAGTGACCAGGACATTGGAAGTGATTGAGATGACATGTTTGACAGCTGCAAGGAAGAAGAGATGCATCAGTATCGTCTGCGTCTGAGCAGTTCTCGCCAGCGACCCGGAGTCTTACTCACATGTCATCCTTCTTCATGGGTCCCAGACTAGGGTCATACAGTCCGCCTGCAGTGGGCGTCTGTGTATTGTCAAGCAAGATCGGGTTTGTGATCTGCTTGACCGACATTGCCCTGATCTCATCCGAAGAGAGGAAGGAGAAAGAGGTGCCGGCGATGCTCGACGAGATGGCACGAGTGATGTCCATGGTGGGCAGTCGAGGCGGATGAGAGAGAGACGGGGGGAGGAAGTAGGGAAAAGGACAACAAGCAGGCAAGGGCTGCAGCTGCTTCTCTAGCTCAGCGTCCGCTACCCTCGATGTCAGGGACGTCCCAGAGGCTTCTGCTGCCTTGCACCGACTCGACTGCGGATGGAAGAGGACGCAAGGAGAGGCTACGTAGGCTGAGCAGAGGGATGGGTAGCAACTTGGGCCAGAAGCGTATGGCGACGGAAGGGAAGAATTGCCATTGCCGACGGCCGCCTGAGCGTCCGCCCGCTTCTTCTCGCCCCGACCAAATTTTTGGCGTGATCGCGCGGTGCTTCCGCCGGACCACCGCTTCTTGGCCCTACGGAGGGAAGATTCACGCCAACAGAAAGGTAGAGGCTTCATTAGATGCGTAAATTGGCAGAGAGACACACGAGAGATACAAGGGAGACTAGCACAAGGAAAAAACAAATGGTCGTATAAGAGTGTGAAGAAGGTTTGGTGGCATCCAGGCAACACGAAGCGCCGTGAACGTGCGTGCAATGTGGGCACGGAAAGGAAGCGAGGCATGACAGGGGAAACGTGCGAAATGTAAGTGAGGAAGGGCAGAAACAATGAATGCGAGCAGCCAGGGATCGTAGCGTATAGACACGAGAAGCCGGGCTCCGACGGATGCTGAAAATGAGACACCTGCAATTGACTAATAGAACTGCAGGACGTCATCTAGGTCAAGTCCTAGGCCCAGCCCGGGTGGTCCGGAAGGGTCGAAATGCTGAGCGGATGCTTGTCTTGACCGAGCAGCGAGGGCGCTCATATCGCCACTCGGTGGCCTACGACCAGCTTTGTTGTTGACGGCGTCGGCCAGAGCTAGCCCAGCACCGTGGGGTCCGTTGATGCTCATTGACTTGCGGAAATTGCTGCGAGTTTGAGCATTCCCACCGCCGGCACCGAAGGGGCCCAGAGTCATCTTGCCTCGACTGGGAGTTGGCGATCCCGGTGTGGAAGCGCCTCCGGATCCCCTCATATTGAACCGGTTAGCTGAGGAGTAGCCGAGGTCCATCGAGGGAGTGCGAGGGTAAGGTGAGCTCGAGGTTGGGGGGTCCATGGCATCGTGGGCCTGATCGTCATAGCCGTCGCTGGAGTCTTGCGGGGGCAGCTTCCGGCCAGATGAAGGCTGCCGACGTCTCTGCGCAGCGTCCAGAGGAGTAGATGTCGTTGATGAGCGGACTGAACTCATTGCGGCCTGAGGGGTCAAGACACCCGCGCGAGACGGCATAGCCTCTCCAATCATTGCCTCGGAGCTGTTGCCGGCAGCAGTGCTCATTCGTGACCTTGAACGCCGTTTGATCGAGCGGGAAGGACTGCCACTGCCTACGTTCAGCCAATGAGCTCCAGGGAAGTCCTCGTCCACAGTGCTTTCGAGTCCGCCACCCCCGATTACACTACCGCTAGAGTAGATGAGACTCGGCAAGCCGGAAGAGTAGCCTCCCGAGACATCTGTTCCGCTTTGTTGACCAAAGAGCAATTCCCGATCTCGGGCGCTGCCGGGAGTAGAAAAGTTTGCCAAGCTGAGCGCCCAGCCAGAGGGCTCACGTCGACGAGTAGAGCGTGAGGGTGTGTGTAGACCAAGAGGCTCGAGGGTGTTGCCAGGTGTGGTGGAGCCATGACCCAACGTACCCGAGCCAGCGCTCTTGGAAGTCCAGAATCGACTAGGTGTGGATAGGACATCCTGAGAGTATCTGCGATCTGCGTGATCGGGATCGATGTCCGAGTCACTTCTTCCACTTCGAGCGTGTCGACTGGGCGTTGCCGACGCGGGGGGCCTGGTAGGCGATGGGGTCCTGTCTGGCACACCCCGCATCTGTGCGCCAAGACCGCGACCCCTCATGCTAGCAAAGAAGCTTGGACTCATTGTGCGACTGCTTGGCAACTCCTCTTCCTCACTCTCGCCATGACCACGCGCGTTCGATGTGTGCTGTTTCACGCCGTAGGAGCGCACAGGACGCTCACTGTGGGCGACGGCTTGGCTTGAGCTGCTTGGCGTAGTTGCTGCGAAGGTCGACAGGGAGCTGGCTGATTTGCGATCGAGAGGCGAACCAGGCTCGGCAGTGTGCCAGCCTATTCTTGAAGCTCTCGATCTGCCTCGAACGTGTTGCCTCCGAAGCAGACTCGAGCCGTCGCCAGTGTCTACCTCAGGACTAGGGGCCAGTGCCAGCGAGCCGGACGAAGGTATCAGAGTAGCACCAATCTGGCTAGCATTGATATGTATGGGAGAGTCTTCGTGAGCAAAGACGGGAAGTCGATCCAGCGTTTCGGCCTTCACCCTAGGATAGGCGGCGGACGGTGTGGAGACCCCGATATGCGTTGCATATGTCCTCGGGAAGGCCGCCAGAGAACCCTGATGGCCGGAGCCAAGGAGACCAGGAGTCGAACTCGCGTAAGACCCACCTGATGCATGCAAGTTGGCCAGAGCGACAGTCGAAGCAGGTGAGATTGTCAACAGTCGACGAGTGTGACTACTGCTCGGGTCGACCACGCAAGGCTGACAGTACCAGGTTTCCTCGAGGTCCTCTGGTCGTCTGATACCCGCACAGCGCATGTGGTACCAAACTTGGCAGCCATCGCACTGCACCATTGGGCTATCTTCGACTGAGTTACCACAGAGGCATCCGATGAAGGACCCGTCCGACCGACCCCCTGAGCTGATGATAGAGCGGCTCAACGACGAAGGCGTGAAGACGTGACGCTTTATGGGAGTCTTCAGTTCGTTGCGAGGTCTTCCTCGTCTGCCTCCTTTGGACTTTCTGCCTCTTCTCTTGGGTGTTCCATAAGCACCACTGTGAAGATCAGGCATGCTAGCGCTGCTGGCCAAGAGGATGGACTTCCTGTTGCGATCCCTGATGACTTTGGCTACCATGGGATGGCAGTGGGCGCGGGCACGGAAAATGCCGCTTGCGATATGGTGTGGTTGAGCCGTTTCGTCGTCAGCAATCCAGCCATCGTCTGCTTGATGACCGTCATCATCGCCGTCAAGCCAGCGACTAACGACGTCCAGTCGCGCTTCACTCTGCTCTCGAGCCTCGATGGAGGCGGTCCAAGGACCCGCTAGGGCGTCTGGCCAGGCCAGCGACGGCAGAGAGGAGGAAGAGGGGAGCGAAGTGTTCGTAGCAGGAGCAACAGACTCAGATTGCAGCAAATTTGCTTGCGTACTGGAACGTCGCAAGGAACTGGCCATAGGTCCGTTGAGCTTCTCCTTGAACGCCAAGACGCGGTTGAGAGTGGCAGCGTCCAGAGTGGAGCGCTTAGGAGGCAAAGCTCTGGCCCTTAGTGAAGGACTGCCCTCTTCACTCATCGGGAAATGGCTCGCGAGAGAAAAGCTCGGACTGGGCCCAAGATAGCCGGCACTGTTCATGCTGTACCCGGGAGTGTCGAGGCTGCTGGGCAATTGGCTCGAAGATGCGTAGCCGTGTGATGTGCGGTTTGCAATTGTATTGTCTAGTCCCAGCACGAAGTCATCTTGGCAGCCAATCTCAGCCTGCGAAGCTTTGAGCTCCTCTTCGCTCATCGCACCGAGTTGGACTGCCACCTCACGAGCGACGGCTACTCGGCCCATACCTTTGACGTCCACGGCCACTAAATTGCAAGGAGCTCGGGAAGTTCCATTGCAACTTCGTTCGTAATCGGAGACAGATGTAGACGTTGTTGACGGAGCAACTCGGAAGGCTGCCAGTCGATCGAATCTTGCAGGAGCCGTTGGTGGCGCTTCGAAGAGGTCCGATGAGCCATCGGCAGCATGCTCGGGACTTCGGAGTCCAGAGGCAGAAGCTGGGTACACGGCAGTAGCATAGCCCGCCTCGTCTCGCAGTGACGGTCCCATTTCGCCTTCGCCGCTGTTGCTCCTCTTGGTCGGCGATGATGAAGCAGAGGAGCTGATGCCATGCGGTGACCTGCGCTTACGTGGAGTGATCCTGACAGGATTCAAATCCTGATCAGGACGAGAGCTGATCCTGACCTTGTCACGTGGTATATCCGCTGTAGCCGTCGCTGATGCTCCTGCTGCGACTGACGATGCTGGTGTTGTTGAGGTTGCTGATGACGATGATGCTGTTGAATCCACGGACACTTCAGCCTTGGCGTTATCGTGTGAATTCTCCCAGCCCATCTCTACGCCGCCAAGCCTCCTGCCCCTTCGAGGGGTCTGAAGCACCCGCTCGCCTTCTGGCACAACAGCATCGGTAGTCTGTGGGGACGACAAGATGGTCGGAGTGCTTACAGAGCCAGGGAGGCTTTGGACAGAGACGGAGTTTGCGAGGGAAGAAGCACTCGATTGCTGCTGGTGCTGCTGCTGTCGCCGCCTTGAAGAGGCCGAGGGAGGGGGTGTCATCCGGAAAGTATTGAAGTTCGTCTCATTTCTGATCTGCGCAGAAGCGCTTTGAGCCTTGGCCTTGGAAGAGGGGGCTGAGAAGAAAACGTTAGGATGAGCTGGCATGGAAGCTGGAGCTGGTGAGGCTGACGATGTGGTCATTGCTGACTTTGGCAGGCCGTTGCTAGTGAATGAGCTGCTGTTGTAGTTGTGAGAAGAGGTGCTGCTCCTTGTCTTCAGGCGGCGGTTTGAAGGGTGTGGTGATGGAGGCGAGTTGGGATGAAAGATGGACTCGAGAGTAGCTCTTGAATCAGTCGTCGTTGCTGTCCTTTCGGCGCCGTAGGTGTGATGAGGAGGTTCAGTCGAAGTGTAGGGAGCGCTGCTGAGCATTGCCAATGGGTAGGGCTGCAGTCTGCCCGAAGATTGGACAGATTCTTTTGTGACGAACGGTTCGTCTGATTGGCGATTGTGACAATGTCGAACAAGGGCGGGCGAGCGAGCGCGGTCTTGAATTGGTGGTCCCTTGCCAGAAGGGACGGCAGGATGTGAATGTCCGAGTGCGAGGGCGTGAGGGGGCAAAGATCGTGTGTGATGAAACGGAATGTACAAGGTCCGAGATTGGGTGACGCAGATGGCCTACAGTAGATTTTGCGGTGCGGTGATGTGAAAGGTGACCATGTAGAGTAGAGGAGCAGCCGATACGACAGGCCAGACCGATTGCTGGGTGAATGAGATGCCGGGAATCTGGAACAGAGATGCTAGGGCCGTTTGCCTTTGCGGCTGTATGCTGCTACGGGGTCAGCTATGCTGTGTTGGCTGTTTGGGTTCAATGAGGCTGCTATGAATGGTGGAGATGATACAAGCGGAGGTGCAGATGACCAAAGAGGGAGGAGGAGGAGTGGGGTAGATGGTAGTGAGCCAGTGAGCGATAGCAGCCGGACACCTCGGACGGGGTTCACCTATGATCGAGAAGAAGATCGCGGGCAAGCGAGGTGAGTGGCTACCCAGGCAGGCAGGCAGGCATGCAGGGCAGAGCAGGACAGGACAGGTAGGCCCTCTGCCAGGCGGCATGACCAGACAGGCAGGCGAGCAAAGGCACAGGGAGCGTGCGGGCGGGCGGGCGGGCGGGCGGACAAAGCGGAGACGCGTAGTTTCTCGTTCAAGGTGCATTGCAGCACCTACAGCCTTCTGCAGCGACCGGCCAAACCAGGCAGGCCAAGGCTAGAGCACGCCCTCGTCGTTACCACGGCCACTGAATCAGCCAAGCAACTCGGTGTGGCCTCGGCGGTCCATTGCTGTACACTGTGAATGCCTGGCCTTCCCTCACTTCAGGGCCACTTACCACACCTTGCTTTGACCACTTGCAAATAAGACCTGACCACACGACCCTGGTCCTACCTTTGGCACGCCTCGGCGCTTTTCCCACGAGATGTGGCCTAAGCTTTGCCTTTGCAAAGGGACCGGGAGCGACAAGAGAGTATCTACCGTGCACTATCCTAAGCACGGAGGTTGCAGACGAAGCTCCACCTTGCGTAAGTCGTCGCAGTGCCCTTTTGCCTCTACAGTCTGCCGCTGGGTCCGATGCTTGCTGCAAAGCTTATGCGAGAGAGCGGATCGAGCTTCGTTTAGGCGGTGTATGCATGGGCTCTTCGAATGGGAGTGGCAGCAGCGCCTTTGTGCGTGCGTGCGTGCCTGCCTGCTGAAGAGTGCCGAAGGCAAGGGCGGAGAAGAAACGCAAAATGAAGAGGGGGTCCTCTTAGCGCCTCTTTCTTGCCCTGTTCCCCCGCCTTTCGCTCCGCCGCGCAGGAGAAGATGAACGGCCAATGGCAAGGGCCTTGGAGACATACAGCCCTCTTCTAGCACACACAACTGATAACGCTCTGTTGTGGAACAAGCATACCATGTGCTGAATGTCTCGCCGGCGCTTATTTGGTGAGCTTAACGAACAAGTTGCAGGCATTCATGCATCAGCGTACGGCAGCCTGGTAGCGCGCCAGACTTGGCTAAGCGGGGCTCACGAAGCACGTACCTCTTCTTCTGAGTTGCCCCACTTCGGAGAAAGGTGCGGGGTCTCAAAGCCAAGCCTCGGATGTGCGCCATTACCGGTGTGTTGCTCCCTCGTGTAAGGACTATTTTGTGCCTCCCTCAGCGTCAGACGGCGTGGGAACATTTATGTCGAAGAAGCCGTGAAACGCGGAACACAGCTCGCTTATCGCAAAGGCACCAGCAGCCAGGAAGGCCTTCGGGTCCTTCTACCGGCCGAGCCCCACCCCGCGGTCACTTCGTAGCACCAAGATCCCCGACTTGCGGTGCAGCAATCACATAGAGTTGTGTAAAGGCAAGATATCGGAGATCCCGCTGTGAGGACAAGAGCTTCAATGCCCTAGCGAGCCAATGGTGCGATCTACAACTCGTGCGACCTCTTTCAGTGCTTGCCCAACCGGCCTCGTCAATCTTGAGATGTTTCTCGCATAGGTGGTCCTGCATAGTGGGGTTACATTGCTGGCCCTCTCGAGCTTGACGGCCTCTAAGCGGGCATATCCTCTTCTCTGGTTTCTCGCTGTAGCGTGTCCGGCGTCCGATCACACTGGTGTCTTGCCTCGACAATCCCCGCGTCACCCGCGCGCGTCTTACAGCGCCACTTTACGCGTCTCGCGCGTCTAGTCGCGTGTCACTTGTTACTCCGCTTTTCGCCTTCGGGGTGGCATCCAAAGAATGAGCACGGAATGCCTGCGCGACGAGCCGCGGCTGCAAGAGCCAGGAAGAGGGGGGCTAGGGCTGAGGGCAGTGATCGCTTCCAGCACCGACAGCTTCCTGGGGCTGATAACGGCAGCCAGGGTAGGGTGAAGATGCGAGGCCGGATCCCGTTATCCGAAGCAGCTTGGCGATGAGAAGACGCTAAGCGAAGGGTCAGCTGATGAGGATCAAGGCTTCTGCCTCTACTGCCTTTTCACGTCCAGATTTGCCGGTAACACTGCCTTTACTGTATTCCCACGCTAGTCAATCTGATCATGGTACCAAAGCCACGCGAGAGGACCGATCTGCAACGTGGAACACCAATAGCAACGGCAAAGACGGCGTTGCTCTTGTGCCTCGATGGACCAACCCTTACAGGCCGAGAGGAAGGAAAGGTTCGCTTGCAATCTGTAGAGCGGAGCAGTGAATGCATGCCGTGGGGTGTCTAGAGCCGAGGGCTGGGCAGTCTGACCTTCCGATGATCTGCTGCTCTTGTGAAACAGATGAAAGGCCACTCACGAGCTTCTCGAAGCAGCTCCCACATATTGGGGTCCCACAAGGTCCCCTGGGAATCTCATACTGGCGTGAAATAGATGTGATGTGCATTGTTGCTGAGCCTCGACTGAGCAGCGTATCGTGATGAGAACGAGAGATAGTACAAAAATAGATCGTATGTGAGAACACAGCCACAGACAGGATGCGATAACCAAGCGTATTTCCAAAGATTTCCTCCGTCCTTCATGTCCATAGGCCCGTCTTACCCTTGATGACAATGTCTCCGTACGGCTCGTCCTGCTTCAACTCCACTTGATCCTTCGTGCCTAGCACCAGTAGCTCGAAAAAGAAGCCAGCTGCCGCTCTCCTCGATGCATTTGCCCCCACCTGGTCCAGACGAAGCTCAGAATCTTCATCATCCCTGTTGAGCTGCGACCTGATCACCCTCTGCGCTCGTACTGTGTTCTTTGACCAGCCCTGAGCGGAGGCAGCCTGAGTGGCATTGGCATCCTCGGCAGCTGCCAAAGCCGCCGTCTCCACATCTGAGGGACGAGTGTCGAATGCAGCCAGCAATCGGCTGGAAGTGGGTGTGAAGCTCTCCGTCTCGAGATTCACGTCTTCTGGCATCTCGGGGGTGCCGAGCCTGCTGAGGGGAGCCAGAATGCCGGTCTGGGAGAGGGTAGCATCGCCTCCTGCGGCCTCATCCTCCTCAGCGCGAGCTTGAATCCGTTGAGACTTGCGAAGACCAGATTCGTCTGCTGTGATGTCGAGTGCTGGCATTGTGTCGTCGAGGGTGGGCATGTCGAGTCCGTCTCCACCACCAAGGCCCAATGTCTCGTCCCCGAAGCCGAAGTCCACTTGATCCTCTTCCGCTGGAGCGGCTCTTCGTCCCACTTCCACACTCAAGTCATCTTCTGGTGTAGAGCGGGCACGCTTGGCCGCTCGATGTGCATCGAGGTCAATGACAAAGAGATTATTGAGTTCCGGTGCGAGATCAAGATCAGAGCCAGCGAAGAGATTACTCATGCTGCCTTTGCTCAGAGAACCAAAGTGAGCAGCCGGATCGTTGTGAATGCTGAGGAGAGCTGCATAAGCCCGAGAGCGAGGCAGATACTGCTCCTCTGTGAGGATATCATCGACGTTGCGCTTGCCGAGAGCATTGATACCCGCACCATCGAGTTCGGTAACGCGGTCCTCGAGCTGCTTTCGATCCTTTGCTGCCTTGGCTGCAGCATCCGCCGCTCTCTTCTCAGCAGCTTCTGTGACTTGTTGCTTCGTTCTCGGGGTCATGTCGTCCAGAGAGAGACTTTGCTCTGCCGCAATGTCGCTAGCTGAGACATCCAGACCTGCTGCAGTCAGGTCCAGGCCGCCATCATCTCCTCCGAAGTCGAAGCCGCTCTCATCTCGTGTCACATCGGTGGCACCGAGAAGATCACCCACGCTCGGCCGTCCAGCATCACTACCAGCAGCATCTCGGCCGGCACCTAGACTTGAAAGATCATCACGATCGATGGGATCTCCATCGGCATTGACGAGACGACCCGCTGAGTCCCGACGCTGACGAGAGGCAGCAGTGGCATCGCCCTCTCCAAACAGATCGAGACCCAGGTCCAATCCCCCGTCTGGATCGAACTCTCCCGAGGCGATGCCCATGCCACTCGAGAGCAAATCCAGACTTGCGGCATCGTCATCGATGTCATACTGGGCCTGAGGGAGTGTGATGTCCGATTGTCTGGCTAGGTGACCGCGACCGCCGCCAGGTGTACCGCTTGTACTTCTGCGCTGTCTGCTGGGCGTACTTGCTGCTCTGACATGCAAATCGGCATCCCAATTCTCGAGACCGACGTCAGGCAACAAAATATTAATATCTGTCTGTGCATTCGGGATCGTGATGGTGTTGGAGGAGACGGCGAGCTGATCACTGGTCATGTCCACCGCACCAGCCCTGAAGGCCATCTTGATCTTCAGAAGAGCATCTGTGCAGTCATCGAGGAGGTACTTCGCCTTGCGCGAATAGATACGGACGACACCCAGAAGGAGCTGACCACTGAGTCGGAGAGCCAGTGGGGCAGCTCGTTGTTCAACAATGGCAGCTACGCGAGAACAAGGGTTATCACGTCAGCTCACGTTCCCCGAGACGGCTCCTCGCTACACGTGTACTCTCGTGATACTCACAGACACTGTTTTCGATGTTCGTTTGCAGGAATGCCGTCTTGTTTAGCTTACGCTCAAAGTGAGCTGCTAGCCAGACTTTGCCCAAAGGCCCGCGCTTCGACAGGATGACATCTGAATAAAACATCTTGTGCCACGGACGATGGAAGAGGTCACGAGCCTCGAGAAGAGTATGTAGTGTCTCTGTGGCGGCGGTCCAGCGTTCGCTCTACTTCGCGTCGTGGCGTTGAGTTATTCGAGGCACCGATTGCGAAGGCGCAAAGGACAGAAAGGGAGCCTTCTTTTCTCGAGTTGCTGAAGGAGGCGAATACGATAGTAGATAGCCGAAGCAGATGATAAGGTATATGGAAGATGCAGGGACGATGATCGGTTGCGAGGAAGGTAAGGACGTCAAGTTAGTCAGGAGGCGGAGGAAGTTCACGCTTCAGGCAGTCCACGCTCCTTTGGCCCTGAACGGAAAGGACTCACGAGACGCGTCGCCTGATTGGGCCTTGGCCTTGGCTTGGGCGTCGGAACGGAAGGAGAGAAGCACCCGTTGTGCCAAGTCCGATCTGGGGTCCTGGACCGCGAGTCTCCGCTGCAGCCCTCGTCTTGTGCCGCCGTCGTCCATCCGCACGGCCGCCTTCGCCTTCTCTTCGACGCCTTCGTTGCGCTCGTCTCCTGTCCATCACTTCATACCCACCTCATCCGCAGAGTATTGCCGCAAGCATCGTCTCGCCTTACCTTCTACTTCTTCAGCGCTGCTATTCGCGCCAACTCTACCCGTCCTAGCCTGCTCCACCTCCTCATTCGGGGCGCAGGTGCACTTGGCGGGCTCGTCGCTCTGCCGCCCTGCCCTCGGTGATGCTACCGAGTACATATCGACGAGTACCGACAGGGGAAGGTGGTCTATCCCCTGGGGCTAGCGGCAATGACTCTTCGCGCAATGCCAGAGTCCTGATCACTTCTTCATTGAGCCGCATCGTTGCTCGTCTAGAACGAACAAGGGTGGTAATGATCGCAATCGTCATCTTCCTGGTCTTCGTCTTTGGCTTGTCAATCACTGAGCCTACAACAGCTGATGGAAATTATGCTTCGCGCCTTAAGCCAGGCTTCCTTAGCAAGAACAAAGGCCAGAGCATCTCCGGCGGCCAGTGGAATGCCCAGCGCTTCGACGCAGATGGCTGGGTCAAAGGCAGTGGACGGGAGAATCTCACGTATGACTCGCCTTTCAACAGAGACGACTATTCTCTGACCGAAGACGAGTGTGATGCATTCTTCCCAGGACTGTACAAGGAGATTGACCGCAGCGTTCAGCACTACTCGACAGTAGAAGTGTGAGTTTCCGATGAGCCCCTGGCCAGGGTCATGGAGAGAGATCTGTGAGACACGAAATCCTGATCGCCTACTTCTGCATTGCACTTACGCAGGTTCGACAAGGAGTACCTCGACTTCACCTGCGATGACGGCATCTGGTCGAATGCGAGGGTCATCGTATACGAGAATGAAGTCTACCTAAAGCACTACCGCCAATCAGACTTCACCCGCTCGCAATCCGCATTGAATCTGCTGCACCTTGCCGTGACCACCTCAAGGGAGAAGCTGCCGAACATCGAATTCTGCGTGAACATGATGGACTGGGGGTCGAGAGGAAAGTTCGGACTGGACCGAGGCCCGGACCAGCGAGATGTTTGGTTGATGCCAGATTATGGATGGTTCGCCTGGCCCGAAGTGAGTAGAAAAGATCATACCGGCCAACCATGTAGACATGCTAAATTCCAGTCTTCCCTTCCCGTCAGCATGTGGGCTCGTACAAAGACTATCGCAGAAGATCTGCAAAGGTGGAAAAGGAAGTGGGTTGGGCGGGCAAGGTCCCCAAGCTGTTTTGGCGCGGTTCGATGAAGGTGGGGACTGCTGACAGAGAGTCTATGAAGCAGATGGCAGATGGTCACAGCTGGAACGATGTACAAGAGGTGGTCTGGTCTGGTGAGTCGAACTATCCGGGTTTGCACGAAGAGCGCCGAACGAGCTCTTACCTCCTCTCTACCCTCGTACTGCAGAAGGTGCAACCAACGCAGTCTCAATGGAGGACCACTGTCGTTGGAAGTTCCACGGATTTCCCGAGGGCAATACCTATTCAGGACGACTGCGCTATCTGCAGAACTGCCGCGTCGTCATTGTCACCCATACACCCAGGTGGATCCAACATTGGACTCACCTTTACAATGCTGACTGGAATTCGCCAGACCAGAACATTGTGTATGTGGATCCACCGAAACCAGAAGACCCTTCGGTTCCGGTCCACGGGGAAAATGGGGCACAGTTCAATGACAACACCTGGGCCCACCTGCCAAAGGCGATGGACAGGCTATTGGCGGATGATGCAAGAGCGAAACTGATTGCGGACAATCAGTGGAATTTCTTCCGGGAAAGGTGAGCATCTCGCATCAAGTCGGGCGAGCTCGGAATCCACCGTCTGACCATACATCGCTCATTTCTCACCAATGCCCATGCTCCCCAGATATGTGTCTCCTGCATCAGCAACCTGCTACTGGCGCAAACTCATCAAGGGCTTTGCGACTACCCAGCGGTACCAGGTGGATCTGTCAGGGGATGAAACTACCTTTGAGACGTGGCTGTTGGGCGCCAATCGCCTAAAACAAGACACTGGGTTCCACTGATCTGCCGGTCCTGGGAAGCGCTTCAGTGGCATGTGTATCATCTTCAATGTGCGCCAAGTGTCCATTATATCACCTTGCGGTTACATCATATACTATTCCCCGTCGCCAGGGTCTGTGTCTGCGTACCGAGTCACATCTCGGCTGTTCGCCGTCCCGCGGAGCCACTTCCGTCGGAAGCGTGTCCCGCGCAGTGGAGAAGAAGTGAACCATGAGTGACTCCTTAGATTTCTGGCTCACCACGTCAAGCCCAGGTGTAGCGACCATCACCACCATAGCTCAGTACACTTTCTCTCACACCTTAATCTGTACCACCATGACGTCCACTTCCGCCCGTCAGCCACTCTACTTGCGATGCGAGATGAAGAAGGCAGAGCACCGCGCTGCCCTCACACCAACCACAGCCAAGCAGCTCCTAGATGCTGGCTTCGATGTGACGGTGGAGAGGGATCCCCAGAGGATCTTTGATGATGAGGAGTATGAGCGGTGAGTACGGCATAGAGCTTTTTGGAGTTGAGGAAGCGTACGCAGAGGAGCTCTGGCCACGACATCGGGAGCTGGCATAGCTCACACATACCATCACTCCACATCGTCACACCCTGGCTCTGCCCCTCCTGTGGTTTGACAACCTGCAATGCTCAGTGTCGGCTGCAAGCTTGCTCCTCACAACACATGGGAGTCTCTGCCCACCAACATCCCCATCATCGGTCTCAAGGAGCTTCCCGCTCCTGGACCTCCCCTCCCCCACACCCACATCCAGTTCGCCCACTGCTACAAGCAACAAGGTGGCTGGGTGGATGTACTGTCTCGATTCAAGCAGGGAGGTGGAAAGCTCTATGATCTAGAGTTCCTCGAGGATGCCAATGGTCGTCGAGTTGCCGCTTTCGGTTGGCACGCCGGATTTGCTGGTGCGGCGCTGGGTCTCCTGGCTCTCGCCGAGCAGAATGAGTCGCGCCGCCTGGGCGCCCAGAAGCGCTACCCGAACGAGGAGGCTCTCATGAAGGTCGTTCGTGCACAGGTGGATAAGCTGAAGGCTGCCAGCAAGGATGGAAAGGTCAAGGCTCTCGTTGTGGGCGCTTTGGGCCGTTGTGGACGAGGAGCCGTAGACTGCCTTGAGAAGGCCGGTCTCTCCTCTGGAGACATTGTCAAGTGGGACATCCAGGAGACCTCTGCCAAGTCTGGCCCCTACCAGGAGCTTCTCGATGTGGACCTCTTTGTCAACTGCATCTACTTGAACAAGAAGATTCCTCCTTTCCTCAACCGAGAGTCCATCTCTCAGGCCGGTCAGGATCGTCGCCTGGGCTGTGTGGTGGACGTCTCGTGCGATACCACGAACCCCAACAACCCACTGCCGATCTACGACATCAACACCACCTTCGACGAGCCCACTGTGGATGTGGATGGTCTGGCCAAGGGAGCACCACCCATGACAGTCATCTCCATCGACCATCTCCCCACACTGCTGCCCCGCGAGGCATCAGAGGCATTCTCATCCGACCTCATGCCATCTCTCCTGCAGCTACCCTACGCTACCGGTCTCAAGAAGCTGGGTGAGGAAGACGTTCAGGCTGACGGACAGCCAAAGGAGGACAGGGGGGCCGTATGGGCTCGGGCAGAGAAGCTCTTTAGGCAGAAGCTGTCGGAGGCTGAGAAGGAGGGAGCTTAAGAGTCTTCGACGTTGTTACTCTCTAGTGCTCGGCCTCGTTTGCTTTTGCAAGAATATTATAGAGATGCGCGACTACGTCGCAAAAGCAATGAGATAGATCTGCGATCAGTGCGAGACATGAGCTGCGAATGCATTTGAATTTGGGGGTAGTCGAGAGGGGTATGTATGTGCTGTTTGCAAGGGAATTGCGTGCTATCGTACAATGCGAACCACCGCTGCTACCCTACCTCTCTCCTTCCTTTCATGATCGACTCTCTTCTTTCTGCAGTCTGTTCCCCCACCTCAATCACTGTCACTCAACACGATTGCGTCGCTTTTCCTCCCACCCCTCACCAGCGCCCTATTTGTCCTCCCTCCGGCGTTCTGCTCCGACAGTGCTTTGCTAAGGAAACGTGTTCCATGTGTACCCTTGCCTCGACCATGAAGGTGAACTGTAACCGAGGGAGCGTCCATCAGAACGAAGCCGTCGTCATCGTCGCTGTCGTGTTGACGAGACGCCATCTGCTGCTTCGAGGCGCGCCCGACATCCTGCATCGAGTGCGACCTCGCCGATCTAGAGGCAGCGCCTATTCTTCCAGCAACGACGATGGGCGGCGGACTTCCCTCTCTCAGGCCCGTGCCCCTCTTTGCGCGCTTGACGTTCGGCCGCCGGGGACTGGGGCTGCTCTCGATCGATAGAGCCTTGGAGCGTTGCCCAATGGTGCGAAGGAACTCCACTGCGTCGGGAAGAGAGGCGTCTGGATCTGTCTCGTCTGCACCTGTGACCATACACACTTCTGTGTCTGAGCTGGCGAGGGCGGAGGAAGGCTTCTGAACTCCCGATCGCTTGGCAGTAGATGGCTTGTGGGCTGGAGCTGCTGTAGAGCTTGCCGGAGCTTTTCTCGAGTGGTGTGTGGTGGTCAATGTGACATTGGCGGTATCGTCCTCGCTGTGGAGCACAAAGGTGTCGTCATCATCACTGCAGCCTTCTGTCAGGGGCGCTATCCGATCCGAGCTCGGCTGGCTGAACGAGGCAGGTCCGCTCTGTGTGCGACCAAAGGTGCGATTGGAGAAGACATTGCCAGATGGCTTGCTTGCGGGAATGGCAGGAGGAGTCACTGTCGACCGCGAGTGCCCTAGTGCATCGTTCTCGTAAGAATCAGAAGATAGTGTAGCTGGCAATGGTGTGATCGAGAAAGGTCTCGAGCTGGTCGTGGATTTTGCAGGCTGCTGAGAGGCTGGAGGAACCGAGCCCTTCTGGCTCATGAAAATCGAGTCGATCGTAGTATGTCCCGCTCCAGCGGCTCTCTTCTTCGCAGCAGGCTTGGATTTTGCCGTCGTGCTCTTCTTGCTGCCCTTCGACTTCCCTTTGGACTGCAAGGCCAGACGATATTCTTCTACTAACGACTTGCCGACGTCGTTGGCCTCCAACCGGTCAGCCAAAATCCAGGTCCGGACGTTCGAATACGGATCGGGCGGTGGCTTTGCTTTTCTCTTGCTAGGTGACGGCGGGCATCCACCCGGAGCAACGAGGCTTAAGCCATAGGGAGAGCAAGGTGGCAATTCCTCTTCCGTGTCCTCTGCATCTGTCGTGTGCCGTGAAGAGCTTTGTGAAGCAGGAGGCATGTCTTCCGGGAAGTCCTCATCGTATCCTGGCCCCACATTAAGTAGAGGGTCGATGCCCTTCTCAGCGTCTTCTGCAAGTGGTCTCGGATTCCACTCCAGGCGGTACTCTAGAAGCTGACCGGTACCGGCATGCCGTCGTTCGCCGTGAATTTTCAGGACTTCGAGCTGCAGGACCTTGCCCTTGCTGCCAATCGCCTCATCTTCCGCATCACTCTGGCAATTCATTTGCACTACTCTGCCTCGCCTGAGCTCTTGCAACAGCAGGCCCTTCCACGCCACATTGCGTAAACGGCCCACCGTTGCTTTCGGCCCCCAAGCGAACGTTCTCTGAGCGAATGAAGCCATCGCAGTAAGATCGGGGTCACGGAATTTGAGCTTGCGGCGAGCAGACGACCCGATTGAGGTCGAGCCGGATCCGCTCTCTTCCTCTGCTAAGCTCCAAGTAGTCACCGGGGACACGTAACTCGCCAGGACTTCGAGGGCGTCCTGCGTACTCAAAAACGATTTGAAAGCATCGCTTTGAGCCAATTTGAGATGACGACCATTGAGGAAGCCTTGCTTGTTCGTTTGTAGCTCGTTGCAGACATCTGATAGCCACTGCTTGAGGAAAGGGGACCAAAGCGAAGACGTCGCTACGCTGGGTAGCTTCGTCTCGGGATCATGGCCGTCTATGTTGCAATGCTTACGGAAGCCTCTCAGCAGAGCCTGGCCATGACCAGCTTGTGCGAGTCCAATAGCGGTCTTGACACCGCACCCACCGAGTCCCCCTACGTCATAGTCACCTCCAGCCATCAGAGCTACAAGAATGAGCCCATCCTGATCCAGTACTAAATCTGGCAGCTCGCGAATGTTAGAAGCTCGATAGATGGTAGCCAGATTGTCTCCTCCATCCTCAGCTGTTGCAGGCCGAGCCTGAGTGAGCGTGGGCGACCAGCTAATAGCAGGAAAAGTGCGCTTGTCGGTCAATACGGACGTCTGTCTTTGTCTCACAGCAGCCTAGCATCCACTCACTTTCTCATAACAGTCTGAGCTCCAAAGACAAGTGAATCGACATCATCGCTCAAGACGGCATCAATCAGTCCCTCTTGATTCATCCTCGCGAGCTCTGCTTCAGCCTCACCTGGCGCCTCCCATCCGATGGCTCCGAATGTGGCAATCATCTCCATCAGCGGTCCCGTGAGCGGATGCTTCTTGGCTCCCACTGTCCTGCCCCTCTTGACTCTCGGCCTGAGCGGTCCATCGAAGACGAAGACTGCATTGATAGGCAAGGAGAGCAAGCGAGCCAAGCGGAAGAATATGAGTCGGAGAATGGGATTGGACCCTTCTACCGACAGGCGGGCGTGGAAGAGCCAGGCGGATAGGTCGACGCCGATGATGGGCAGCCGCTGAGGTGCGCCATCGGTGATGGGTGGGAGCGAGTCCACCAGTGCGCGGAGGTCGAGCGTCTCGAGGTTGTGGGACGTACCTGCCGGTGAGAGATGGGACCAGAGGCCCGGTACGCCCATCTGGCCGTCGAAGGGGAGGGGAGGGCGAGCTACGATGGCAAGGACGAGGAGGAAGGTCAGCCAACCATGGCGGAGCATTTGACGCACACACACACGCCTCGACGGAAAGAGAGGCGCGTCGCCAGAATGTCACTGCACAGAAGCTCACACGCCCAAAGTTGCGCTCACGCTCCGCACCAACCTTCCTACCCGCCCTCACTCGTCATGCCTCCTTCTTCGGCTCGATCTAGGTCAAAGGCATCTTCGCAGAGCCAGTCGCAGTCGCAGTCGCAGTCTCAGTCTCAGTCTGACTCGCAATCACAGGTAGATGCAGTCCTTGTGGCTTCCACACCGCCAGTGCCCTCTGTGCACGGCTCACCGCTGGTAGACAGCTACACGTATCAGTCACCAGTGCCATCGCAAGCAAGAGGCGTGCCGTGTATTTTGGGTGTAGATGAAGCAGGAAGAGGACCAGTACTTGGTGAGTCCATACTTTGTCCAACTCGCATGTGGAGCTGCCGACCGACTCCTCTCTCACCCCTATCGCACAGGCCCGCTCGTGTACGGTGTGGCATACTGCCCAGCCTCATTCTCAGATGAGCTCAAAGGCGTCGGCTTTGCAGACTCGAAGGCGCTCACTGCCGAGAGGAGGGATGCGCTACTTGCAGCGCTGATCAACCACCCCGACCAATTAGGTGAGTAGGTACGCAGGGAAGCTTCACCAAGGCAAAATGTTGCTCACCGTGCTTCCATCCCTCGATTAGGTTGGGCGACGCAGACCATGTCGCCTCAGGACATCTCAGCAGGAATGCTCCGCAAGCGCCCCTTCAACCTCAATCAGCAGTCCACAGAAGCCACTGTACATCTCATCCACTCAATTCTCTCCTCGGGTGTTGACATCTCCGAGATCTTCGTAGACACTGTCGGCGATCCAGCAACGTATTGCAAAACGCTGAAGTCCTTTTTCCCTCAGGCGAAGTACAAGCACATCGAGTGGACTGTGACGAGCAAGGCAGATGCCATCTACCCAATTGTTGGAGCGGCTAGTATCGCGGCAAAGGTGACGAGGGACAGATGGGTGGAAGACTGGAGATATGCCGAGAGTGTCGGTGATCAGTCCACGGCTGGAGAAACGCAGGCCGGGCCATCTACTTCAGCGCTCGAGGAGACGGCTCCTGCTTCCCCGACCAAGGGCTCCAAGAAGCGTAAGAAGCCCGACGCGCCCATCATCACAAGCGATACGCCCCACGCCTTCTGGCACGAATTCGGCTCTGGCTACCCGGGGGACCCCGGCACCGTTGCTTACCTGCAGCGGACAATCGATCCAGTCTTTGGCTGGCCAGGCGTGGTGAGGTTCAGTTGGGCCACGATCAAGACGCTGTTAGAGGAGAAGAGAACGGTGAAGGGCGCAGCCAGTAGTGCTGGCGCAACGAGGGCATCTAAAGCTGTCAACGGTGGCGCGGGACCAGCAACAATTGGGGATGCTGCAAACACAGTCGCCCCCTTTCTGACATCGACGGGCTCCCTGCCTCCCCCCGTCGGGCAGCCTAGGGGTTACAAGATCAAGTGGATCGATGAGCCTGCTCAGATCACGAGCTTCTTCGCTGCAAAAGGAGGGACACCCTCAAATGGTTCTTCAGCCGGCTCTGGAGATCCGGTTGCACTCGCTAGCTTGATGTGGAAGAGGAACGAGGAGAGTCTAAAGAAGGATAGAGTGGGACTGCGAAAGGAGCTGGGGCTTGCTAGTGTTGGGCCTGGGGGGATCTGCGGAGGGCTGTAAAGCGTGAGGCTGCGTTCTGATTCTTCACATTGTAACAGTAGTCACGATATCAACGCTGTCTATTCGGTCTATCGATGCAATTTTTGGCGATGACACTGATGTAAATCCCTGGCAAGACTCTTGCCCAATGACACGGTACTTTCTGCTCAAGCTCCCAACTGCGCCTCGATTCGGTCACACTGCTCCAGCACGGCCCTCTTGGAAGTACCACCAATGGCGTTCCTCCTCTCTACACTCTCGTCCATCTTCCAAACATCCTCTACGTCTTCTTCAAAGGCCGAGTTGAGCTTCTTGAGTTCCTCCAAGGTCAGATCGCTCAGCAGACACTTCTTCTCTTCTGAAAGTCGAACAGCAGAGCCAGAGACGTGGTGCGTCTCTCTGAAAGGAATGCCCTTGCGAACGAGATACTCTGCCAGGTCCGTGGCGAGCATGTCGGGGGTGAGGGCGGCGCGCATCTTTTCTGGGAAGATGTTCATGGTGGAAATCACACCCGTTGCGATTTGCAGGGAGCGCTGGATGGTCTCGACCGCGTCAAAGAGGGGCTCCTTGTCCTCTTGCAAGTCCTTGTTGTAGGTAGAGGGAATACCCTTGAGTGTCATCATCAGACCGCTCATCTGACCAAAGACACGTCCACTCTTTCCACGCAGAAGCTCCAGGGAGTCTGGGTTCTTCTTCTGGGGCATGATGGAGGAGCCGGTAGAGTAGGCGTCGCTCAGCTGAATGAAGCCAAACTCAGAAGTGGAGTAGATGATAAAGTCTTCGGCCATCTTGCTGATGTGGATCATGGTCAAGCTGGACCAGAACAGGAACTCGACGATGAAGTCTCGGTCTGAGACGGACTGCATCGAATTGAAGCCTACAGTCTTGAAACCGAGCTCCTTGGCGATGGCCTCCCTGTCCAGACCGGCAAAGGGGTTGCCCGCGAGAGGTCCCGAGCCGAGAGGAAGGACAGAGATTCGGGGCAGAAGATCGCGTAGCCTCGAGAGGTCAGAGATGAGGTTGGAGGCATGCGAGAGGAGGAGGTGGGACCATCGGATGGGCTGCGCTCGCTGCAGATGGGTGTAGCCGGGCATGAGGTGGTCAACCTCGACACGAGCTCGAGCAGTGATGACCTTGATGAGCTCAATGAGGAACTTCTCAGAGGCTGCAGCCTCATCGATGAGCCAAAGTCGTACATCTGTGGCTACCTGGTCGTTGCGGGATCGTCCAGTGTGCAGCTTTCCAGCAACGGGACCGATGAGCTCCTTGAGGCGGCGCTCATTGGCGGTATGAATATCCTCGTCATCGGCAGCAGCGACAAAGGTGCCATTCTTCCACTCCTCTCCGACCTTGCCGAGACCTTGGACGATCTGGTCCCTCTCCTGGGCGGTGAGGATGCCAGTTGCTACATTGGCGTTGGCGTAGGCGATGCTTCCCCGGATGTCTTGTGCCCACATGCGCTTGTCGTAGGAAAGTGACTCATTGTAGGCGTGCATCAAGGGGTCAACGGAGCCGCTGAAACGGCCACCCTGGTAAACGGAAGCGGGGAGTTGCTATCAGCTGTTTGGCTCGCAGGCACGCGCTTGGCGTGCAGCGTCTCGGTGCAGCAGCAGCTACTCACCCAAAGCTTCTTCTTCCTGAAGTCTTCACCCTCTCCTGCCTGAGCGTCTGCCTGACGCTTGCTCATGATGATGGTAAAAAGTGAAAGTCTGAGTGGGGCGACGATGTGTATGAGGTGGTATCACTTATCTTGCAGACGCGGGGTGCGAGGAAAACAGAGGCCTATCCCTTCTTCTTATACACCTCCTCTGACTTTTGAGATCTTCTCGCTACGCGCACGGCGCGGGAGGTGAGGGGAGGTCCAGGAAATGCAGGCCATGAGCGGAGTCTAAATTTTATCCGTCGAGGCAAGCTTAACCCGGGTGGCCCCTGCTCGGGTTGGGGACACGGGCTGGCGGACGGAAGGGGCCTCGTCAGCCGAGCGGGACGGCCGGGAGCGGAAGCAGATGAGCCGGCCCCGCATTGATATCACTCATCATAAGACGTGGGGGCCACCTCTCCCGCGTCTGATCTGTCTCTTGATCCATCCATTCATCCACTCATTCATCCACAAGCTACTATCCTTATAAAGTGCTCCCACTACCGCCACCCAGCATGGTCAAACTCACCAGCCTATCATGCCTGATAGGCTTCGTGACCCTCGCAGCCAATGCAGCACCCTCCGCACATATCGCTCCCTCAGCATCCTCAGATAAGCAGCTCAGCGCAGGTCGCAAGATCGTAGATGCCACTCCTCGTCACTACAATAGCAATGTCAAGTCTCACACATTCGTCGCTTACCCAGACAACAAGAGCATCGTCACCCGCGGGCTCCAGCCAGCGGATGCAGCCGTCAAGCTTGCTACCAGCCTGATAAGCGCAGCCAAGGGAGCGCCCAGCCACCGCTTCGAGGTCAGGGACGACTCCTACTTTGATGAGTCGCACGGGCTCCACCACATCTACCTCAAGCAGTCTATCCACGGACTTCCCATCCACAATGGTGGCCTTCATGCTGTTGTCTCCGAAAATGGTGAGTGACCCATCATTGATAAGCGGAGAGAGTACCTTTTAACCCACGTTCATCGCTGACGGCGGGTGCCCCTATCTGCTTCCGCTTCGCAGGCGAGGTCCTGAGTTATTCGCACAACCTCTACACTGGGCCGGAGCCAGAGCTGCCCAGCAATGCTGCTCCCCTGAGCACCTGTCAAGGCGCAGTCGCTGGCAAGCGCTCGCAGATGACCTTCACTGCGCCGACCGTCAACAGCGTGCTCAGCGCTGATGCCGCCCTCTATGGCTTCATGGCTGTCGCGAGCCCAGACCCAACTATGTCATTTGCCTTCTCGGAGGTAGCGCAGGCCAGCCACAAGGCATCGTATCTGTCGTCGCCCATCGATGCCATTCGGTCTCACAAGATCTCTGGCGTCCCCACCACGACTGGAGACATCGCAGCCAGCTTCGCTTACGTCCTTGACAGCAACGATTGCCTGTTACTGACTCATCGCTTCGAAGTTCCCATGGAGGACAACTGGTACGAGACCTATATTGACGCCCTGAGTGGCGAGGTTCGTACGGTAGTCGACTGGGTGTCCCCTGGAAGCGCCAGCAAATTCTCACTCGCCCGCCCAGACTTTTCTTCTTACGGGGCTCCTATCGTCAGCAAAGTAGAGCAAGGATTGAGGGCTGCCTTTGACAGCGTGCTGCACGTAGCCGATGAGGTCGTCGCCCAGCTCACTGCTCCCTCTGACGAGGAAGAAGAGACAAAGGAGCCCAGCTACCGCGTCTTCCAGTGGGGTGAGAATGATCCTTCTGAAGGCAAACGAAGTTACGAGAGCGCTCGCCACGATCCCGAGGTATCGCCCTTTGGTTGGCACGCCTTCCCTTCTAGTCGCAAGCCATTTGACGTCTCTAGCGACAAGGGTATCTACAAGGATGGCAACCTGACCAAGTTCAAGGACACCCGTGGCAACAACGTCTTTGTGTCGTGGGGCGGAAAGTCTAGCGATGACGCTTGGTCTCTGACCCTCCCTCGACCGCAGGGTGAGGTGATCAACGGATCGCGCCACTTTGGCTACCCATACCCCTGGCGCAAGTTTGACCTCGCCCACGAACCCCTCGACCCCAAGAACTACTCCCTGGCCAGTCAGACGCAGCTCTTCTACACCATCAACGAATACCACGACCTCCTTCACCACTACGGATTCGATGGCGCTGCCGGCAACGGAGAAGAGTACTCCGAAAAGGGCAAAGATGGAGATGCGATCATTGCCTTTGCTCAGTCTGCAGCTGGTCTGAACAATGCTGACATGGCCACTCCTCCCGATGGGTACAGAGGACGCATGAGGATGTACTCCTGGTCGGGTCAACCTATGCGTGACGGCTCGTTCGAGAGTGGTATTGTCCTGCACGAGTACACCCACTTCGTATCGACCCGTTTGACCGGAGGCCCGTCGGACTCTTCTTGCTTGGGCTATGGAGAAGCTGGTGGCATGGGCGAGGGATGGGGCGACATCATCGCCACCATGGCCCGAGATCGCAACGGCTCGACTCTAGCCTTTAGCATGGGTGAATGGGCCAGCAACCACACTGGCGGTATCAGGCGATGGCCATACTCCCGCAACATCACCCTCGACCCCGACACCTACGAGACTCTGAACAAGCCAGGCTACTGGGCAGTCCACCAGATCGGATCCGTCTGGGCCACCATTGTCCTCGATGTGGTCGACCATGCCATGGAGGAGCTGGGCTTCACCGCCGACCTCTTCCCTCCTGCCAAGGATGCCTCCAAGGAAGCCCACCACAAGTTCTACCTCTCGGAAGAAGAGTTGAGCTCGCTCCCCGGTGTCAAGCCGCGCAAGTCCAAGAAGCCCGTACCTCGCCACGGCAACACGCTACTGCTTCAGCTGCTCATTGACGGCATGAAGCTCCAACCTTGTCGACCGGACTTCCTCGCTGCGAGGGATGCCATAATAAAAGCCGATGAGATCCTCTCGGGTGGAGCTAACGAGTGCTTGTTGAAACACGCCTTCGCCAAGCGCGGGCTCGGTGCGGATGCACGCGTCATTGGCTCCACTCCTTGGGGTGGAGGCATTAGGACGAATGGACACGAGGTCCCGTCCTACTGTAATGGCACCCATCACAAGTAGATAGAGGGGAAAGCCCTGAGAGCATGACGTGTACAAGTAATGGTTCCATGCCTACCATGCTTTCCATGCTTTCCATGCTTACTATGCACAACTGCGCATTGTCCACCCTGCGCGTATCTATGACGTGTCAAGCCCATTAGATCTAGATTCATTCTGTAACAGTGTCATGTCCTACCATGCGAGTATGTATGGCTGTATGATCGTCAAGATGCCTAGGTCTACCATGCTACATTGCGCATTGCTCGCCATGCGCGTATCTATGGGACGTCGATCGTGCTGCGTCTACCCTGTCATATTCTGTACTGTCCACCCTGCACTCAATCCAAATTGTCTCGAAACCTCATTCCTCCTGTGACTGACGCCCGTTTGTGAGTCACCAACACCGTTGTGGCGATGAGGCGTAGCCAGACACGGAAAGGTCTGCAGCATGTCGCTACTGAGTAATACAGACCCTTCTGTTCTGGAAGTAGGGTCTGGGCCTGGGACCTTTCCGCCGGGACTCCGTCCGTGGACACTTTGTGCCTGATAAGTCATGCCGCTCAGTCGCTAGAGACGCTCCTGCTCAGCAGAGCCGGTAGGGAGGAGCGTGCCTGGTCTGAGACTGGTGGTAGCGCCCTGTAGTCCGTCGTACGTTCGCTGAAGGTGGCCGGCGGAGGCTGTAGCTGTTTTCTTCTACGGCAGGTAGCATCGATGCTGCAAAGTCTACATCTACCCTGTGACCTCCGCTCTTCAAGTTACCAGAGATGCCAACTTCGGTTGCAAAAAAGAACAAACAACAAAAAGCAATGTGCGCCAGGAGGGAATCGAACCCCCTTCTCACCGAGTTTCCAGGCTGTGAATTTGTAGTCCACATTCTTGGCAACGGTAAATTCTACCAATAAACCACTGGCGCATCTGGAATTTGGCGGTCAAACAACAACATATATACCGACTCGTGAACAACGTGCTGCATCATGGCGCTCGCGTGGCGCGTCCGTGCATTGCATCCGGTGGTTCAGCCACTCCGCACTGAGTCCCTTGTCATACTTTGCACAAGTGACACTCACTCCAGCGTTCACTTCACTTCAACCTGTTGATGAGCCAGTGAACTCCATTCAAGATTCCATATGGATCCGTTCGAGAGCGATCTGGAAGATGCGTCCGAGCAGATCCTCCAGGGCCGACAACCACCGGCTCTGACGCACATCCGCTCGCCCCCCTCCACCTCCTCGTCCAATGCCCAACCGGCGACTGCCACTCATCCGCCAGGTGGGAACGGGAATGGCTCTGACGAAGTCGAGGACCCATTCGGCATCGAACGTACAGACTCACCTATCCCTCCAGGAGGAGAGCGGCCTCGATCTCGGTCCTCTCGGGGAGCTTCGGTGACGGAAGCGGATGAGGAGGGTTCGGTTGGATCGCCCTCTGGTATCTTTGGAGGCGGCATCTCTCAGCGACCGAGGGACGTGACGCACACCTCGGCTTCGCAACTACTGTCTGGAAACGCAGACGTGGGACCATCAAGATATAGGGACCAGCCACCCTCAAGTAGACAAGGAGCTGTCAAGCTTGCCAGCATGGGGTCCACCAAGGTGGCTGATACCGAGCGGTCCCAAGACGAGCGTGACCCCTCCTCGGAAGAGGAATCGTCCCGGCTACTCGCCACAGTGGAGCAAGGCGACCATGCTCGCCCACTCTCGTCCCTCTCTTCTCGCACAAGCAAGTCTAATGCTTCACGCCGCTCAGAGAAGCGGAAAGCAGCCGGAAGCGAGAGCATAGCAACTCTCAAGGCTCTGGGACGTCGAATCGTACGCTCAGCACGACAGAATGAAGAGGAAGACGCTTCCTCACACAGGGCAAGAGGATCGGACAACGGGCCCATACGCCTTGAGTCTGCACCTGGAGAAGAAGGAAGCAGTGGAATCCTCAAGGGGAGGGCTTGGCGGAGGTTGAGCGAGAGGGAGAGGGCGCTGTGGATGTGGGCGAATGTGGAAGATCTAGACGACTTTCTGCGAGAGGTCAGTTGCAAATGTCAGGGCTTAGGTGTTCTCGACCTCTATGCTGACCACTACCTAGTCACTGCCATTCTTTGACCCAGCTGTATGCGTACTACACCGGCAAAGGGCTGGTCTGCATCGTGCTAACTCGCTCCTTGAACCTGCTTACCATAGCGTTTGTAATCGGGTTCTCGACGTTTCTTTTTGGCTGCGTTGACTATACAAGCATTCGACATGATGGTCAACTCAAGGAGGTCATCATCGAAGGCTGCGTCTCTCGGTGAGTTGACAAGTGAAGGACATAGGGCAGCATCTTCATCCTCACTGCACCGCTGACTACAGGCTCCTTGTACCCTTTGTCCTCTGATGCAGATTCTCGACGTGGACGATCCTGTCACTCATTGCTTTTGGCGTCGTATACTCCCTGCAAGTCGTCCGATTTGCCCTCAGTCTGAGTAGGCTTGGTACGATGCACCATTTCTTTCAGCATCTCCTGGACATCCCGGAAGCGGACATACAGACCATCCCCTGGCATCAAGTCGTCGCACGGTTGTCGAGTTTATTGTCTACTCACCCGATTGCCAGTCTGCCGACCGGCGAGGGAGAGCCTACCCAAAAGATCGATGTACACGAAGCTGCAAACCGACTGATGAGGCAGGACAACTACCTCATCGCGATGCTGAACCGCGATCTTCTTGACCTGGGTCTACCGCTGCCTGCAATGTTCGGCGTTGGGTCTTCCCCTCCGATCTTGACGAAGAGCTTGCTCTGGAACCTCAACTTCTGCCTGCTTGGCTTCTTGATTGATCAAGATGGTAACGTCAGGAGGCAATTTCTCAGCGATCGGCATCGGACTGAATTGATCGCAGGGTGAGCTGCAGAAAAAGACCAGTGCTACCGTCAGCTCTGCTGACCATCAGCGTTCCTCTCTCCTTGTCCGCAGTCTCAAGCGCCGCTTGATCTTCATGGCAGCCGTCAATGCCATCTTTGCACCCTTCATTATCATGTACATCATGCTATACTCCTTCTTCCGCTACTTTGAGGAGTATCACAAGAACCCGGCCTCTCTTGGCTCGCGGCAATATACCGAACTCGCTCGCTGGAAGTTTCGAGAATTCAACGAGCTACCACACCTGTTCCGGAAGAGATGTCATGCGTCGTACCCCTATGCCCAGAGATACGTGGAGCAGTTTCCGAAGGAGAGAAACGCGATCCTCGCCCGCTTCATCTCCTTCGTCGCTGGGTCCTTCGCAGCCGTTCTGGTACTTGCTGCAGTGATCGATCCGGATCTCTTCCTGCACTTTGAGATCACACCACAGCGCAATACTCTATTCTACATTGGTGTCTTCGGAGCTATCCTTGCTGGGGCAAGAGCTATGATCCCAGACGAGCGAGCCGTTTTTGAACCAGAGGTTTTGCTAGAGGGCGTCATCTTCTATACACATTACTGCCCCGAAGACTGGAAGGGAAGATTCCATTCTGCCGAGGTGAGTTCACAGTGGCGATTAGACGACATGGTGATCTGACATTGTGCTTGCCGTCCATAGGTCAACGCAGAATTCGGGAAGCTTTACAGCCTCAAGATCGGCATCTTCGTGATAGAAGTGCTTTCTGTCCTCGTGACACCGCTGGTACTTTTCTTTTCCCTACCGAATAACGCCCCAGCCATCATCGACTTCTTTAGGGAGTCTACTGTCCACGTTGAAGGTCTAGGCTACGTATGTAGCTTTGCAGTGTTCGACTTTGCTCGACACGGCAAGACGAATCCTCCAGACGAGACAAGAGGTGCGCCTGAAGGTCCGGATCTCCCTCATCGCGACAATCGAGAGAACAAGATGGAGCAGTCAGCCTTGCACTTCGCGGCTGCCAATGATTGGCAACCCGATCCGGCTTCAAGCTTATATCTATCTCGACTCCAAACACAATTTTGGCAGACGAACCAGCGAGGGGCCTCGAATCCAATGCAGTCAGGCCAACAGCATGTACCAACAAACGCCAGGGCCATTCTCGCTGGCTTCGCTTCATCCACAACAGAGTCTATGCTAGCACATCGGTCGCAGATGTACGAAGATGCCTTCGAGCGATCTATGTCTAGAGGTGAGAGGACAGCAAAGAGGGACCAAAGTCCGCGTCTCAACAAGGCGTCTACCGGGCCAAAAATATCAAATCATAAAACCGGCTCCCGCCGGGGCCTGCAGGTCGTGCGGGAGGGTGACGATGACAGCAGCGTCCTGTCTAGCGTTGGAGACTTTGCAGACCCAGTGGCCGATATGCGGCAGGAACAGGAACGGAGGCGGCTTAGGGCCGATGACGGAGCGCTCCCACGTTCCTTGCGGCAGCATCTAGACTCCGTCTTATGACCGCGCCAGTGATCGAAAGTCAGACTTGTGAGATGTTACGGCCCGAATGGTATGTGGTCTCTGTGGAAGTGCGTCGATGCTAGTGCAATAGTAATGCCACGGCACAAAGTCCGAAGGTTCCTCCCTCAGCTATGTCTCTGTTGAAACGGGCCGAGTCACGGCGTCAATGGCGAATGTGCCAACAACTACATGCTCACCTGGAGGCCGGGTTATCTGGCGATACGGCCGACCGCCACATGCGTTCGAGGAGTTATGCGCGTGGCGTGACTTGGCGCATCGCCTCGCCGTGGGAGCTGCCATCCCTTGCTCCGGTGCCCGCACTCGATCTCACCACTTTCTTCCTCCGCTTGCCACGAATGTTCTAGGTTTGCTACTCCGCCCGGGGAAAGCACCACACTTCTACCTCTGAGCCGCTACGCACCAGTCAGACGCCGTCGCATTTTACCAACACTCCGCCCGCCCGCTAAGGTGACTCAGGCACACTCGGCCCGTCGTCCAGCCCTGACAGCATGGATGGCCAGGTGCATTGTCCCGTCCCGCACACCCGGGACCTTTGGGTGAAAGTTACTTCGGACAAAGCGACCCTGGATAGTCCGAGGATGAACGGCTACTATCCACTGAACTGTATTCATCCACCGCTGCAGATTCTTCTCGTCATTGCTCTCTACACAGGGCTGGACGATCTCTTGCTTTGTACTCGGCTTCGCATTTTCCTCTTCCTCTCACGACTTCGTCTCAACCTCTCTCACTCCTTCATAACATTTGCGACTTTGTCACTTTCTAGTGATTCCACAGGACCCTCTGCTGCCATCTCCTTTCTTCGCTAATCTCGAGACTAGGCTCGGACAATCGCGGACCGGGCCTGGTTGACGTGCGATGGGCCAATCCGTGTCAACATACACGACGTATGCTGACTACAGACCCGATGTCGGCGTCATCGCCGGACACCCGCACAAACCCTTTCCCTCGAATATCACGGCAGGTCTTGCGCAGGACCCGCCCAGCGCAGCAGCGCTACAGAGTCTTTCAGACTTCATGAGATTGTTCTTCTATGTCCCCCTGACCCCAAGTATCTACATTGCTTTTTTCACCGGACTCATCTATCTCGGTCTTCTGATCATTGCAGCGGCAGCTATTGGCGTCTATCGCTGGAGGCGAGGGCAATTCTGGATCCTTCGTCTGGAAAGGCGAGCCAGAGGTCTGTACATCGTCCCCAATGCCCTCAACGCTTTTCTACTATTCGAGCTGTCTTTCTGCCTGTCATGGGGTGTCTATGGAATTGGAGCCTTTCAGTCCTACAGGGTCGAGTGAGTAAGGATGACCCGCAACGAGGGGAAGTGGACATAGGTGGTCAGCGAGGCTCCACTCTAACGGTCTCTACACTTTGCCCACAGGAACTGGTTCTTTATTCGTAAATTAGAAGCTATCAGTCTTCACTGCTGGTTTCCACTCTACCTTGGGATTCTCAGCGCTGCCGTGGGCTCCTTCTTCTCTGTACCGGGTGCTCTCGATCCCGGAAGTAATGCCGCTCATATCCACAACATCATGCGTCGTCCGTGGGTCATCAACACAATTACCATTGGACTTCCGTTGGGTCTCATAGCATGCATCGTGCCTCTTTGCGTCTTAGCACAGCTCTCTCGCACACGTCAGATCGATCACTACCGCGACTTTGCCGACCGCATCGAAGGCAGTATTACGTCAAGTAACCTTGATGGCGTTAGCCTCAGTACCACGTTGGTACAGGCGTACCTGCAAGAGGCAAGCGATCTTTGGAGCGAAAGTGCGCAAAATACATGGACCAGGGCAGGGTGGAGTGTCTGGAACGCCTTTTATTGCTTCCTGTTCCTCTTCTACAGTATTGCCGGAGGTTGGATGCTCATCGTCGTGAAACGTCAAGTCGAAGCCTCGAAGGCGATCGTAGACAAGGAGGAACGGTATCACAGGGAGCTCGTAGTAGCGCACCAGGACGAGCCAAGTGCTCTGCTGTTCCAGCCTCTCCTCAGTCCAGGGGCTACTGTACCACCGACCAGCCCTCGCACGGCGAGCCAATTCAGCAGCAAGCACAGTCCGTCTCTTGCCGCAACAGCCATCTCCTCACCGTCGACGGCGTACTCCCCTCTACAAAGTGAGAAGAGGTATTTGCAAAGCGACGATGTCGAGGCGACAGCGGCAGCCAGCCCGGAGCACACTCTGCTTTCGCCTCTGCCGCCGCCGCAGCCAGTGGAATCACAACCAGCCCCGCCTTCTGCAGCTGTATTACGCTGGAGGTATCTTCGCCGCTGCTACCGGTCTTTGGTCATCATGTACGCGGGCATTATTGCCGTGCTAGGGATCTCCATTGGTACAGGAGGCTTCCTCGCTGCCTCTATCACGCGTGAATGGCTCGCAGGTCCCTATGAATCGGCTTACGTCCTGGGCGTCTACGTGCTACTACAAACCTGGACTCGCGTTGTCTTCGGATCAATCACTCTTGGCGCCGTCGTGTTCCGATCTTTTGACCATTCCGCAATGGGCGGAGCATCCGCAGAAGCCATCAGCGAAAAAAGAGAAGGTACTACCACTGCCAATGGACGAGGTCTCAGTACAAGCGAGGCTCACCATGGAATTAGCACAGGGGTGGATAGTGTGAGCTCTACCACTTCGCCCCACCGCGTCTTACAGGACCCGGCGACCTCGGACCTGGCTTCAGTACCAGAGAATGCTACCATGAGTCTTCCTGCCGTGAGCTCCATGGAGGAGGTAGCGACTAGCGGCAGCTGCCACGCGTTATTGACTGAGCCGATGTCGCCGGCTACAGACTCAGGAGCTGCCTCGGCTCCATCGACCTCGGCTTCGACTTCGGCTCTTCAAGAGGGCCATGTGTACAATGCCGGGGCGAGCAGCCTAGAGTACACCACGACGTCCCCACTGTTGTCACGACGATCCGTTAGCAATGCTCTCGCGTCACTGGCTCTTTCGCAAAGCACAAGGTCAGCTAGTATGGGAAAGCTTGATGTCCTTCCCCGACCATCATCTAGTCAATCTCTGCAGCTTCTAGCGATGCAAAAGTGTGACTCCAGGGCACGTCGCTTCTCAGCCTCGGCGCCTCCCCCCAATCGTCCTCTACCTACCCCCGTCCCACGATCCGACAGAAGGCCAGGAAGCGCATCGAGTACCAGCAGTACTGTCACCAACAGACAAAGACAAGCGAGCCACAGCACTTCACTAGCACAGAGGCGTGCTAGTGCCAATGCAGAGCTTGCTTCCTCAGCACGCCTTCTGCAGCTCTCTGCAGCCTTGGAGAGCAGGCGTGACAGCTGTCGCATTGCGCCGGAGTACACGCCCGCAGACAGGACGGGCTGGCGCTCCTTAGTCTCCGAGGACTGTCTGGGGAATGCTGCTTCCCCTTTTCAGGCAGGCTGGAACGGTTTTGCTCAACCTGCGGCCTGTGAACAGAGTGGCTGCGCGGACGCAGCTCAAGAGTCAGCGACGCAGCAGCTGGCAACGACGGCGAACCCTGTTCCGCCTTCTCCTGCCGCTACGAACGCCAGCTCTGACGAGGTCGACCACCTGTCTGAGCTGATTCCACGTTCAGCTTTGACGGCGAGAGCTAATCCATCGAAGCATCATGCACGTTCGTCGTCATCACCTCCCGACTCGCCCGTTGATGGCGAGGCCTTTCACTTCGAGTAGAAGACTCCATAGAGTTTCCATTAGAATGCCGCGATAGATTTCCCTCAGCTTTCGCTCAGCCTCGTCATTGGTGCCGAGATTATCGCAGAAACCCACTTATTATACCCCACTTGGTCCGCTCTCCCTTTGGCGGAGAACGCAGCACATTGTACATTGCCTTATACTCAGCTGCGAATATGCATGTTTGTCATCCTTCATCCGTTCTGTATGACTTTCACGCCTCGGTCGATGCCGACGTGGACTTTGCGTGTATTCCCAGAAGACTAGAGCACTTTTGCAAGTATCATCTACTGCTTGTAACGTCTTTCGGGCCTGGCCAGCCTGACTTCCAATTTGTTATGACCGAGGTAGCGATCCCACGGTGTACGCAGGCTGTGACGTCGAAGATCATCCTGAATTGAACTTTTGGGCCATTCTCTAATGCCCTACGTTCCTGCATGCTCATTAGAGCGTCTTCTACTGGGCGCAAGCCACCTCGAGACCACCTTGAGCCATGCCCCTGCTTGCGTTCCCTATCCGTCTGCAACCCATCGACCTTTCCCACGCGAGATGTCATCACCGCCCCCATCGGACTCGGTAGCGGGGACTTGTTCCCCATCCAAGCGAGCGACGAATGTGCCTGGCGGTGTCTCACGCGGTGTCAGGCGGGGCGCGCAGGGGGCCAGATGCGTCTGCCATCGACAATTGGTGAGGCGCATTCCACGCATTCCATGCATGTTGAGGCATTCTAGAAGCCCAGACGCCGCGTGGCCTCGGCATCAATCAGAGTCTCACTGCCTCTATCTCGGCGTCGGGGTCCGGCTGCTGCTCATTGCAGGCTATCAGCCACCTTTTCATAGCAACCGATGGAAAGGACCAAAAGCGCTCGTCTACCCCGCCAATCGTCGCCTGACACGCAGGCGGGGTTTAGGTCAGCGTCGGTATAGTCCACAGCTACGGGTCCCATCTCTCCTCTGAACCAACCCGGCCAGGTGGGTTGTGTTCGAATCTGAGACTGAATAGTATCGAAGGGCAGCTCAGGAGGGGGTAGCACACGATGGTGGAGTTCGTGCCATACTGGTTGGGCTACCTAGTCTCCCTCCTCATCTCGGCCGCTTTATACTACCATCATTACCACTACTGGACTTGCTTCCCTGCACACATTTGTTACGCTCTACCTCCTTCGACACGCCCTTGCATCCTTTCTCGAATCACGCTCCGAAGCTCTCCAACCTTTGCCAGGGAGGACCGCCTTTGTGACTAGTTTGTGACCTTCGGCATCATCTGGCTAGAGGAGGGAGCTGCGACCCGCAATGGGCCAGCAAACGTCCCCCTGGAGCTTCCATGATGACTATGCTCTTGTCCAGCCGGTCGCAGGCCAATCTGGGCACGGTCACTTCCCTCCTCAGATACTTCTTGCCCTGATACAAGACCCACCTAGCCCTGCCGCTCTTCAAGAGCTACTGGACTTCATGTCTGGCTTCTTCTATCTGCGGCTCACTCGCGCATTCTACATAGGCTTCGTAGTAGGTCTCTCGATCCTAGCGGTGACGGTACTGACGGGTCTCGGCGTCTGCGCCCATCGTCTGAAGCAGCGGAAGCTTTGGTTCCTGCGCTTTGAACGGCGGGCCAGGGGATTGTACATTGTTCCAAATGCTCTCAATGCCTTTATGCTATGTGAGATCTCCTTCGGAGTAGCATGGATTCTCTATGGCACGAACATCTATTTGGCATATGCTAAGAGGTGAGTAAAGCACTTGACAGGTTGCAACAACACCACCCACAGCAATCGTCACTAACGGTGGCTCATCGTACTTGGTCTGTATACTTCTGCAGATATACCTGGTTCCACACACAGTTGGAGGCTTTTGGCATTTTCCTCTGGTTCTCTCTGTACCTCGGAGTCCTCTGCGCCGCTGTGGGTTCTTTTTTCTCGGTGCCCGGCGCACTCGACGGAGGCAGTGGATCCGCACCGACGCTCTTCCATCAAATCATGGGCCGCCCTATGGTCATCAACACTATCTCAGTAGGACTCCCGGTTCTCCTGCTCTCGTTCCTGACACCGGTCTGTGTCTTAGCCCAGAAAGCTCGCACTAGGCAATACAATCATTTTGGAGACTTTGCCAGTAGGATCGAGGACACCATCACCACCGACAGCCTGACAAGTGCCTCGGCGCTGTCGTACTTGTCCGAAGCGAGTCTGATCTGGAGTCAGAGTGCGGAGCAGCGGTGGACCTCCATTGGCTTCGCTGGTTGGGCCGCCTTTTATGGTGTCTTGCTAATTTACTATCTGGTCACCGGCGGCTATATGCTGCTTGTCATTAAGAGGCAGGTCGATGCCTCCAAAGTGCTGGTAGACAAGGAACAGCATTTCCAGCAGAGTCTATTGGCTCAGTCCCAGCCCGCAGTTCCTTCTCCAGTGCCGGAAGAAGTCCCGCGCTTGGATTGCGATGTAGAAAGCCCGGCAACTTCCGATTCGTCGTCGCCCTCAACACTCTATTCTTCGCCTCAGACAGAGAAGAAGATAATCTCTGACTCTGATATAGAGGCCTCGGCCGCGGCGGTCACACTAAAAACAAGCGTTGCAAGTCCGGCGTCCAAAAGGGAGTCTTTACCGATCCCCCAGCAGACCACACAAAGCGTTCGTCCAGCATCACGCTTGCAACGGGACTCCGCCCTGGTACTGCGCTGGAAGTACCTCCGCCGGTGCTACAACACCTTGCTGCTGATGTTTGTGGGCATTGCGGCTGTCGTGGGCGTCGCCATCGCTACAGCCACATGGTACGCTGGCTTTACCACTTCGGCCTGGCTGGAAGGACCCGACTCGGCAGCGTACAATCTGGGTGCCTTCGCCTTGGTTGTCACTTGGGCTCGTGTCCTCTTCGGCACAGCAACCGTAGGAGCTGTGTGCTTCCGGTTCTTCGATAATGCAGAAGCCAAGGGATCCTCAAGGGAGAACAGTAATCGTAGAGAGAGCCAAGGAGCGGGAACAGAGAACAGAAATAGAGACTCCTTGAGAAGAGACACAATGTCTCTCGGTGCAAGCAATCCTCCACGACAGAGGGAAATGTCAGCCCCACTCGACTTTGTACGCTCCCGTCTGGCATCGGTGCCCGAAATCTTTGCGCCTCAACAAAGCAATGTCCTGGAAAGTCCAACGACGAGCCGCAGAGGGGTGCTGTTCGAACTGGCCTCGCCGACCGCAAGTACTGGTGGGATCATGATGTTGCCATCTGAAGAGACCAAGGCCGCTTCGAGCTCGTCCGAGACGCCTGCAAAGACAGCCAAGCGGATCTTGAGCAATATGGCACGTTCGCCCTCTAAATCTTCTGATAGGAGAGGCCGGAGTGACTTTGCTACAACGAGCTTTCCTCAGGATGTCACACGAGGTACCATCGAGGAGGACGACATCGATGACGTTCCAGTCTATAAAACAAGCAGCCAGATTCTGTATCCATACGGCTACCCAGCCTCCCCCCCTTCGGCTTACGACCCTGAGAGGCGCCGTGCATCGTTCGCACCAGGTCCACCGCCTGATCGAGCTCTGCCGACACCGGTCCAACGTGACAGCAAGCGGCCGGAGAGCGCGGGAAGCAGCAGTAGTAGCATGACATTCTCGCCAGATCGGAGGAGAAGCAGTGCTACGGGCATGACCCTCCGAGGCAGGAACAGCATCACTGCGCAGGGGCAGAGGCGCGCGAGTGTTCACGCAGACCTGACTTCCTCGTCCAATCCCTCATTGCCCTCGTTTGGGCCACCTCAAGGACGCCGCAGAAGCTCACGGAGTGGCACAGAGGCTTCGTCACCGGCCAAACCAGGTGCCAGCAACGCACTCGCCCTCGAAGGCGTACTAGCACCTGCTGCTTTCTCATCTCCTTCCCCAGCACCTCTCTTCCGGACCGATTGGAATGGCTTCACTGAAAAGACTTTTTTGGGCCACCAGGGCGGTTTGAGTCCACCGCCGCCTAAGCGACCTCAAGCTCCTGCAATGACCACAAATTCATCACAAACGCGTCGGAAGCGCTCCTCGCGCACATCCCCTCCCACGACCGCAAGTAGCGACGACACTGACTCTCAATTCCGCTTGACACCTGGAGAGGACGGCTTGATGACTCAAACAATGAAGTCTGAATCAGGTTCTTCGAGTCCAGACAGAGCCTCTCCGTCTGCAAAGCGCAAGCACAGGTCACGAGCAAGCCCGCCGGCCCCAAGTTCGCCTACGAAAGGATCTGCAAAGAGCGCCCTGGAGAAGGGGGCCTCTATGCCTCTCGAGTCACCTGTTGACGGAGAAGCTCGACAGCCAGTCACTGATACCCCAGAGGAGAAGGCAACCGACAGCGCCAATTCTTCGTACCACTTCTCTTGAATCGGAGTTCATCCTGTATCATGTTGAGCACACCACGCCTTCGTGGGCCACATCGTCGAGCAAGCGTGCGATTGTCGGCCCCCATCTTGTCCGGTCTGCCATGCTCGTTACCCCAATTGGCTATTTCTTCTGACTTGTACTTTATTGCGCTTCCACTTCGTCTTCCGCTCTCTTTCTGATGCCCACACGTCCATTCCACAATTTTCGATACAATACACACTTGACTCTCATCGCGAGCGCTGTCTTCTCGAGTGCTGGCACGGGTGTGCTTTAGATCTAGGGCGGTATCATTATTGAATCTGGGTGGTGATGACAAGGAGCAGGACTTGATCTGACACTCTCCCGCTGTTGATGACCTCCCTCTCTCTACTCTATGCAAACGCTAGTCTTTACTTTCTTCCGAAGGTCAGACCATACCCCGCTTGTGGTCCACCGCGAATCAGTGTGGGCCAGCTGGCGCCTGCCTGCTTCTTGCGAAGGACAAGGTCGATCTTGATGCGCGAAGGGCTGACTTTGTAGGAGCTGCCGGCAGGATCTAGTGCTGCGTACAGAGGGAGATGCAAGAGGTGCCTTCGAGGTGCAGTCGCACCGGGCGCTGGAGGGAGGGACAAGGAGAGGAGAACCTGACAAGAGAGGGGGGTCCAAGAGCGTGTTGGAACGCAGCATCAGTGATCGTCATACAGCTCGCTGCCTCTTCCGCAGGGGTCGTTAGGAACACTCACATCTTCCTCTGCGATCTCGATCGAGCTATCTTCCATCTTGACGCCCTTGCTATATACTGTCATCCTGATCTCGTCCGGTGTTTCATAGTGGTCCATTCTGCAGTCTATCTCCTCCTCACCCTCTCTCAAGGTCATGCCTTTGGACCTCAGAAGATCGTCTCCCCCGAGCCCAGTGGAGCTACCTTCTCCGTGCCCATTGGCTGTGCCTTGAGGCTTGGACTTGCTCTTCAATGGCTGGATGAAGAGGTGGCCCGATTCAGCTGTGCTGCAAGGCTCAATACGCATAAAGTCGGCAAAGTCCAGTACGCGGCGCTTGCAGCAAGAGTATCCCTTGCTGCCCTCGTGAAAAATGGGGAAACCACGATGGTAATGACACACTTCGCTGCTTCGATCTCTTTGGGTACCTTCAGCGCCCTGATAGGTCGCTGCGCAGCCAGGCCGTTTGCATGTTGTGCCAGCAGGAATGGCTACCCCTTCCGGGTCTGAAGGCTCGGCGGGCGGCGCCGCTGGTGCTGATGGTGTAGACGCCTTTGCTGAGGAGGTCGAAGGTATCGAGGGAGTCGTGATTGGTGCTGCCACTGCTGGTTGTCCTTCCTTCTTTGCACTGCTCGTCACAGGCGTCCCAAAGATCTCCTTGCCGTCTTCGCCCACCACCCCCTTTTGCCCTTCCGAGAGCTCCTTCTTTTCCTTCTTCTTTACCTTCTCTGTGGAGTGACCCTCGACGGTGGTGCAGCCCTGGATCTTGACAAAGTCGTCAAAGTCCAGGACGGGCTTGTTCACGCCGTTGCAGCATGACCAAGACTTTTGACCCTCGTGGAAGACCGGCTGGCCGGGGTGGTGTTTGCAGGCGCCTTCGAGGGCGTATGCAGTCTCAAAGGAGGACGAAGAGGAGGCATCTACTGGAGGCAGAGTGGCGCCACATGAAGGGCGTGTGCAGATCTTCACTGGTGCCATGGTGACAATGAGGCGTGCTGCGAGGCGAGAGAGGGGACTGTCTTTGTTGCGGGTGAAGTGTTGTACTGTGCGGTCGAAGCTCGGAGAGAAGGAAGCGGAGTCGTACGACTTTTTCCAGAAGGTGGAGGAGCCCGAGCGCGCAGAGCAACCATGGCATCGTGATGGCAAAGGACGAGCCACAAGGCGATCAGTGTCTCAATGAAGCGGTCTGATAAAGAAGCTGTACATATGACGACAATGGAAGGAACGTTAACAAAGAAAAGAGAGTAGCAGCCCTGATATCTGATTAGCGGTCACTGAACGCTCCCACCCAATATTCGATACGATGAGGCTCTTCGGCCTATTCCATCTTTCCTGCCGAAGATTTCGGTAGGCACCATTCTGCCATCGCTCAGAACTCTCCTATGACAGGCGGGAGGTCTTGCGGAGGCGCACTTTGCGCCGGCGTTGTCGGACCATCGTACAGTGGCTCTAGAAGGGAGTCGGGTCGCCCAATACTCCTCGAGGCTCTGGCCGTCGAGCGCACTTCACACGACTTTCTACTGGCGTCTGCTCGACCTGCAAGGGCTTCAGAGCTGTCAAATGCTTCTTGTGGAGCTGAAGAGAGTCTCGTGGGAATGGACGGGAGAGGCTCATCGGGGTGAGGTCGGGGTGGCGGGGAAGGCACGATGGTCCTCCTTGAGGAGCTGCTTCCCATTCGAGCTGTTGCCAAGCTGCCACCAGACGTGCTGACCTCGTCGACAGTCAAGCGTTCTGACACTGTAGTGCCTTGCTGGAGCAGCATCGTCTCGGCCTCTAATGCTAGCATAGATTCGCTGCCATCATGTGAGCCCAGGCTCTGTGTGTGCCATTTCTCGGCTGGAGCATCCGAGTCGAGGAATTCAACGTCTGCGCATTGGGACGGCCTACCGATGAGGACCAGCTCTTCGCTATCAGCGCTTTGCGAGCTGATGGATGACCCTATCCTTTCAGCAGTGCCTTTACTGGAAAACCTGGCGGTGACCCTCTTGGAGTGGTCGCCTGCTGCTGCTAGGTCGAAAGCAATGATCTCGCCGGCCGTCGAGGAGGGGCGTGCAGGTGGAGCTTTCCTTGGTATGCTAATCTGTCGCAGTATAGAGGGGCGCTGCGGAGGAGCAAGTGCCTGTCCCAGGGCAGTCGAGGATTGGGAGCTGCTCCTTGCGAGGGCTCGAGTGACTTTTTCAGGCGCAGGCAAACCTCCAGCTTGTCGGCCCGGATACCTTGGGCTTGCCGTCTGGTCGGCTGCGAGATTGGTCGAGGTCCCACCGGGGAAGCGTCTTCTTGAATCTGGGAGCTTGCCGTGAGACTTCTCAGGTGCTGTGTCAATCCTCTTTGTACCCATTGTCCTGTGCTTGTCTGCCGCATTGTGGCTGCCTCTCGTTGACGTGTCACCAGCAGCCAAGCCTCGCGCCTCGCTGCTTCGCGGAGGCACGACGGAATCAGGCTGCAGTGACTCTTTCTTGGACCGTCTGATGCTGAAGTGCGAATGATGAGGACCTGCTTCGAGGACAGCTTCCCGACTGCGAGGCTTGCTACGGCACCGTGTTCTTACAAAGGGCGCGCAGCCAGCAATAATCTTCCCTTCGATCGACCGCTCAAAGTCTCGTCTCCACGCCAAGCGCTCTGCCTCAAATTCACTCCCGCGTCGAACAACCTCGCTCGGGTCGAAAGGCATTGACACATCGTCTGCATCCTCGACGGCAGAGGCAATGCGAACGGTACTGCGCAAAGGTACCAAGGTGTTGCGGTGGCTCTGACCTTCCGCCAAGCGGCGCAAATTGCCTTCGCTCTTTGTCCGCCCGATCGACGCTACAGCAGACGGCGTAGCGCCAGCAAAAGTCCCTCGTACGGTATCGCTGCACGAGGGGACCGGCTTCGGAGGAAATCGTTGCAATGTCTGTCCCGGTACATTTCGCACGACCTTAGTGAGATCAAGCAGAGATGCACTACCTCGCAAAGAAGGCGGGTGAGCTGTGCAAGGCAGTGGATGCGACTTCAGCGCATCTTCCATTGTCGCCTTGTGGACGCTACCACAGTGAGTCAATCTCCGATTGCGTTCGAAGGTCCTCCTGGTGCCGGCTCTCGGCTGCTCCTTCCCGGAGTCCATTTCGCCGACTTGCGCCGGATTGATCGTCTCGTGACATTCGCGGGGGAAAGCAATGCAGCCAGTGGTGCCGGCAGACTCGCTGGTAGAATGATTCAGAGACGGCCGAGGCATGAAGATGGTTTCGCATCCATTCTTGGCCGTAAAGTAGGACGTGTCCGGGTGCAGATGTGTCACCTCTGCAGCATGCATTGCCTGAAGAAGAGCGTAATGACGCTCTGCGTCGTTCATGATCGTAGTGTCGGCCGCAGAGGTAGCTGTTGGAGCAGTCAGCTGAGCCGTTACCACATTGGACTCTTTTGTGGAGGCTTGTACTTTCTGCTTTGGTACAAAGCTCGCAGTCTTGGCCGACTTCAGATTGCGGGCCGCCTCTCTACTATTGCCTTCGGTTCGCAGCTCGTTGAATTTCGTCAGGTGAGGAGGGGCTGGCTGATCGAAGGGGAGGCAAGACTTTGCAGCGACAGAACTGTCCAGAGTGTCCTGCTTTGACGCGGTTGCGGGCAGGAGCAAGTCTGCTAGACTCTGGTAAGACTGCCTAGTGCCCAGAGGTCGAGTGCCATGTACGGGGCACAAGGCCTTGCCTGACGTGCGAGGGTCAAAGCGTGACGGACCAGATTGATTGGTCGAAGCTCCAGCCGCCGAGTACGACACAGTACTACGAACAGTACTCGCCGTCGCCAGGCGGCTGTTTGTGTCCCCATCAGAACAACCAGCTTCAGCGTGATTTATGGAGCTATCATCTTGAGGCTTGCGTCCTCCTAATCTTTCTTTGTAGGGACCAGGACTGTTCCGTATGGAGGTCGGTGCACTGGATCGAGCTGAGACGCAGCTTGCGGCCGACTGAGGACGCGCTTTGGAGTCTGTACTCGAGGCGCTCTGTCGAGATTGCGTGGCCACAGACTTCGACGAGGCAAGCGCGTATTTATCTTTGCCTATCTGGGTCGGCCCTTGTCTCGCAGGCGGACGAGTACAGGTCGGCACATTCGGTGAGGGCTGTGCTGTTGGGAGGCCTCTTGTGTCACAGTAAGGTAGAGCGGCAGTGGGAGCGCTGACTCTCCTTCCCATGTCTGCTATACGCTGACTGTCCCGACGCAGCGCCTGATCCAGGCCTGGATCCATGGACGCCGGCACAGGTGCTGTGATGGGCACAGGCGGGCGCCGAGGCTCATGAAGGTACGCTGTAGGGATAGAAAAGGAGTATGTGGGCTGGGCAAGAGCTACGCTCTGGTGAGAAAGTGGTAGAGACTGCATGTCGCTGCTGAGGAGCGATGAGGCAAGTACAAAGAGGGGAGTCAAGGTGTCAAGGTGCCAGGGATGCTTCTGAACCTGTTGGCTATTCTAGCCTCGCTCGGGAGTAGATGACCTTGCTGTCGAATAGCCGTGTCGCCCTTGCCTTGGCACCCGTCAGGGCCTGTGATCAAATGTACCAGTCACGGACACAGTGCCCCGTTGCCGTAATTGCCATGCCAGGGCGGTCATTCTCAGGGGCCTTCCGCCAGATTGGAAGCCATTGAAGCAAGCAAATTGCCTTGGCTTCCTCCGGGACAGGTACGCTTCGAGGTGGAGATTTGCTTGGCCTTCATCACTGTCCTTGCATTCGATCACAGTCCAGGCAGAGAAGATGATAGACCTTCAGAGAGACGTCAAACGGGATCACCCCTCCTCATTCAGCTTGTCAAGACGCCTGTCGGCCCTGACACAGGTATGAGCATTGTCTATGCAACTCGCGCGGCGTCCGTCTCTCACTCGACCTCTTCAACCCAAGGCAGCATACCGAGCAAATTCACAGCAACTTGAAGGTGAGGCCAACGATTGGCTTGCCTGTGCGTCTGGAGGTGTCCGGAGGTTGCGTGGGGCGACTAGGTCCGCGGAGGACGAGGCGCTGCACGAGGCGCCCCGTGAAAGCGCCTGAGTGCGTCTCCCCGCCTTCTTCCCCGCACCGGCACCAGCTCAGAGCTCCACGAAAGCGGTCCAACCTGTACAGGCAACCCCAACTTCCTTCATTGCCCATTCTGGTCCTCCCTTCATCCTTCTCTACAAGACCTCTTAGCTGTCAGAACATCGGTCAGGCCTTGTCTTCTTCTCGAGTGCCATCCGGAGATCCTTAGTCCTCTCGCAGTGTTGAGTCGCAGCATTCCCCTCGCCTCGGCTGGATACCCCTCGCAGTCACCCTCAATCCCTCCACTCCGGTATGACCTCGACCCTCGTCAAAGTCGCAGCTGGTGTGGCAGCAGCGGCATATATTGATGCCAAACATGCTGTATCCAACGACCTCCGCTTGGCCCGCGGCACAACCGCCGCAACTGTCGGGTGAGTCAAGCTAGGATTCTAAGTAGAGTCTGCTACCTCCACACTGACTCTATATTGCGCCCGCCTCGTGCTGATGCTTCAGACTCAAGTACCGAGCCATGAAGAACAGACTGTCACTGTATGAAGTCTTCGCAGACAGTGTCGCAGCGCGGCCGGATGCAATCGCTTATGTATACGAAGGCCAAAGCTGGACATGGAAGCAGATCGATGGAGGTGAGTTGATTTGCCCGACACACTGTGGATTCGGCCCACCTAACAAGATGAGAAACACACAAGACTTGGATACTGCGGACAGGGAAGGCCTGCGACGGCCGGGGGCTGCTCGGGTCGGCCCGATGCCGAGATGTCACGCACTTCAATCTACACTTGATCTGATTGGCGTGTATTCGGCAGGGAGGGGAGACACGAGCTGGCAGGAGCTGCTGTGACGTCTGAAGCATCAAAAGGGACGGATTCTGACCCAGACCTCGATACCTCTTTGTTACAGATGTCAACCGTGTGGCCCACTACCTGATCAATCTCGGCTTGAAGCCAGGAGGTGAGTCTCATGCGTATGCAGCGCTTCTGGGTAGAATTGATCACTAATCTGCTCCCCTTAATTGCGGTCCTTGTTACCCAGACCGAGTCGCTCTCTTGTCCGGCAACTCGGTATCCTTCGTCACAGTCTGGCTCGCCTGTCTGGCTCTCAATGTCGCCCCTGCATTCATCAATCACGGATTGACCGGTCAAGGCCTGTTGCACTGCGTCAAGATCTCTCGAGCACAACTCATCATCTACGAACCAGAATTTGAAGACAACCTGGCAGTCATCCAAGATGATCTGAAGTCAACTCACGTACGGGACTACATCTGTCTGCGCGACGGTATCCAACTATCCACTGGTGAGAAGACCGAGGGTCCTAGTGGAGCTTTGCGTGACGCCAAATTGCTCGATATTCGTGCACTGGCAGCTCAGCAGCCCCGTGTCAAGCCCGTAGACCCAAGCTACCGAAAAGATGTCGATGAAAAGACTCCTTGCTGTCTCATCTATACTTCGGGCACGACAGGGCTGCCTAAAGCCGCTCTATGCTCTCACGGCCGTATTGGCGCAAGCACCTACCTCTGGAGCAGGGTCAACTCGTTCAGCCCCAGCGACCGTATCTATACCCCAATGCCCCTATATCACTCCTCTGCTGCCTTTCTTTGCATTGCCACTTCTTGGGCTGCCGGCTCCACAGTCATCATCGGACGAAAGTTCAGTGCCAGTCGTTACTGGCCAGAGGTGCGAGCAAATGACGCAACAGTCGTGCAGTACATTGGCGAAATTGCTCGCTACCTCTTGGCAGTCCCGCCATCTCCAGCAGACAAGGAACATCGTGTCCGCATGGCCTACGGCAACGGTATGAGGCCTGACGTCTGGACAAGGTTCCGAGAGAGATTCGGCGTGAAGATCGTCTCTGAATTTTATGCGTCGAGTGAAGGAAACGGAGCCTTGCTCAACTACAATACCGGTCCCTTTGGAGCGGGAGCCATTGGTCGCTTTGGCCCTCTGGCCAAGTTCTTCCGCCCAACCTTCAAGATCGCAAGGGTGGACGCAATCACCGAGGACATCTACCGCAACCCTCAGACAGGTCTCTGCGTAGAGTGCGAGCCGGGAGAGCAGGGAGAATTCCTGATGAAGATTGATGCATCGAAGCCAGGTGGAGACTTCCAAGGGTATGCCGACAACCCAGAGGCGACAAAGAAGAAGGTGGTACAGGATGTCTTTGTCAAGGGAGACGCGTGGTTCCGGAGTGGCGACCTGCTCAGGCAGGATCCTGATGGTGAGTTGATGACGCGGCGTCGCAAAGACTTTGGTGAAGTCAAGAAGTTGACCACTCCCGAATCCATTGTATTACTACAGGCTTCTACTGGTTCCAGGATCGTCTCGGTGACACATTCCGATGGCGAGGTGAAAATGTGTCCACAGCAGAGGTGGCACAGGTGCTCGGAGAGCTCGTGGGTGAGGCCAATGTGTACGGTGTCGAAGTCCCGAACACAGAGGGCCGAGCTGGGTGCGCAGCAATCCCGGCCAATGCGGTCTTTGACCCCGCCCTTCTGGCCGCCCATGTCCGCAAGGGTCTGCCCAAATATGCCGTGCCCTTTTTCCTGAGGATCGTGCCCGCAATGGAGCAGACGGGGACAGTGAAGCACCTGAAGGTGGCTTTGAGGAAGGAGGGCATCGACCACGCCCAGGTCAAGGGAGATGCTCTCTGGTGGCTGCCTCCCGCGGCTCGCGAGTATCGGCCATTTACCCCAGCAGATCTGCAGGAGTTGACCGCGGGCAGGGTGAAGCTATAGAGTGTGGAATCGGACGTTTTCTGGGTCTTTCAGTCTTTCTAGCATCTCTAATTTAAGTCTTTCCCTCCATCGACCTGGTTCATGGGCGTATGTTGGAGTGATATTCCAGGAGTGAAGAGCAACACAAAGGGTGAGGACGGGGCTTGCCATGAGACTTCTTGCCCTATTCGCGTGATGCTGATGCTGTGTGCGGCCCGAGCGAGCACTTGCCTGTCTCGGCTGCAGGCTGGTGGGCGTAGGCGAGACAAGCGAGGCGGGGGACGCGGCTACCCTGCCTGTGCTGCCCACGCGCCTTTGAGCGCCGCCCATCAAGGCCTAATCGACTCCTCATCTCGCGCCTGAGCTTAATTGCGCCCACACCACGGTGAGCCCCATCTTGCCCTTGGCGGACGAGGCACGGGCGTCTCTACCTGTCCAGAAGAGGCGGCCCCTGTCGTTGAATGTCGTCTTTGCTTCCTCGCCCTCTCGTCCGTACATTCGTCCGTCCGTCCGTCCGTCTTTGCTCTTTGCTCTGCTTTCCTCATCATCGCACGAGGGAATCGCCGCCGCACATCCGCCGCCCTGAGAGCAATGTCGATCTGAAGTCTTTGCTCCCACACGGGCCTCGCCTTGTTCCAAGCTACCAGCCACCCTCGCAGACTACCAGCAGTGCCTGAGACACTGGAAGATCCTCTTCCTCCCTCCTCTCCTCTCCTTGACCGCGTATTCAATCTACCTCCTGCAGACAGCGCATCCACACCCAACACCTACAGGACCTCTCCCAGTGCAGCGTGTCGCGAGCAGCGTGGAGCCTCATCCCGAGCTTGCAAGCTGTAGCAAGTGGCTACTGCCCGTTCACGCGGCCACGGGATAGATCTAGGGTTGCTCGCCACCAGTCCATCAGCAGCGACCATGACGAGCGTCGCTCCATCCACACCTCCTACTTCGCCTCCATCGAGGCTTGGCGCCTCCGGCAGCACCGCCAGCCTACTCGCTCGCTTCAAGGCTCCAGCGCCTTCACGCACGCCATCGCAGGCTGAGTCTGCACCATCACCTCCTTCGAGCTTGAGTGACACGAAGCACAGTGCCAGTGATACTCCCAGGCAAGGACTCTCGGAGGCTGCGCACGAGCGACCCTCACCTGGTTCACCCAACGCTAGAAGGGCTCGCGAGGCGTCGCTCGATTCGTCGCCCACCCGTCAGGCTGGCAAGTCGAAGGGGCGGAAAAGCGTCTGGCCAAGGAAGGTGAGTCGAGGTCAAGATACTACAGGCCTGCTGCTGACCTCGAGCTGACCAATGTGGCTACTTCCATTTGCATGGCAGCACTATGATCCACCGCCGCCAGTGCCAGATTTGCCTCCCTTCCTCAACATCGCCTTGCCTTTCGAGTCTTCGGTTGATACAGGATTCGTGCGCCCTATAGAAGCCTCGCAGTCTCTTGACAAGCCGACTCACATCAAGAAGACTCTTCCTACCCGACGACGAGCGTCTTCGAGCGGCTACACGAAGCCGAGCGCGCCAGTCACCGTTGCCCAAAAGGTGTCACAGCAGTATGCTGCCAAACAGCAGCAGATGAAAGACTCAGGCCTCTATCGAGCTCGCGCTCTGGCTGCTGCACGGCTAACACCATCCCAGGTAGTAGAAATCGTCAGGCTCACCGGCGCTGAGATCAGACAGCGCGGGATTGCCAATGTAGGCATCCTGAGACCTTTCCGTGTGGGCTCTCACCCCACAAATGTAGACCGTCTTGCCGAGCTGTTCCTACTGTCCTCAGAGTCGCAGAGGTATGACGGCTTGTTCTCGGTCAGTCCTCCCTCTGGACAGGATGGCGCTCAAACTGACGCAAAGGGAATGACAGGCGAGCTGGCTCTTGCGACTCTAGGTCGTCCGTCGGCAAACAGTGGATTGGTGCGACAGCTGGCCTTTGCAAACATTCACGACGTCGGCGACTTTCTTAAATGGTCAGTCCGTCGTCTTAAGCTCGACAAGAGCGACTTCGGTTCTGAGACGGACATGGGCTGGTATAAGGACTTTGTCAAGGCAGAAAAGGATGGTGGGTATACACTCACAAGCTTCAGCGACGATCTGCTGCCACGTCTCCCAGTGTCTACCAGAGAGCTTCTCACAAGTATCCTCGACTTGCTGACCACGATCAGTGCGCACTTTGTCGCGAACGCCATGCCAGCTTCACGAGTCTGTAAGACCTGGGGTTTTTGGCTCTTTGGTAGGATCGGCCAAGACAAGTCTTATCCAGACTTTCTGACTTTCCTGGGCGACTGGAAGCGCAGCACCAGCATAATGGAGCATCTTATGATGGCCTTCATTAGAGATCAATCAGTCAAAGCTCACTCCGTACCGACGAGGCTGGCCGAGTTGATCGAGTCCTACCCAGGCTCCCTCAGTGAAACTTCTGGTGCTCCGGGCCTTCCAAATGGAATTAATAGCGGAGACAATGGAGCCGGTAAGAGTAAGGCTCTCAAGCTTCACATGGAGAGTGAACGACTACTGCAGAGTTTACTGAACTATAGAGGACCTCCGGAGATCTTGCACTGTGCTCTGAATGCTCATGTTTCGGACTGCGGAGCATCGGCTGAGGCAGATGATTGGAGCTCTTTACTGAGGTTGGCCCATACTGCAGCAAGACAGACGAAGGTATCCATGAGTGAAGGAGCGACTGCTGTTGGGTCAGATGGACAAACAATGCAGGACATCTCTGGCGAAGACGTCTCTCCAAGGGCGAGCAAGGCCTCGAAGCTGACTGCCCTGCTCACTGAAGAGCAGTCAAGGATTCTTGAAATCTACGCCGAGGAGTTTGCCAACAGGAGGAAGTTGATGGGCATCGGCGGGCAGGTTGAGGACGAATTGGAGGATGGCAGCGACAGCGGAGAGCGCGAGGGAGTACCTCGCAGCTCGTTTGCCGCGCCCTTCCCGTCTATGGCTTCAACGCATACCATTGGCCCTACTGGCATGACAAGCTCGCAAAGCTTCCCCCTCACATCCTTCCCGCCGAGAAAGGCGCGACTATCCATCCTCGCCGAGTCCGTCTCGTCGGGAAAGAGCAGTGGTGCTAAGGCGCTGCCATTCAGTAGCCTCGAGCTTACCGGACATAGACGTCAGCCGTCTGCTACAGTCTCTCCACCTCCCACCGTTACGGAAGGAGATGGCCTAGTGGACTGGACCGCCTTCCGTCAGGAGGGCTTTGCGTCCGAGTCTCCTGCCGATCTTTCCCTTGGCGATGCCGAAATTCATCGCACTTTGACTTCTGCCGATCTTCGTGCGGCAGCTACTGGTCCGGACGATTCGCCAGCGCCTCATCAGGATTCTTCAACCATGAGCAAGCTTCGAAGACATACCAGCCTGAGCAACATTCGCCGACGAGCTCAAAGGCAGGATTCGAACGATTTCACAGATATGTCATCGCACCTCGATGCTTCTACCAAGCCCGAGCCAAGCTACTCGATCACTTCAGCCAGCACTGTTGAGCTCGATGAAGGCCTAGTCAGCCTTTGGCAAGATGCAGTTCTAGACCCAGTCGCCTCCGCAAACTTGCCTTCGCTCGTCTTCGTCGCATTGAACAGGACGGCTGCAAGCAGTCTCATGTCTCCTGCTGGGCAAGGATCAGGCGCTGCAGGGTTGACAGCGAATGGTGGTTCCACCTGGCTGATGATCGAAGAGACCGTCGTACCACATCGACCGCAGATGCCAAAGAGAGCCACCACTGGTCCGCGACCTGCACGCTTCAGAAGCGCGAGCAGCGGTTATCGAGACAACGATGCCGCCTCTTTGGACGGAAAGAGGTCCATCTTTGCCCCCTCGATGAGATCCATCGGTGCGAGCATCTTGAGGAAGAGGCCTAGCCTCAAGAAGATCTCTAGCTTTGCCACCCTCAGGAGGCGCAGGAGCGGCGTCGTTGCGCAAGCCAATGCTGATGCTGCCCCGATCAAGGACGCGGACCCGAGCAAGAAGGAGACTGCGCCTGCCTCTTCTGATGCGCCTTCGTGGTCAGATGCCAGCGGCGAGGCAAGCGCTACGAGCAGCGAAGGCTACGTCCTTGTCCCCGCGGCGCCGACCTCTCCCGATGGAGTCGCTTCTGCCACAAAAGCTCCCAGGGAAGGAGCTGCCGAGAGCGCACCGACTCTGTCTGTGGATACTGGCGCGGAGTCAGCTGACCTCTCGATGACAATGGAGAGCGCGCTACTCCTCGCCTCTGCGCCTGACCCTCCTGCTGAGCCTGCGTCTATCCCAAGGCCGGTACCTGTGAGGAGCAGCAGCATCAAGAGGAGCAAAGGGAGCAGTAGTGGTGGTGGTAGCGGGTAGCCAGTGCGAGTCGTTGCCTCGAATTTGCCTTCACTAGGGCCTCTCGTGAGCCCGTCCGTACAGATTCTTCTTCCTCTGGTACAAGTCGGCCTGTCCGCCTCCCCCACCTCTGAAACTTCCCCCTCCTTACCTTGGTCACACAACGTCACGAATGATATACCCCGAACCTGTACACATTCTTTCCTCGACCCACTGGGACAGACTCTCGCCTCCAACCGAATGAATCCACATACCAAGGATCCATGCTCGCTCGCAGTGGTGGGTTGAATGATTTGCCATGTTTAAGGATGTGTGAGAATGCAGATGGGATAGTCTAGGCTGACTGGCCTGCTTCCTCCTCCTAATCGAGTCAATGCTCTCAGTATTCTACATCCTACCGGTTGACGTACTCCCCCATCTGTCTCCCTCTCAGCCTCCCTCGCCTTTCTTTGCCCTCAGCTAGCCTCCAAGCCCCTACTAATCTTCATAGCCAATGCCCTCTTCAGAAATTGTTCCCTCCCAAATTGTCTCACCCACTTGAGGTACCTCTCCAAATCAATTTCCTCATTTCCCAATGCCCTCGAAAGGTGGTAGAGTGTATCAGTAATAGCCAAATCCTGCGCCACTAATCCCACGAGCTGATCACCAACGATGCTATCCGCCAAGACTACCTCGACGGAGCGGGGTTGCTCTCGCGCTTGAAGCTCGCGGGTGCGCTCTTGCAGTCGCTGGAGTGCTGATTCGAGAGAGTGGGAACGGGATTGACAGACGGAGAGGACGGCGCGAAGGCGGGCTTCCTCATCCTCGATGGCGGGTGGGCCTGCGTCTAGATCCCTCACGAGGAGGGAGAGGTGTGTATTGGACGCGGTAAGAGTGGAGCGTAATTGGTCTACCCGCGAGGAGAGCTTAGCGTGAAGGGCTTGGTGCAAGGCGGCTAGCTCGGGGTTGAGCGGACGGGGAGGAGGTGGACCACTGCTTGGCGTCTGGGCGGCTGCCCCCTCTGCACGGATGGACTGGGAGTCGTGAGAGAGCGAGTCTAGGAAGTCTTCCTGCGCAGTAATTGGACGGCCGGAGGGTAGTGGCGGACCTCTTGAAGGCGGAGAAGCAGCTGGATTCACCTGATGTTGGGGGTGGGCAGGACCGTTGGGTGGTAGAGCGGGCGGTGGAGTGGAGCTGTGCTGATTGGTAGGATGGCCGTACTGCCCAGGAGGATGCTGCGAACTTATCCGCCTGGATGCCGTCTCTGGATGATGGACGTGATGGTTCCAAGTCTGCTGCTGAGCTATGGGCGATTGAGGTGGACCATGTTGCGCCTGACCCCATTGACCGCTCGCTGGACGGGGTTGAGGCGGACCAGCAGAGCTCGGCCCTGGGCCCTGAGGAGCTCGGAAGCTGACATTATTTCCGTAAGAGTCTGGCTGAGGCGAGGCGTACGAGGAATGGCCATTGGGCTCCTGCCTAGCATCTATAGAGGCCGACCGGAGAGGTCCTTGCTGGTAATGAGCATGGCTGGGAGATTGAGTAGGATGAAAGGCTCCGTTATTTGTAGCTGGCCCCCAAGAACCAGAGGAGGATCGACTAGGCCCATCGCTGTACTGACTCTGACCAGGCTTAGGTGGCTTCTGAGGAGGCCCAGAGGAAGGGCCGGGATGAGCTGAAGGCTGCGCCTGGCCTGGGAGAGGAGGAGGCGGCTTCTGATGACTGCTCCCACTTGCACTCGGAGCATATTCCCGCTGGTTTGGCAGAGGTTGTCGTGGAGAGGCCGGGCTCGTAGTCGATGCGGCAGCTTGAGATGGGATTGTAGAGGCTGGGGTGGCCGGTGGTTTTGCGTAGACTGGAGGCTGGCGAGAAAAGATATCTTGACAGGCATGTATGAAGGCGAGGAGACTCTTGGACTGCAATGGAAGAAGCACAGAGAGGGCCTTCATCAGCTCCTTGTCGTGCGATCACGTTGTGTCCCTAGAGCTGTCTTACTCACCTCCCACTTTCTCGTCCATTCCTTTTGATATGTCCCGTTGATGAGACCGTCCAGGTCCACTTCGTCTGTCTTCCTAACCAGCATGTCCTTGGTCGGACTCACGTACCCAATCGGTGGTTCCCTTGGATAAGCCTTATTCACCCACACCTCAATCGGCACATTGTACGTCTGCCCGCGGAATTGCATCGGAATGGTGCCTTTGAGCTGAAGAAGCAGTAGCGATTGGCCCACATTGGAGATGTAGAGATCTGTCCTGGGTGAGAGCGATGGGAAGGCTTCGAGGAGGGAGACTACATCTGCAAAGGTCCGATCGGGATTCGCGTATGGGACTAGCACGGAGCGCAGCCAGTTGTGCACCACTTGACGGTCCATGGCTCGAGTGACCAAGATGAGAGACAAGCAGAGCTCTCGGACCGCACTGACGTCTCTCTGTCTCTGAAGAAGGCGAGTGTGAAGTATCCGGAGCTGGACGTTGCAGGGCTGGGCAGCGAGATTGACAAGGCAGCGGGGAATCCGGAAAGGCAAGCGAGCTGGAGCGCCCACAGTGGAGGAACGGGGCCAGACCCCAGGCGGCCTTGACATCAGGCGCGAGCCATCAACTTCATCTTTGATGAATGTCATCTCTTATATCTGCACTGCCACCATCTCATGTTTGCCAAGAGTCTCACAGTGTATCATCACGTCTGCGACTGACTCGTCACTATCAGGTGCCCAGCGCGTCTGTCACGGATAATCATAGCGGATGGTAGGACTGTGTGATAACTGCTGCGATTCCGGTATTGATTTCTATTCTCTAGTGTCTAGTGTTGATGGAGGATCTTCCCCAACACTCCCTTCTTCTCCTTCCCATCACGTCCCTCAGCGGTGGGCTTTGTCTTAGCAGGCATCTCCTCCACGCCTCCCTCCTCCGCCTCTTCCTCCTCTCCCACCTCAATCTCCTCGTCGGTCATGTCCTCTTCAGTCAGCTCCTCCCTCTTCTTGTTGCCTCCCAGCCTCGGCCGACGGACTTTGATCTTCCTCATCTTCCTCAGGCCCTTGCCTAGGTGATGGGGACCACCAGCGACGCTCGAGAGGATACCGCCTTGGCGGACTGCAGGGGGAGGCTTGCCCTGTCGCAGATCGTCCCGGTCGAAGCGGGAATCGAGCTGCGATGGCGAGGGCTCCATGCCTGGCTGAGCCCGGCTGATGGCAGTAGTGCCTGTAGTGATTTAGTGATTTGATACAGGGTGGATGTCAGTCGCAGAGAAGAAGAAGCGGACGTGCTAGACAAGCGTTGCAGCACCATCCATATGCCTGCAGGGACTCACCCGTCTGCAGTTCTGCCACCTCCGTCTCGGTCGGCTGTGTCTGTTCTACCAGGGCCGCCTGCTCCCCTTCTGATAGTGCTTGCGGTTGTTGTGACATCCTGAGTGAATTGTGAGGAGTGTAGGGTGGATGGACGAGACAACAGTAGAGACAGATGCGGCTCCACAAGGCCTGCCGAGACGGAAAGAGGTGCCGAGCGAGGTGGTGCGTCCAGCTGCGTGCAAGACTCGGACGGGACGCTGTATCAGACACGCAGGTCGCAACAGAGGTGTGACTCAGTCGGTCAACACCATCAGCCAGCCTCACCTGGTCGCTACTACCAGAAGCTCAGCACATGTGTATCTTGACGCCCGTCGAGGCGAGCTTGCCTGCCATGGTGTGGCCCTTGGTGCTGCTCCACCGCACGACTGCTCATCTGCTCCGCTCCGCTCCGCTCAGGCCACGCGAAGCCTTATCTGCAGGGCGCCAATGGATGTGGGGTAAAGAGAAAGCAGAGCGCCTCTTCTCGACTTTACCACCATCACCCCTCCTCTTCTCATACGGCCTCTGCGCCAGAGCCCTCTTCTGGCCCGACTTACTATCTTGCCTTCGCCATGCATCTTCTCCCTCGAGAGCACGACAAGCTTCTCTTGGCCAATGCCGGCTTCCTCGCTCAGCGTCGTCTTGCCAGGGGAGTGAAGCTGAACCAGGGTGAAGCAACCGCACTCATCGCATCTGTCCTCCAAGAGTATATCCGAGATGGCGATCGCTCCGTTGCTGAGCTGATGCAGCTTGGAAAGACATTCCTGGGACGCTGCCATGTCTTGCCCGGCGTTCCCGAGCTGCTCCACGAGGTCATGGTCGAGGGGACCTTCCTGGATGGAAGCTTCTTGGTCACGGTTCATGACCCCATCTGCACTCCTACTGGAAACATAGAGGCAGCTCTGTACGGATCAATGCTGCCAATTCCTTCGCAGAATCTCTTCCCAACTTCAGAGGTACCGGAGCATCTGCCTGGTGCCCTTATCGTAGCGGCGGACCAAGGACCTATCGCTCTCTGCAAAGGGAGAGACCGAATCACCATTCGAGTCACCAACACTGGTGATCGTCCGATCCAAGTGGGTTCACATTATCCATTCATTGAGACAAACCCAACACTATCTTTCCCTCGACTGGCAGCTCTAGGTCGCCGACTGGACATTGCAGCGGGTACCGCGATCCGCTTCGAGCCTGGAGATGTTCGCAGCGTCAATCTGGTCAGCATTGGGGGGAACAAGGCCATTGCTTCCTCGGGCAACAACATCGCAGCAGGCTTCCTCGACAATCTCCACTCTCCAGAGGGCCACCAGTTGCTTTCCCTTCGTCTCGAGGCAATGGGCTTTGCAAATGAAGAGATCCCACAGCAGCTCACGCCTGCTCCTCCTGTGGAGCTCAGTCGAGAAGCTTACGCCAGCTTATATGGCCCTACCACGGGCGATAAGGTTCGTCTCGCGGACACAGATCTCTGGATCAAAGTGGAAAAGGATTTCACCTCGTATGGAGATGAGTGCAAGTTCGGAGGTGGAAAGGTCTTGCGAGACGGCATGGGTCAAGCCACGGGCCGCACGGACGAGGAAACCCTGGACCTGGTCATCATCAATGCGCTCATCGTCGACTGGTGGGGCATTGTCAAGGCCGATATCGGTGTCAAGAATGGATTCATTTCGGGTATCGGCAAGGCCGGTAATCCCGACATCATGGACGGTGTAACGGCAGGCATGATCGTAGGCAGCTGTACAGAGGTCATTGCAGGAGAAAAGCTCATCTTGACGGCGGGAGCGATCGATGCCCACGTTCATTACATCTGTGCAGATCTGTGCGAAGAAGCACTAGCCACCGGTATCACCACTCTCATTGGCGGTGGTACAGGCCCCTCCGCCGGTACATCCGCAACAACCTGTACACCAGGTCTGGACAATCTGCGCTTCATGCTCAGGGCAACCGATCACTTCCCTCTGAACTTTGCCTTTACAGGCAAGGGCAACGACTCTTCACCTGTTGGCTTGCAAGACCAAATCAAGGCTGGATGCGCAGGAATGAAGATCCACGAAGATTGGGGCTCTACCCCGGCCGTCATCGACAATTGCCTCAATGTGTGCGAAGAGTTCGACGTGCAGTGCAACATCCACACTGATACGCTCAATGAGTCTTCCTTTGTCGAGGGCACCATTGCGGCATTCAAGGATCGCACGATCCACACTTATCACTCTGAGGGAGCTGGTGGTGGCCACGCTCCGGACATCATTCGCGTATGTGGAGAGGACAATGTGTTGCCCTCGTCCACGAACCCTACTCGTCCTTATGCTACAAACACTCTCGACGAGCACTTGGACATGCTCATGGTCTGCCATCACTTGTCCAAGGACATTGCCGAGGACGTAGCCTTTGCAGACTCGCGCATTCGAGCCGAGACTGTGGCTGCCGAGGATGTCTTACACGACAGTGGAGCCATCTCGATCATCTCTTCTGACTCCCAGGCGATGGGCAGGATTGGAGAAGTGGTCTCAAGGACCTGGAGAACCGCTGCGAAGATGAGATCGCTGCGTGGGCAGCTGGCCGAGGACAAGGGGAGCGATGCCGACAACTTCAGGGTGAAGCGCTACGTATCCAAGTACACTGTGAACCCCGCTATCGTGCATGGTATGTCGCACCTGATCGGTTCGGTCGAAGTGGGCAAGCTGGCCGACTTGGTTCTATACAGGCCAGAGAACTTCGGTACCAAGCCCGAAGTAGTGATCAAGGGTGGTCAGATCGCCTGGGCACAAATGGGTGATGCCAATGCGTCAATCCCGACTGTTCAGCCCGTGTATGGACGCAAGATGTACGGAGCTCAACCCGGCGCGGCTCCCTTTAACTCCATCGTCTTTGTCTCTCAAGTCTCATTGACGAACGGCAACATTGGCTCGTATGGTATCCGCAAGAGGGCAGAAGGAGTAGTGGGTTGCCGCAAAGTGAGAAAGGGCGACATGAAGCTCAATGCTGCATTGCCGAAGCTCAAGGTGGATCCAGAGACGTACACCGTCGAGGCGGATGGGGTGGTATGCACGGTCGAAGCAGCTACGAGACTGCCTATGACGCAAGCTGTTCACTTCTTTTGATCTGTCGTTTGCCACTTCTCTTCTACCCTGTTCAAATCGTGTCTTGGGTGACGTTTTTTCTTTTTCTCTCTTGGCTTAAAAGTAGTTTATCTCCGCCCTTCCGGAATGGCAGTTGAGCCGGCACTTGCCTATCTTCCCCAGACTGCTCTCCTTTCTGCGTCCGGATTGATTCTCGATGTCTGAAACAACTGCAGCGCGCTATGCATCTCCCGTGGCCGTAAGGTGAGGGCCGACGTCTGAACCTGAAGGGGGAGCAATGCTTGGCCCTTGGCGGTGGCCGAGCCTTAGTCTCACCTGACATACGTGGGACCTGGAAGGCTGCATGGCTGGATGGAGAGAGAAAGCAAGAGAGAAGTCCGAAGTGTCCGAAGCGGCAAAGTGTGAGACGTGGAGCGTGACCCCCCGGCCCTGCGTGTGGGTGCAGCTGTAGGACTAGGTGCGTGTGAGTGCTCTTTTGGCAGCAAGGCCTACCTCGGCGGGGTCTTTTCAGGCTGGCTGCTCCGCTGAGCGCTAAGTGGCAGACAGGGCACAGGGACTGACTGGATAAGAATTCGCAATTGGCTCTCTCTCTCTCATCTGCCACACCGTCTGTGATGCTGATGCCCGCTGCGTGTGAGCCTTGTGTGCAGGTCGTCCTTCCCCTTCCCACCGATTTGGGATTGATCCCTGGCGCGCGCAGTGAGAAATGGAAGCGAGTGGGGGAAGGCTGGTGCTGTGCTGTGCTGCGTACTGATTGCGTGCCTGCTTGGGGAAAAGGGTTGCAGCAAGCAAGCAAGCAGCAGCTGAGCAGCCCAGGGCAGTGCCAGAGTGCCCCCCCCCGCTCAACTGGCCTGGGCCGGTCCAGCCGGGGGAGGGGGATTCCCCTGCCTGCGTCTCTCTCGGCCTGGGTCCGCACCCACGCTCACATCCACGCACGCACGCCTGCCGCCGCCGCCGCCTTACTTTTTGGAAAGTTGCGCGCTCCGCCTCACTTTCCGGTGTGCCCCCTGCCAGATGCTCCTCCCCCCCCCCCCATCCCCCATC